ACCAACCAACTGAAAATGCAGTGAAAAATTAGGCAAATGGTGTGAAGGTAACTCCAAACCCAATAATGTACATACAATACATTAAGTCATGATCTTCCGCTTAACCGCCTAAGATGCAAAGAGATGAAATGGGAAGCACAACCTAAAGGGCAGAGCTTATTAAAAATGAAATAAGCTAAGTAGGGACGGTCAATGGACACAAATCCATTCGATCCCACAATTCAAAGGTATAGCCCTTGACTAGAAATTAACGTGTGAATTTATCCTCGAGGGGAATCATAAAATTAGATGTATAAATGCGAAAATAAATGGGATATGATATGAATATCATCGAAATAGTCGTGAAAACAAGATGAAACAGATCGATTGATCAGTGATTGGACACACGTGAAATTTTCGAGGGTCCGGACGGCCATTGGGCACCATGTCGGTTGTAAGGAATTTCGCATTAGAATTTCGGATGCGCCAGTACGGTAACGTTGACGTTCATATCATCATGTAAGGCTGAAGATCAGTTATCACCATTGTTGATTTGGTCAATGATTTGGGCTTGAAGCTTCCTCGTCCGACGGAGTGCCTCGTCTCTGTAGATTATCATGTCAATGGATGGCTCCTGGATGTAATCGGACATATGGTTTATCACTGACCTATCGGTTTGGAGTTCCGCGACCTCAATCTGGGCCTTATTCATTCTGCCCACAACTTGCTCCATCTCCTTATCCGCATCTCGCAAAGCTTTTTCAAGCTCCTTCACTTTCGCCTCAAGGCTTGAAACGTGAACGGCCTCGTTCAATGCAACACCAGGTCCACTAGTGGTGACCTGGAGGCGTGGGGATCGCGGACCAGAGAAAGGTGAGGTTGGAAGAAGAGGCGACAATAGCGCTGGACTCCGCACTCCGTTTTTAGCACGTAAAAGCTGAGCATTGTGGCTCTCATTCAAGGCTAAAATTTCTTGTTCATGCTTAGCCATTTCATCTTCGGACTGCTGCTGCGCCAAAATTAATGTCTCCTCAAGCAGCTTTAGCTTGGCCTGCATCTCATTGATTCTTTCGGCTGAAATTTTTTGTTCCTGTTCACCTTGGCCAATAGCCTGAGCCAGCCTATTGCGAAGTGCACTGTTCATCGCAACTTGCTGTAGCACTTGACGAACGAGGGCATCCTCTAAGTCGGAGTCATCTGCAGAGACGAAACGTCCTTGTCTATTGGACTGGAGTTGCCTGTACGCATCCTCAAGAGACTTAGACGTGGCATGGAAATCGCTTAGGTCATCTGCTTCAAGGCCATGGTCCGCAGGATTAACGGCGTGTTCGAGGAGGAGGGCTCGCAAGGAACTCGTCTCTTGCTCTGCGCGGTCAAGGTCCATTTTTAAGCCGGCTAGGCCCTTCTCGCACTGCCATTTCTGTTCCAAAGCGTCGTCTGCGCGCCGCCTGAGGATATTAATTTCTTCTCTCAAAGTTATAACTTCTCGCTCATATCCTGGTCTGCGTGGCGAGTTAGATTGTTTGATACGGTCTATCTCCAGCTCTAATACTCGAACACGCTTTTGATGTTGTTTGGCCAGATAATTTTGACGCTCAAGGAGGCTTTTGACAGTTTGATGGAGAGCGTCGCGTTGCATTTCGACGTCCTTTACCCGATCCACCAGTGATTCTCGAAAATCGCGTTCTTTTCCAATCATGGAGCTCGGGCGGGATAGAGACCCTGATCTTGACAAACCACCTGACCGGCTTGGGGGAATTCTTGCGAGGGAATTGGACCTCGAGAGGCCAGATATTCGCATAGGGGGTTCTCCATCTTCTTCGGCTATGGAATTGAAGCGAGACTGCTGGGGTTGCGTATCGGTGATCATTTTCCGGCTTTGGCTCAGGAGAGAGTTTTCATTCCGAAGAGCTTCTATCTCTTGTTGCATGCGACTCTGAAGCTGATCTCGCTCATTTCGATGCTGCTCCAACTCCACCCTCATGGCAGTGAGAAGGTCTTCAAAGTTATCTTTCAACTGTCTTTCCTCTGTTAGCCGCCGACGCGTATCTTCTAGAGCAGTTTCGAGTTCCTTTGCTCGAGCAGCTGCATTTGAGGTATCTACTTTCTCCCGTCGGAGCTGTGTAGCAAGTCATTGTTAGCGCAGGATGTTGCAAGGTGTATCTAGACTGGATGTCCATACCTGGTGCACTTGGCCCTCCAATATATGTACGTGAGATTCGGCAACCTGTCGGCGAGATCTCTCCTCCTGAAGTTTTTGGGACAAGTCGAGTTTCATCTGGGCTCGCTCCTGTTCATATGATCGCTTCATCTTCTCAATATCTTCTCCTTTACCCATTCCATTCTCACTCAGAGGATATTTAACGGAGCCATAGCCAGAGTCGGAAAAGTAGTCGCTGCCGCGACGATGCCCGTCAGGTATACTCATTTCCGTCTGCAACCGCTCAACTAAGTCCTCCAAATCCATTTCCCTCCGTATCGAGCCTGCCAGTTCGCAACTTATCTCGCGCAGTTCATTTTCGAGGTCTGCTACCTTCGAGCTGATGGCATGCTCTGCTGGCATCGTATGTGCCCGCGAAGGCAACATCTTAGGGGATGGAGCACCAAACGAGTCCCGCGAAGGGAATCTAGATGATTGTGCAGACGGTTGAGTGGATGCTATCATCGGGGATGGCATTGGAGATAGAATAGAATCCGATATTTCCGTGCTATTTGATTCAGTACCAGGAGAAGCGGCGCTCTTCCAGCCGAAGAATGAGGTGATTTTGCTACCGGGAGTTTTAGGAAGCTGTTTATTGTAGTCGCTAGAACCGGATGACATCTTACGCGAATTGAGGTCGATCCGCAAGGGAGGAGGCCGGCTTGAAGGGAGATGAAGCGCCATGGTCAGTGCTCGTTTCGGTTCCTTCCCTTGTTGTGGAGGTAGATCACGGTGGGTTGTTGGTATTAACGGCTGGCTAGCAATGCGAGTATGTATATTCTCGAATGGGGAGACATTGGCAACTCTTGGTTTTGGTATATCTGCGGTCGGAAAGGCTGTGATGGAACCGTGTGGCGTATGTAGAGGACTCTGGCCGTGAGGATACCTGCATATGAGAACAATGAGAACAATGAACGAGTCAGCGAATGTACGGACGGGAATATAATTAGCATGCAGGGTCAAAGGGGAAGGCGACGGAAGCCACTAACTTATCAAGATCCCTCAGGGTGAACTGCTCCTGTTGTAGGCAAGCCGAAGAGGGTGTATTGTTTGTGATTGTTGTTCTTGTGGTGGTCCTGGTGGCGGCAGAAGGAGAGGAGGTTATGGACGACCGGTGATCAACCGCCGTACGGGTCAGAGGAGCAACATTGGGAGGAAGGGGTTTCCTGCGAATGGGAGATGAAAGAAAGGCAGGACTGCTGGGAGAATGAGGGTGAGGCGCAAAGGAGCCCTTTGGGGACTGGAGGCTTTGGATGGACTGTCTTGACTCGATCGAAGTCGCTACGGTGCTTGATCTCGCGACTGACGAAACAGTGAAGACACCGGGGGAGTCGAGAGAAGGGGTCATCGTCAACCCTGGCAGATCGTGGTCTACCGGATCAGGGGTGAATTGTCGAAATGCCGGGTCATTTGGGGTTATCATGCTAAGGCCAGGGGCCAATCGGGAATGATTAGCAAAGCTAACAGCTTAGCGCACGGCGGGAAGGTTTGTGTCAGGGGCATCAGTAGGAGGAAAGTCAGCGGCCATGGATGCGAATCGTGAAGGCCGAGACGTATATATCTGGAGGGCTATCGGGAATCCAGCATCACAGCTGAACGATGAAAACTAGAAAGACGAGGGGAAGGGTCGAAGTTCCAGGCTCTACAAGCATTTAGCCGGCAACCATGCCAAACCGCAAGATGAATGGTCATTGACGGGAGGCGAAATGGTGGGAAGGGTCAATGAAATGGGCTTTGTCCATAATAATAGAAGTCAGGGGAAGATAGCCTTGGTGGAGTGGAGAACTGAGGCCGTCGATGCCAGTGGAGCGAGGATGTTGGACGGCTAGGTTATTTTGGGACGGGGCGGAGGCCAGGAACAACCCCTCCTCGCCAATCAGCTGCGGACCTGTCCCTGCAACGAAAACAGGCCTCAGACAGTGAACTCCTGTTCCTGCCAATCACCACAAAGCAACCAGCCCGCGAGCCGGGCTGGAGTCGAGCCTGGCAGAAAACGCTGTTGCTAGAGCCGCGGCAGGTCCAAGAAGAACACAGGGTGACTCCGTTCCTCTTCAGCTGCCATCCTGAAGGATGCCAAATCCTCCAGTAACCCTGGGAGTTGTTTGTCTCTGAGCGCATGGCATATTTTCCATTCGACTCACCGGTAGTTACAGAGTGCGTAAGTTTGTTGTCTACCGATGGACGGAGGTGCTGCAGATTGGGAGACCCAAAGACTCGACACCCGCCAGCAGCGAACAGCCAATCAGGGCAAAAGTCACCGTTCCGGAATTACTAGAGTTTCAGGGGCAAAACGCGGTCGCCGGCCATTCAGCAGCCTTTGTTGACGGCGCGAACTGCCACGGTAACTTTCCCAACTGCCTTGACCAAACACGTTCGTCCACACACCGATGATACGGCTTTTGCAACACAGCGCTTAATTCGGCTGACGTCGGCTGACCTTGTCCTCTTTTCAACACCAGCGCCATGCGACACGGAGGAACCCACTAAACATGACATCGCTAGCTACAGCCCTCCGATGAAAACGCGCATGTATGTATGTATGTATGTACTCCGTGCTCCGTACGTATCTACAGATTACCCCAGAAGGAGGACTCCATGCCCGTATCGATTCGCTATTCCGTTTTACGTACGGATCATTTGCCAGAGTCAAATACTCCGTATATGTTACTTATTTAGCATCGGTACCGTAGGACAATACTCCTCAGTAATGCTCATATCTGGTAAAGACAAAAGCTCGATCCGAACCCCGGAGAAGTAGACTCTTCCCAAAAAAAGTAAAATAAAAATAAAAAGTATCGGATGCACGAAGGTTCTAAGTATGTAGATTAGCAAAGGATGTCAATCAGGAGTCGAATGTCGCTGATATACAAGAGAGTCCGGGAATCATGGCAGTTTTAATTAAGACCTCAGTTGTCAAAGGTATATCTCAACCATTCCCCAACAGCTCTCAAGCTTTCCCATCTAACGGATTCGTCCCGGTCGGCCATCAGCTCCATAACCCGAGCCTTAAGGCCCAGCTTTTCGAGTTGATGACGACGTTCCGGAACTTCCCGTACCAGACAACCAACATCGTGGCATGCGATTGCCAGCACTTGCTTATCCGTCTCCCAGCTCTTCGATAGGATTTCAGCAAGCTTTTTTGGTAGCTGCCCACGCTCTTCGTCGAGGATGCGGCGGGCGTTTTCACGCCAGAAGGTTGTATTCTTGTGAGGCGGGGACCATCTTAAATGGCCTGACATAACTTCCGCGGCATATGTATCGAAGGTAGTTTGTGTTTTGGTATATTCTTCGAGCATATCAGATAGAGATTGCATAGCCTCAAGAAGATCTTCATCGACATAGTGTCGAGCACCCATGGTAGTCAACAAGGAAGGGAGGCCGACGAACACGGCCACGGGGAGTAGAGATGTCTTGTTGGTGGAAAGGATGTTCAAAAGCGTGTAGACAAGCAGACGAGTGGTTTTCTCTTTCGGAGAAATTCGCAAAAGATGTGCATAAAGAGCGATAATTTCATGATCCCTAGAGGTCCGTTAGAGGTGAAATTCGAGCACAGATTAAGCCAGGAGAACCCGTACGATTCTAGCTGGTCACCGACCAGCTTACCCTCAAAGCTAAGCTCCCAGATCACGATGAGCACATGATACAGGAGCTGGATCCCTACACCGCCTCCAATCTTCATTTCAGCCGTTCGGGCGCTGCTTCCAGCGAGGGTGGTAGATCCGTTGTCTTTCCCAGACCCTGCAGCAGCGCGCAAAATGTCCATAAGCGGTTCCACAGTAGCCGCCCTGTGGTCCCAAAACAACTCCCTAGATCGTGACGTCCTTAAGAGCTCTGAAAAGCCCTGCACACCAATATCCTGAAGGCCGGTGTCCGCATTTTTGGTTAATGTCGCAAGATACGAGAAAAGTCGCGGAAGGGCTTCTTCATCCTTCCGCCTGGTTTTCTGGGAGGAAAGCAAGGAGGCGGAGATGAGGTTGATTAAGAAGCACGAGGCTAAAAGTGGGATCGGGTCTTCGGGGGTGGAAGAGTGCTGGAGTAGAGGAAGGAAATGTCGGTAGCTTCCCTGGTCTTCGAGCAGTGCTTTCTTGAGAGCCGGAGCATCTAGCATCAGGAAAGAGACTTAGTTAAATGCAATCATCCCTGGACGATGGTTCTGAAGACAGTCGGTGCTGAATCGGGCTTCGCATACCGTTGATTAGATCCCCGGCAAGCACCAAAACATACTGGATGATGTCGGCGCGCCTGGCGGCAGACTCTAAAATACTCTTCCCGGAGCTTCCACCAGCGAGAAGGTTTGTATAGGCGCTCAAATCCTTTTCAACCGCTTTTTGCCTTTGATCTTTCCTCACCTTATCGACAGCCTTGACCCGCCTGAGTTGCTCTTCGGTGATGCTTCCAGCTCGAACTGCGCCCTCCCATGGAATAGGCCGGGCACGGATATTGTTCTGCAAAGAGTTCAAGTACGTGGGCGAGTCTAAAGACATTATCGACGAAAAGGAATTTAAGAATAATATGGCATGTAGTTGCAGTGCATATGGCCGCGGGGAGGAAGGGGTTGATTATAACCCTTGGATGCAGTTCATCTGACGTCGAAGTGAGCTTCCCTCCATGCAGCTACGTAGTGACATAGACATGGTCGTCGGCTGTGGTTGGCTAACGACGCTAACTAAGCTGTGATGCGGCCTTGGGGTGTGCCAAGAATGGGCTTGGCTAACAGGGCAACCCAAGACGGCGCTGGGTTCAAGGTAAAACGAACTCAAATGACCCATTGCTGTCCTTGACAAAGGCCTTAGTATGAACTGACAACTGTCTGTGGTCGATTGTTTACTCTCACGCTCGATAGTTATTTCAAGCCCACTTCTCATGCCGAACCAGACAGTCTCCCTGATTACGAGTCGGCGCAATATCCAGAAGCGGGAGCCAATTTCCAATTTACCAGCCTGGAAAAGGGCCCCGCGAGTTTCGATGGGACGAATCGACAGAGTAATTCAATGACAGGCTTTGCCACTTTTTAGAGGAGAGAATCTATATTTTCCTGGATAATGTCTACCAATCCACAGTCTACAAAAACTCCAAAATGGTCCGTCGGCTCCTTTCTGCAGCAAGCGGTCGCCGGTGTCGAGTCGCGTTTGGATACTATACTGGCGGAAAATGACGACCATATGCCTCCTGCAGATGAAAATAAGAAAGAGAGTATTACAGAGCAACCCAATGTGTTCACCGGGAAACTTTCCGCAAAAAGTGCCTCAGCTAGTAAGTCAGCGGCTTCTTCTTCTTCTTTTTTTTCTTTTGTCCCAGCATTCCAGTAGCTTACGGTCGTAGCTATTTCAAGAAGCTCCTCTTCTGCTCGGAAGAATGACCGTCTCCAAGAGAGACTTGCCCGTGCGATGGTGAAGCAAAGCGGATCATCCTCAAACGTCGCCAGCAATCACTCTTCGCCAGGCGTACCTTCCCAGGCTCCCAGCCCACGTCCTTCTACAGAGATTAGGGCGAGTGTAGAAAGCCCAAGAAGCAATCTGGAAATTTTGACAAGGGCCGACGGTGTATCTACTCTACTCTCGAGCCCTGATGTTGGCAACTCGTCCCGCAGAACATCGGAGGACATACCCGCAGGCTCAGGGAAAGTGTCTGGATCCGAGCCGCGACAATCCATAAGTTCCGATAGAGGTACGACTTTGTTGGATTCAAGTCAGGATGGGTATCATAAAAGACTTATCCCGACAATTGGGGTTTCTGCGCCGCCCAATGAAGAAGAGACAGCGACTGAAGGGGCCTCATCTCGATTACAGGCTGAACATGACACCGCTGAAGTCCAGTGGCAGGAAGAGATGCACGGTTACATCGAAAAAATTGACGCTTTACAAGCTAAACTAAAGTACTTGGCCAAGGAGGCGGCCGAATCGGCGAAAAACGCGGCTGCCACTGTAACTCCGGGAAGTTTAGAGAAGAAGTTGTTTGAGAAGGACGAGCGTATAGCTGTCTTGATGGAAGAAGGGCAAAAGCTGTCAAAAACGGAACTGGAGCACCGCGCGACCATCAAGAAGCTCCGGCAGTATATTGCAGAAAGCACAAAGTCGCAGACAGACGCCAAAAGGCGAATAGAAAACATAGAGAAAGACCTTTCAAAGGCAGAGGATAGAGCTCAACGCTTTGAACAAGCAGAGAAACGGGCTTTGTCGAAATTGAATGCTCAGGCGAAAACCGAGGAAGACCTGGGGAACATTACTACGGAACGAGATAACTTGAGAGCAGAAGTGGCGGATCTAAATTCCCGGCTGAACAAAGCAGTCGCCAGAGCCGAAGCAGCTGAGCGAAGAGCACAAATGGGCTCATCGGAAGCTGAAAGCCGACGGGTGGCAGAACTCAAGGATGACCTTGCTAGCGCCAAAATTGAGCGCGAAATAAGCGAAGAGAAATTGCGGAGAGAGATTCGAGATCTAAAAGAAATTCTTGAAAGGGAAAGAGAGCGTAGCCGAGTACAAGAGATGGAGCTTCGGGGAGAATTATCGGTGTTGGAAGGTAAAATGGAAACTTTGCGGGCTAGGGCAGAGGAGGTATCCTCCAGTGCCACGGGCGACGCTCAAGCAAAGCTTCTGCGGCAAATCGAACGACTACAAACGCAGTACGCAGTTGCGAGAGAAAACTGGAATGGCATTGAGAGCTCGCTGGTATCTCGTTTGGCAAATGTTGAAAAAGAAAGGGACGAATTCGCACGAAGGGAAGGTGACTTGCGACGGAAGGTCAGAGAAGCGGTAAGCTGTGCTACGTGGAGCGAAAGTGAGAGAAAAATTGCTAATATTAACGATGGTGCAGAACCTGAAATCTAAGCGTATTGAAAGCGAAGTCGAGAACTCCCACGAAGCTTTCCAGGAAATGGAAAGAGACCTAGAAGAAAGTAGACGAGAAGTAAAGAAGTTATCACAAAAGCTCCTTAAGGCAGAGGCCGACATTCTTGAAGCGAAGCAAACATTTGAAACTGAAAGAGAGCGCCAGGATGCTGCATGGTCTCAACGCCTCGAAGAGGAGAAGTCGAAATGGCATGAGCAGCTATCGTCCTCGCCGCCATACCTTCACCCACATAGCGAATCACCTATGACAGCAAACCGGAAGTCTGAAACTCTTGCAACCATGCCTGACCGGCCTTCAAGCCGCCGATCGCCAGTGCTCCCCCTTTTCCCTCCTGGACTAAATACCCCACCCAGACAAAGTTCATATTCATCACTAAATTCAAGTCTCGGCCTTCGGCATCTCCCCCATGACAATTCCTCGGCGTCCTTGGAGATTTCTTCCGTGCAGGTGTTAGAGCCAGAGGAGTATTTCACAGGAGCTATAAGCCCTGTAACCGCATCAGCTCCGGAAACCCATCAGTCCAAGGGGATAAATGATATAGTCTCTGCTTCTACGGTTGCTGCTGGTCCCTCGGTTCAACTTGTTGAAAGGATGAGTGCTACGGTCCGCCGTTTGGAAAATGAACGAGCCGCATTTAAGGATGAGCTAGTTTGCATAACAAATCAAAGAGATGAAGCCAGACAGGAAGTCGTTGCATTGATGAAAGAAGTGGAAGAAAAAAGAACTTGCGATAAGCGAATACAAGATTTAGAGGCAGCCGTTAGGGACTTAGATGAAAGATACCAGACTACACTCGAAATGCTTGGTGAGAAGAGCGAGCTTGTCGAGGAACAGAAGGCGGATATCCAAGATTTAAAGAAGATATACCGGGAGCTTGTGGAGAGTACAATGAAATGACCACCAGTATATATATTCGACAAATTCAACCCAAGACCCAACTCTATGGGCAATATTATTGTATTTTCTGTTCCATGAGGGGTTTGCTGATCATTTGAAGGTATTAAAACAAAATTAGAGGCATTACATTCATCATGGCAACTCAATTCCTTCCCGCTCAGCGGCTTGTATGATATACTTCCGAACCTAGAGTGATAGGAATAAATGAGGGATAAATTCTGCGAGTTTAAGTATATTTATGCGTACCTTGATATCAGGAGCCAAATCAATGGCCAACCTCCCTTCATTGTCCCTTTTGTCTACTTCCGCACCGGCGCGCAAGAGTACTAATGCGGCCTCCCCATGACCTTCTGAAATTGCGTGATGCAATGCAGTTAACCCATCCACATCCGTAGCATTCAGTGGACTTCTCCCTTCTCGCAATAAGATATTGAGTATTGGAACTGAGCCGATTGCCGCGGCACGGTGGAGAGCAAGTTGGCCTCGATTATCGCGGACTCTGGCACTGCATTCATTAGAGATGAGAGTACGAACAATGTCCGTGTTGCTCTTGGAGGCTGCAAAATGAATTGCGTTCTATGTAAACAATTTAGTATTCAAAGCAGAAACGATGAGGATTAGACGCTCTGGTGGCACGGTAGGGCGAGATACCTGGCCTGTGGCGCTTTTTAGATTGACGTCTGCACCCTTTTGTAGAAGGAGCTCTATCATGGGCCGGCCTTCATTGTCCTTCAGACTAGCCGCGATCATGAGAGGGGTCCATCCCGAAGAGTCCTAAATCGCCGACAACTGAGATTAGTTTTTGGCCATGACATATGCATAGTATTCTAAATTCCAACGGGAATATATAAGCTCCACGAACGGTAACGTCTGGATCAAATTTTTTCTGAGAAGCTAACAGTCGAGCTATGGGCAATTGATTGTAAGCTGCAGCCCAGTGAATGGGCAAGCGGTCATCGCCATCTCTCAGGACAGCAAGCTTTGGATTGGCCTGAACGACGAAGTATATTAACAATACAGGCCTAGCAAATAGTTTGCATTTGATATCCAAGAGCTCCGGTGCTACCTACGTTGAGCAGAGACTCAACTTCAGAAGCTAATAGTTTGGCTGGTCAGAGTGATTGAACTTGCGGAGAGGAGAGAGGGAACTATATACTCTTCCCTTCACGAGTAGCCTCGTGTATAGCAAATTTGGCATGATAATCAGGATCCATTAGTTGGGCAATTAATTCCGCAAGTAGTAAATTAAAGAGTCATCAACTTCCAGTCTCGTCATGTCAGCCATACGAAATGCCCGCGGAGACGGGTATCAGGCGACTTCGAGTTGGCTATGAGAGCTTGGTTCTGTCTTGGCGTTGAAAGACCGGCCGTCGGGCCGTCTTGACAGGACTTTGAGCTTGCAGTTTTATCTTCCTCCAGTCTTCTCGCCATTCGGAACATTTGAGAAGTACATATTGCAGATGAGCCAGGAGAAGGCATAAAATTCAAAGCTTTTGTTTATTCTTTCCACCAATTCGGATTTTCTCCGCGCCAACGCGTTTTGCGCGGAGCAATTCTCAATAGTCAAATATCACAGAGGGCGGATTGCGCTTTGCGACCATGGACGTTGCCCAGAGCTCACCAACCTCCGATCAAGCTGTTCGAACCTCCGTAAAGCGAACATTAGACCTTTTCGGTTCTGATTACCTCCTATCTAATTCATCGACCTCCACCAGCGGTGATTCTATTGGCGTGTCATACCGTCGAAAAGCAGAGTACAGCGATTTACAGACACTTCCTCCATCGTTAGCGGAGAAGCAAGCAAAGGCGTCGGCCGCCGGTCGAGCAAAGCGCCCAAAAAACAGAGCGGAAGGAGATACAGCGACCTCGACGGCACTAGTGAAAAGTTCGTCCTCAAGCGGGGTCCAAAATAATGCAGACGGAGCTCCTACAAGCCTGGTGCGACGGCCAGCAGTGTCTCAACAACCTAAACCGGAATGGCATGCTCCATGGAAACTGATGCGCGTGATATCCGGGCATCTTGGATGGGTTCGAAGTTTAGCCGTGGAGCCGAATAATGAGTGGTTTGCCAGCGGCGCCGGAGACAGAACGATTAAAATTTGGGATTTGGCTACAGGTGCTCTCCGACTCACTTTGACGGGTCATATTTCCACCGTTAGAGGCCTGGCAGTGTCTCCACGACATCCCTACCTATTTTCATGCGGCGAAGATAAGATGGTGAAATGCTGGGACCTAGAAACGAACAAAGTTATTCGCCATTATCATGGCCATCTAAGTGGCGTATATACTCTCTCTTTACACCCTACCTTGGACGTGCTAGTTACAGGTGGCAGAGATGGTGTTGCCCGAGTATGGGATATGCGAACTCGGAGCAATATCCATGTCCTCAGCGGCCACAAGGGGACTGTCTCGGAAGTGAAGTGTCAAGAGGCAGATCCACAGGTTATATCCGCTTCCCTGGACGCCACTGTCCGGTTGTGGGATCTTGCTGCAGGCAAAACAATGGGCGTTTTGACTCACCACAAGAAAGGTGTCCGGGCTTTAGCTATCCATCCAAAAGAGTTCACCTTTGCAAGCGCTAGTGCGGGAAGTATCAAACAATGGAAATGTCCAGAGGGTGCGTTTATGCAGAATTTTGAAGGCCACAATGCCATTATCAATACTCTCTCCGTCAACGAGGACAACGTTCTATTTTCCGGTGGTGATAATGGGTCAATTTCTTTCTGGGATTGGAAATCAGGACATCGTTTTCAAACATTAGAGACTACGGCACAACCAGGCTCCTTGGAGGCTGAAGCTGGAGTCATGTCTTCGACGTTTGATCGTACAGGCTTGAGATTGATATGTGGCGAGGCTGATAAGACGATCAAGGTGTGGAAGCCTGATGATGAAGCTACCCCTGAAACGCACCCACTGGATTGGAAACCTACGCTAGGAAGACAGCGGTATTAATTGGAGAGCTATTTGCTGCAAATGGTCCGCCTTGGTGTATTCTTGCATTTCATGGCGTTTATCCTGTTCTTAAATTTGCTTGAATGCTTGTAATTGGGCCTGGGAGAACTTCAGTTGGTTACAAAATTATATCTAGATCTGTATCTGTTCCTCATTACATGACCAGGCGTTCACGGTCGGCCACATGACGGCGTGCCCGTGTATACATAATCATACCATGCCTCTAACATTCATATCCGATTCCTAACATCTTTGCTTCGGCATCATCCCTAAATGCCGCCTTGACGTCCTCGGGTGCGATCCTCAACCGCACCTTTCCACTTCGGTTTCCTTTACCCAACGCATAACCCATTCCATACCCATTTTTAATCCCTAATTCCCCCTCCAATGCTAAAATCCCCGTATTCATTAACTCAACCGCTGCAAATCCCATCGCATGAACGCGCGACTGGGATAATATATATTCTTTTAATACCGCACTAGCCGCACCGGTCACTGCTATTGCACCATCAGATATGCGTTTTGTTTCATCAAGGATATCACCAAGAGCCGATTCGGTAATTCCCGTGCGTCGGACACGTGCGAGGAGGCCGGAAAGAAAGACTTTGGCCGCGAGAGGGAGGCAGCGGAGAGATTGTTGGAGAGGAGTGGATGTCGCTTCCTGGATGGCTTGCTTGATTGTTGCAATTGTGACGCGAGGTAAAGTGACTGGCTGCTGAGCTGATTTAGGCTCATTGTTTTGTGGCTTTAAAAGAGGCTCCTTGATATTGTTTCGGCCGCGACGGCCGCTAGTCTTGCTTGGTGTGGGTGGCAGATCTCCATCTGCATCTAAAGAATGACTGTTGTTCTTCATTTGGAGAGCTTCGCTAGCTTGTTCTGCAATCTCTACTGCACGCCGACAAATGTCGAGTGCGCGACGTGCATCTCCACTAACAGCTGCAACCTTCCGGCTAGCGAATTGTATCGCATCAGAATCCACAATATTTCCCGGAACGTTTTCGAGACGTGAGCCTATAATCTCCATTAACTCCTGATGTTTATATCCCGAAAATGTAATCCGAGTCAAGCCAAGACGACTCGATATTTTGTTGCTGAGAGTTCTTTCTGGGAGGTCCATGGTATTCGCTACGGCTAGAACCACGAGGTGGGAATGTCGTAGAGCCGGCCAGTTAAAGAAATTGTACATGACAGACTGATTTTTTGTAACAAGCTGATCCAGCTCATCCATCAGGACAACACAGGGTACCCGACGCGGGGATGGCCGGGAAAACTCCCGTTCAAGAAGGCCAAGGGCATGAGAGGGTGATACACGATCCCCTTTGAGAGCCTCCCATAGTAGGGAGTAAGACTGGTGCGGATCTGTGACCTTCATCCCGTTTATTTCAACAAAAATGAAATCATCCATCTCTTCGGACATCACTGCTGCATTTAGATGTGCGATGACGTCCCGAACTGTCGCAGTTTTCCCGGTTCCAGGAGGCCCAGAGATATAGATACAAGTTCCAGTACCTTCGGTAATAGCAACACGAAGGCTATCATATACAGTGCAGAACTCTGCATCTCGACAGGGAAGGGAATTAGGAACGGTGGAAACATGGAGAAGATTTCGGGCTTGCCTGTAAGGGGTGGAGAAATATGATGGCGAGAGAATACGTGTTCCAAGGGGCGTGAATTCAAGGGGCTTTTTCACTAAGATCCTGTAATCGCAGTTATTAATCCAGCTCTGTCAAAATTGTTTAGGGGAGCGTTGAAATATTGGCATACCTTTTTTGGGTAGGGGTCATGAGAACCTTTTTGCGTTCTGAGTGGGGAGTCCCTACTACGGATGTGGTTTTCTGCTTTTTTCTTGGTGTTGTTGGAGTGGCAGCCTTTGCCTATAGCCATATCAATCAACATCCATTTGAATCGTCTCCAATTAAATTGTATCTATGACTTACTTCATGGTCGTCCGCTTTTCGCTTTCGTGACCGCTTTAAACCAGCCTTGATAATCTCGATGAGCTCAAAAATGCCGTCCTCGCTCTCTCTATAAATGTCCTCCCAGATAAACTCTTCCGTATATCTTCCTTGAAGCTGATTGACGCCTCTCCGACAAATGATACACTTGTTATATTCGGCCAAAGCAGACCGGCCCTTTGGGGGTTTACCGTCTGGATATTTGGCATAAAACGCATGCTTAGAAAGCACCTTCGCTTTCCCATTGATCGAAGTTAAGGGGTTTACGTTAAAATCAACGGTGATATACTGTTCATTTGGAAGAGCATCGGATCTCTTCTTCTTTCTCGTAGATAGAAACTCATCTGGCGATGCAAACCACATGATATTTGCAGCTTTCAGTGGACATGTCTGGTCGATGGAGCGTCCATTTTCCTCTGCTTCTTCCTCAAGGAACTCACAGATAATTCCGGCCCAATCCTTGCCCGCTTCGGGGGATTTGAGAAGAACGGTTTGACCCAATCTGCATTCGAAAGAGCCCATTCGCGCTCCTATGATCTTTCTCGGAGCCTGGGCAGGTGTTGAGTTTGACTGTTTGCCTTTCTTCTTTCTCGTCGCATCCTCCTGATGCTGCTCCAAGCCACTAACCGGGAAACTGCAGTCATAAATCCATTCCCAGGGAAGATCTTCACATCCAAGCTCGTCATCAGAATCCTCATGATGAATGCCTCCTTTTGTGAGCCACAGCTTGGCCAATTCCTGCGCTTTCTGTTGAGGGTCCTTTGGTGGCATGGTGTTGAATTGTGGAAACGAATATCACAAGAGCATAATCATCATCGTTCAATCCATCAAACGCATTTTCGTTCAATTCGGTCGAGAAAAGCAAAGTCTCAGTTACGCGAAACCTCGACGCGTCGAGAACGCGAGGTTGAGTTTCCAGTATTTCGATTAATCTGTTTGCAGTTTAGCGTGGATTAATGATCCGCTAGTCCTATTAAGGGCTAGTTCATAGAATGCATGCTTGAGCTTGCGAGAAAAACAAAGGCCCGCTAGAGCACATCCTTGCTCAGTGCGCAAACGACCACGAAAGAACGGCGGTGGTGTGCTGTTCCTGGAGGAGTCCGGTCGCCGCCTACGACTTCAACAACTATAGTGCTTATCACTTTAATCCAGCTGAGCATTAACCGATTGCGGTCCCTTATGACATTGATCTTGTCACACGGCGATTGACTCCGGTCAGCCTCTCCGCCGCCTTCTGATAGTGACACTCACAGGCAGCCCTCCACCGATTAATCCGTCTTTGTCCCCAATCCCCTGGCTACTATTTTCTCTCAATCTTCATCAGCATGTCTTTATTTGGCGCTCAGAAACCTAGTCCGTTTGGGTCTGGTTTAACAACAGGCCAATCCCAGCAGGGTGGAGGCCTTTTTGGCGGCTCACAACAACAGCAGCAGCAAAGCACCTCGCCGTTTGGAACATTGGGAGTGCAGTCAAAACCCGGCGGCCTGTTTGGTGGTGTAGGCCAGCAACAAAGCAGCAGTCCTTTTTCTGCATTTGGTTCCGGCACGCAGCAGCCCCAACAACAAGCTGGCGGTCTCTTCTCTGGGCTCGGAAGTTCAACCCAGCAACAGCCCCAGCAGCAAACGCAGCAAACTGGCAGTCTTTTTACTGGCCTAGGCAGTTCTACCCAGCAACAACCACAACAACAAACCGGTGGTCTTTTTGGCGTTGTAGGCTCCCAACCTCAACAGCAACCATCGCAGGGTGGAGGTGGCCTCTTCTCTGCCTTTGGCTCGACTTCTCAACAACCGCCACAACAGGCTGGTAGCCTATTTTTAGGTCTTGGTCAGAAGCAACCGCCCTTTGGGTCAACACTTGGTGGCGTTGGGCAACCGCAAGCACAATCTCAATTGGGTCAGACGCTAGGACAATCTCAGGCTCCTGGTTCGACCATATGGACACCCGGCCAAGGGATGACTGGTGGTAAGTTATACGTCATTTCCGGAAGTTGACACCAATGCTAAGAGCCACCCAAGTCCATCGAACTGTTCCGATGCAAATGATGATCGTCAAAGATAAATGGGACCCAATACACCGAGCCTCTCCATTTCGTTCTTACCTGTACAATTATGCGAGTGACGAGACTGCGCCGTTCTTCCAACCAGGTCCAATCGATGATGAGAATAAATGGGAAGACGCTCTGCGGAAGCGTCCTGGGCCCGCGTACGTCCCAGTTCTCGTAAGGGGCTTTTGGGAACTTGGGAAACGTGCCCAGCGACAACGAGACTTTTTGACCATGATACAAACAAGGCTACATGAAATCAACAATGCCCTTACCGAACTACTATCCCGTCATGACCTTACGATTTCAGTCAGGATCGCTGCATGTAGGAGGAAACATCAAGTGTTGAGCCAAAGATGTCTCGCGTTGGCCTCAAAAACACAGTTGCTTAGGAATCGTGGATATGCCATGGATGAAGCGGAAGAAGAGCTGTCAAAGAAACTGCTCCAGCTTGAACGCTCTATGTTTGATCCAACTCTAAATGGGAGATCAGAAGAAATTTGGGCGAGGATGCTTGCAATCAGAGAAAATACAAAACGTCTACAAATGGAGATTGAACGAACAGGCAAGGGAGCGGCACAACAAGAAGATGACACTTTGAGCGATGCGCAGCTGAAGGCGGCCAAAAAGGTATGACATTGCTTCGCAGGCATTTACCTTGTCAAGTCTATCTTGCTAACCGTGTATAGATTTTGGATGATTATGCGTCACAAATACAACACCTAAATAAAGAACTTGCCGCGATTCAGAAAGATTACGAGGACCTGGAGAAATCTAGCATATCTTAAAGAGATATCCACTCTAACGTTTCCGTCAGTCTTGACGTTTTCTTCTCTTCACCTGGACTGTTTACGGATTTAATTTGTAACTCTTTGACCGTGGCGTTGGTGAGAGCGTGAGCGGCTATCGGGTTTATATTTTTTGGGATTTCCCGCCTAGAATCAAAAGCAAGATATTCCAGTACTGCTGGCCAGCTATTTATTGTACATGTGTAATGATGAGACCTGATACACCGAGTTTGCCTTCCCTTAACCAAATCAAATAAAGATCTAAAGTCAAATAGGCTTATCCTATCCTCGAACAATCAAACCGTAATGCATAAGCATGGAGGTTAATGTGCCTGTGCCTAAACGTGCTCCCTGAGATAGTAATGGTATGTATAAAGAGGTTTCGGGAGTGGGCGGTATGCTTCGTAGCTCATAGCTGGCGGTAAATTAAAACAATTTACGGACCAAATCAATGGCGAAAGGAGCTAGGAAAGAACGATAGCAGATCAGCAGCAGCCCTCATGATGAAGTGCAAAAATTTTTAACATACAGAGATATAAAAGGATGCTTCCGGCAACAACCATGTTGACAGTTTGGCGGGCTTCAACTTCCCCGGCCTGCAAGAATAATTGTCAGTCCTGGAAAGTTGCAAGCCTCTTTGGTATTGCGATGTTCTGAAGGACCTCATGAGCGAACAAAGTGCTGGCTGACCTTGATCTCTTCCTTGGAGAGCTGCTCTTGACCTTGGCCAATATTAGCAAGTTGCTCCTCTATACTTTGGACAATGTTCCGAAAGTGATTTGAAGGCTTACCTGGCATAAACATCTTGTTAAGATCAGAATAGGGATGCACTCAATGAATAAAGAGATTGCCAAAATATTTTTAAGTAAGATGTATAATCAGGGCCTGGAGAAGTTGTTGTTTAAGGCCGATGTTGCTGCTGTCATCATAACTTTTTCAGAGGCCCAAAATTTAAAGTTTTGATGCAAACACCAACCAATTCGGTCAAAGAGGAAGCAGATGAAGGTCGCCTTCGAGAACCTCACTGTAGCATCACATTCAGTTCCAGTGGGTTTTCTGTTCAGTCTCCAATTTATATTCGCTTTTCTTCCCCCTCTTATTCCTTTGCTCTTCATTTTAAACAACAATACCCTTTCTTAACGCTACCACAACAGCTTTCCCGTTTCACCTGTCCTGTTATCACACTCACCTCCCCGGAGCTTTCTTCATATTGGTTTCTAAGCGAGCCTATTATCAAAATGTCGGCCTCGCCAGAGCCTCGAACTGATTCCCCACCAGTCGATTCCACTATTGACAACGAAGAAACCGTGGCGAACGACCCGGTCCCCACAGATCCTCTTGCCGCCGCGGATTTATCTGATGATGAATCCGTTCTCTCTGATGTTGATGAAGCGCAGTTTGAAGGTTTTGACCCGGCGAACGTCGCCATCGATGATCGTCCAGCTCTCGCGATCGATGAGGAGAATCTCAAGTTAATCGGTCGCCATAAGCGCAGAAGAACCGAAGAGGAGGACGAGGCGCAGCGCAAGAAGAAAAAGAAGGAATCCAAGCGTGAGAAGAAGAGTCGTAGGAAGCAACGGGATAGCGATGATGGATTCAGCGAAGGCGAAACGGTGGAAGGCAGACGGTCAAGGAAGCGCAAAGAAGGCAGGGAGAGAAGCAGCAAGGTCGTCGATGAAGTGAATGAGGAGGAGTTGGACCCAGCTACACGTATGATCTATTACGGCTACTCGATTTATCGCATTTGTGACTAATTTGTGGTTTCAGGACGTCGTCGTGCCTTGGATCGGATGATGGACGAGGCGTTGAAAAAGCCTACTAAACGACGTGTGAGAAAAGCAGATGGAATCGTATGTGATTGTTTTATCTACATCTACGGACGTCATGCTTATGAATCAACATAGGATCTTGCGGATCAAGCCGATGCAGAGATTGAGGATGTCCGTCGCAGGATGACCGATGCAGCCAGACTTGACAGCATTGCCCGCAGAGAGAACCGTCCCGCCCAGCACAAATTGAAAATGCTTCCCGAGGTAGTCTCGCTGCTAAACCGCAATCAGTATGTGAATAGCTTGGTGGATCCGGAAATCAACCTTCTCGAGGCTGTCAAGTTCTTCCTGGAGCCTTTGGACGATGGCTCGTTGCCTGCTTACGACATTCAGCGAGAGCTTTTCGCCGCGTTATCGAGACTTCCGATCACCAAAGACGCATTAATTGCCAGTGGTATTGGCAAGGTTATTGTGTTCTACACCAAAAGTAAGCGACCGCAAACCACAATCAAGCGGCAGGCAGAACGGCTTCTAGCAGAATGGACGCGCCCTATCTTGCAGAAGAGCGATGACTACTCCAAGAGAGTCTATGAAGAAGTTGACTTTGATCCACGGCATGTACCATATTTGCAATTTCCAGATGTCCTACATTTCTCGTGTTGTAAATCTAACGTTCTTGTGTTCACAGTCAACTTGCCGTTCGCCATCGACAAGTATCCGCCCAAGCCACTGCTGCCGAAGCTCGTGCCAGAGAGCTACTTCCTCCTCGTCTAGCGAGCCGTGCCCGCGCCCAAGGTGGACATACGACATATACAGTTGTGCCTCGCTCCACCATGGTGCAGGAAAGCAAATTTGCTCGCCCATTGGGTGCTAGCGGCGAGGATCGCTTCAGGCGTATGAAAGCTAGACAGATTGCAGCGACGAAAGCCTCGAAAAGATGAAATCTAAACATCATTAACCAAAATCGTGATGACCACGCTAGGCCCCGTTGGCTTTTATCACTGGATGATGACTACCTTATTTTCTTGCATGCCGGAGGACGAGGTGATTTGCGGAGTGAGTCGACAACTTATTAACTAGTAACTTCCCCTACCCCATTATTCATACTGCCTCTTTATCCGCTTTGTTGTTTTGCTTTGGTTCTGTAACGATACGTGATATTTTCATCCCCTTGAAGCTTTTCTTGTTCTCGATGGCGTCCCGGAAGGTGGATTAGGCTAGGGAGCAAATGGCGGCGTGGATCACAGCAAAGGTAACTAGTATCAACAATAAACCCAAATTATCTATTATGAATTACTGGCGGCCCTCCAGTCTCAAGGCTACCTGCACTGGGGAGACAAAATCGAGAATGCTTGCAATTGGGCAGGGCGTTGAAGGCGTGCATTCAGTTCTACGAATGCCTCCTGGCTTCAGTGCTATCAAGCGCGCACCTTGCACTCCAATGGTACATAATATACGCCGCACGGGCGGTTCTCCTTTGCTGAGTGGCAATTATGACATATGCATATATATATATATATATATTAATCACATGGAAGTGAAAGGGTTGGGGAACCATCGGGCCTGGACTCGACACGGGGCCTAATTATCGAGTACAGAAGAGTCAGCTTGGGAAAAGACCGTAATTTGTGGCTATATGGCTCTCTAGTTTGGCCCTGGCTTTGCTCGTCACATCGCTGGATGAGGAGTGAAGCCGCATGGCTCATACGAGCGGAGGATTCCGATAGGTAACGTATAAGTGGAAATTGGGGTCTATCATAGTTGGCCTAATGACAAAATTTGCAAATCAAGGCTTAATATGGATTACTTTATTTCTGCAAAGAGGTCATTATCAGTGGACACCTATACCCAAGGTATAATGACCGGAGCTGAAACCGTGAAAGCCAATGACTAGGCCTTCACCTCTACCATTTCAAGGAAAGCGCTCGTTCTCAAGGACATGACGATAGGAGTCCGCGGTAGGTATACTCTGCAGAACATTCTGTTTAGCGATGATAATTACCCCGGTGCTGCGGAAGATCTCTGTCGGACAGAAACTCAGAGTCTCCAGCTGCAAAGAGGCATGTGTACATTAGCTGCATCGCAGCCTTCTGCACGACAACATTTTTGCAAAATAATAGTACTGTTATGAGGAGGGCTCGCGGGCAAACACCATACGCATCGAACCGTAACAGTCATGGGGAAGCAATGTGACGGCCAGCCATCTTCCCACTCTAACCGGATGGTGCGGGCCAGAAGAGCAAAGAGGAATGCGTCTGACACCCTGGCATACGTCAACTGCTCCGGAGGTGCTCTATCACCACAGAACCGTCCTTTCACTCTCATATCCGATCGGTCGCTCTTCGGCCTCAATTCCGCACACTTCCTTTCATACTGTCCATTCCAAGGAACGGGATACGATTTCCTGAACTCGGGAAAGAATATCTTTTCCGTGGTGTCCTCCGCCGGCAAACAACTCAGCCAGAAACATGGCTAGTCGTGATACCCACAGTAGTAGGGAGTACTCGCGTGGCGGAATTGGCTCCGAGAAACCAGGAAGGCCACGATTATCGATCCCAAGCATACCCCGCCGGCTTCCAAACACGAAGAAAAGACTTGCCTCCTTTTTTTAAGTTGATAATTTGTCCGCTGCGGAGCAAGCAGCTCTGATTCAGAGGGGCAAACTACATGCATATTTCTTAGCCAGTTGATGGGGCAAGCGGGCAGAGATATTGTTGTAATTAGCCCTGCCAGAGCTACTCCGTACATTGCAGCTGATAACAACTTGGCTGGCCCCTAGAGACGCGAACAAGTCAAATCGCTGGTGTTTGTTGAAAGTTCATTTAAGGTTCAGATCGGCAACCAGCCAAGCTGCTATAAGTTAACGAAGTGAATGCTCATGGAGAACCAAAATAACATGCAAAGTGACGGTAAAACCCAACTCGCAAACACCTTTGTTAGCCAAAGCTTAAGGTGATTACTCGAGGCTCGTGTACCAGGGCCTATAGGTACGAGGCAATTTTCTCTGGAGCGTATCTGCCGAATAACGAGCGGGGTATTTTTGATCATCGCTCACCCAAGATGTTACTCATCTATCTTGGAGAACCCCAACGTTGACGCCTCCAGAGTGCGGAGTAGGCGGGTTTTCTTTGTAGATCCGGGGAGGGGGGTAACTCGGTGGATACCTAGCCACGAGTAACAGTATGTAGCTCATGGTAATCACACTTGGGTGTATGAATGTAGAGTAGCAGAACACAAGGTAGGCTTGCAGATAATATTTTTCGCTCCCCTTGCCCATCGTCCGATGGATGTTGCAGTTCTATATGTAGTGTTGGTTATCCCATACATCTGGAGCAGCAGAATAGCCCGGTTATTGGCATCCAGCACACCGAAATCACCCTTCCAACTACTCGGTTAGTTAAATAGAAGTATGCCATTACATGTTAAACTTCAGGTTAGAATTAAGGCCATTGATACTCTGTAGAAATGACTAATATTGAACAGCACAAATGAAGTATAAGGAACACCATATTCTGCTTGAAGCATGAGATATAACTAGTAGCAACTCAGGAAAGCATACCTGCTTGCTTGATTCAAAAAGTCGAAGGGCAATTCGTCCTATTCCAGCGGAGGCTTATCTTGCGGATTTAGGTAGGAGTTATTCACCAGATCCTGATCACAAACGATATCTGAAGTTCCTATTCTCTTTATCCGTCATATCTTCAAATCCTTCCAGAGCTTCCTCCGCCTCATCCGTACATTGTCCTAAGCGATCTCGGCTCTTGTTGTCAAAATAGCATAATGTCGTGTAGAAAACTTGCAGGACTATCCCGGCCCCGTAAGTAGCCAATAACCCCTTGATTGCAGACATGTATCGCGGCGCCTCATGAGCAATAAACAGGTGAGGCCCTGCTATATTTCCCGCGCAATAACAAGCGAAATATAGCCCCATTACGGTAGAGCGCTTGGTATGGCCTGACACATTTAAAGATGGCAGCGTCCAAGTTAGAACGATGGGGGACCCGACGACAGTCTGTAGCGATGCACACGCCACGAGCGAGTAACGGTTTTCGAGTGGGATGGTTAAAATACCGATCAGCCCTGCTACTCCAGGAAGACACGAAAGCAAGACCGTTACACCGACCATATTTCGGATGGTAGAAATGTAGCCAAACACGATACCCAGAATCATCTGAGTACCGCCGGAAGGGGTCTGGAGTAAACTGGCTTGCAGGCCAGAGAACCCAAACCCTTTGATTAACGCGCTCAGAAAGTTGCTTACTCCGCCATTCAGAATCCCGTAGCATACTCCCATGAGCAAAACTAGATAGGATTTCGGGTCGAGTAAAGCTTCTTTGAGTTGATATGGGAGGAACTTTGCATTCTGAATTCCAGTTTTATTGCGCCGGATACGCCACACTGCGACGACCCGTTCATACTCAGTGAGCATTTTTGCGTTATGGGGCCCATCTGGCATAAAAAGTACTAGCACGATTCCCCAAGCGACTGTCATTGCGCCAACGACCTAAAACTTCGGTTAGGTACTCTCTAATTTAAAAAGGTCGTTCCAAAAAACATACAAGATAGATAAGCTTCCAGTTGGGAACAGAGAGATTATCAACATGTCCTAGGCCATAGCTGAGGAGGGCACCGATGATAGATGCCATGCCGTTGGTAGAAAGCCAGAATGATGTTCTTAGAGGTTGCTCCTCACGAGTCCATAGGGTAGCAGAGAGCAAAAGCCAAGCCGGAGACACACAAGCCTCCACGGCGCCGAGGAAGAATCGCACAGCGAAAAAACCTGCGAAGTTGAAAACTGCAGCTTGAAGCATGCAAATTCCTCCCCAGACGAAGAGCATGTAGCCCACGAACTTCCCAACTGGCACTCGTTGAAGAATGAGGTTAGACGGGTATGAGCCCACAAACCAGCCAAAATACAGGGCTGAAGCAACCCAAGAGTACTCATCCCCGCTCATATGAGTATCCTCTTGGAGGCCATAAGCATTGGAGTAGTTAAGGCTCGAGGATGGTTAGATGCTGGACTTTCATTTTGAGGAGATAGCTTACGTCATTTTATCCAAAAAGCTCAACATATAGGTGGTCATCATCATTGGAAGCACGAGCAAATCCAATTTCCATCGGACTCTCCCAACATCTCTTGCGAGTTGCTCCTGGTCGTATTGTAGAGACTGCTGGAAGAGACCCAACCCAATATCTTTGTGAACCGTAGAGTCCCCTTTTCCGTAGTCAATGGCGGCGCTGAACACCTTGCTAAGGCCGCCACTCTTTTCTGTCTCTGTGGCTACATTATTGCTCTCGAATACCGTTTCGTGCCCCTGTATACGAGGATTCTCCTCCGTGAATTTCTCCTCATCTACCATGTTGAAGTGAGATATATGAAAGGAGAGCTGTTGCCAATTCAATCAAGTATATGGGTATAAGATGGGTTTTCCGATGACGGCCTTCCATGAAGAAGTGCCAACCCAGAATATGGCGATAGGAGGATATAAATCATCAGGAGAATTAAACATTGTCCAGTGCAGGACTGACGATCTTTGCTGGTGTCGCCATAGTTGGCCAAAGCTGCATGGGCTGAAGATAGAACATGATCAGAGTGGCCTTCGGCCGATAAGGAGAAAAGGGAAAGTTGCTGCGGAAACTTTCCGCAGGAGGTACGGTGAGGATTTTATTCATTTTTGTGAAAGTCATAAAGTCGATTGTATCAAGTCCTCTTAGAGTATTATGCTTGATCTTGCTCGTTAGGGCAAAGAGTGTGAGGCATAGGTCGAGAACTCTTGGGTTAAACTGTTAGCTACCCCAGGCCAAGCAGACGGGATAAGCACTGGGGAACGTGCTCTCCACATGGGGCAAATCCCTAGCTTGTTGGTTAACTATGTAGCTAAGTTAACTAGTAACCTTGACCAGAAAACGGGCTAGACCCAATCGACGTGTTTGTCATGCCGCTTTGAGACCTAGCTCATGTAATCAGATAGTAATGTGGATCCGAGACTTACCAGGCTTGAGACAAGATGTCGCTCTCGGCTCTAACGGAGAAGCGGATGCAATTCATTGGGAGATAAAGCCGACAAAGGCCTTTCGACATCCGTCGAGCGATTGTCAACCTGGCAAAAACGTGGCGATATCTGGCATTATCATCAAAACTTTGCATTGCCGACAAAATACCAGTCATGGCGTCGGCTCGGCATCAATTCCGTCAGCTTCTGTGGACGTCGAGAATTACCAATTCCGTGCATTTTCGCCGCATGGCAGGACAGGTCCCTTGAATTTGTGGTTATGGAACAGGATGACTGAGACACGCCGAAGAAAATGTGACGAGCGTGACCCGAGTATCGAGCATAAAGGAAAGCACCGTCAACTCATAACCAGAACTCATTCTGATGCGAATATATTTCCTAACGAATTCCAACGACACATTTCGCAGCCTGGTGGTTTTGGCCACTAAATAATAGCAGAATCAGCAGTTTAACGCTCTCCCAATTTGCAAACACAGAAAGCAATCCAACAATATCTGATCCTTCGCGTGACAGAGAAAACATGCAACATGAACGACAGCAAACACAAGACGTTCCTCGTGCCAGGCATGAAGCGTTGTCATCCGCACTAGCCGGAGGCGATGAGGAGAACCAGTTAGAGAACCAGCTAACCCAGACAATATCTGGCACGTTATCATTTCCTGAAGGAGGTCCGGCCGCCTGGCTTGTTGTCTTTTCGTCCTTTTGCTTGATCGCCGCGAGTTTTGGAATGGCTAATTCCATGGGGATTTTTCAATCGTACTGGCAACTGAATCAACTCTCTGCCTACAGCTCGCAGGCAATTGGATGGATATCCTCAACCCAAGTATTCTTAACCCTCTTCCTCGGCGTGCAGGTCGGGCCGCTTTTCGATCGATATGGGCCTAGGATATTAACACTCGTGGGTTCAGTGGGATGTGTCGGGTATGTGCTATTATTGGGGGAATGCACAAAGTATTGGCACTTCATGCTTTGCTTTGGAGTGTTGGCCGGAATTAGCTGTGCGATCCTCACTACCGTTGCGCTTTCAGTGATCTCCCACTGGTTTGAAGCGAGAAGAGGGTTAGCAACTGGGGTTGCGTTCATGGGCACAAGCTTAGCGGGGATATCGTTTCCTTTAGCGCTGAATCCCATATTAAATCGTTTTTCGTGGGCTTGGTCAATGCGGTTGTTGGCGCTTGTTATATTTGTCCTTGTGTTCATAGGCAATCTGTTCATTCGAGGCCGGCTCCCAACTGGGAAGCAAAAAGGAGTCGTCAGTTTGAAATGCTTTCAGGATCCAAAATTCACCTGGGCCACTGTTGGAATCTCGTGTATGTTGAAAACGCTTTTCTTATGTATCCCGCACCAAGAAGAATACTCACAAAGTAAATTAGGTTTCGAGTTTGTGCTCTACTCCACGTTTGGACTGCTCCCTACTTACGCCCTTGAACAAGGGTTTGGGCAGCGGACGAGTTTTAACTCGATTGCGATACTAAATGCGTTAGTATATTCATTCCTGATGTTCGACGAACAGCTACTAACTCGGTCAAAACAGCGGCTCGGCAATTGGACGATTCACAGCAGGGTTCATTGCAGACAGCTATGGTCGGTACAATAGCATGTTACTCTCCATTTTGATCTCTGTATTTGCTACGTTAGCGCTCTGGTTGCCTGTGGGCCATAATGTTGCTTTATTTTATGTCATGGTGCCTGTGTTTGGTTTCGGCTCTGGGAGTGTCGTCAGCCTCGCTCCAGTGTGCATAGGACAGCTCTGCAAAGCAAGTGAGTACGGTCAATGGTTTGGCACAAGTTATAGCATGGTGGCCCTCGCGTAAGCCGTCCAGTGTGACCCGAATGCTTGAAATCATGCTGACAACAGGATTAGTACTCTAATCTCTATTCCAATCACAGCCGAACTCCAATCAAGAGCGGGAACAACGGCTTTTGTTGCTTTCTCCGGAGGGGTGTTGGTTCTCGCGCTGGTTTCGTTTTTAATGGCGAGATGGGCCTGCCTTGATTACAGGTGGAAAGGGAGAGTGAAAATATGAAAGTGTCAAAGAATGAAACGCAAGACAATGCAGTACCGTGTGAAATCGATACCGCGACTAAGGATTTGACCATAATTGGGATTCCATCCGCAGCTCCTCGTACGCGGTGTGGATCGCAGTTAAGTTTTCCCGACATCACGCCGCACAAGTTGGTTTATAGCATTGTTGCCATAAAAGTCGGCGAAAAGTGAATAATAGCGATTCTATCAGGGAGGTGAAGTGTTTCGCAAATGTTTGGCGATCGGTGAGGTCGAGATGGCCTCTGAGAGAGTAGTCGGACCACAGTCCTTCTGATTCCCAGTCGTTGTGCCCGGGGACCGCCGGATTGATTTCGATTGCCCGATGGACGCAACGGCGAACCTAGCACTAGATGACGGACCGAGATTCGAGTATGCTACATTTTTTGCATCCGGATGCCACCCGGCAGCTGAAATTGGACACATCCTTCATGCCAGATCATTGAGAACTTCACTTGCCTGGACCGAAGTTCACCTGGTACAGCCATTTTGTCTCAAACGAGCCCCTTGAAGCCAGCCCAACGATGTCAATGTGTCACGTCGGCGGAAACAATATCCTCGGCTGAGCAACCAATGACCCGAGTTGTGATTACGTGCTTGACTAGATATTTGGCCTGTATGTAGTTAACGGTGTCAGAAGATTCACACTTGTTCAATATACAGTGGAAGCTGACGGCAATGCTGAGCACATTTCATTTCTATGAAAATTGAAAATCAACAATCCTATTATCATTTCTTGTTAGCCCATAGGTCTTATACTGTTGAAGATTCTGTTAAATTGAATGAGGAGGGTACGCACAGTCCGTGGTCAATTTTCGGCGACGGGCAACAGAAATAGGAATTAATATGTAGATGCTGATAGCATTGAATAGTCATGATCTGTAGCTTTCAGTAAAATGTCACTATCAAAAGGTAGGGTCCATAGAAGCGCCTTATATCACTCCATGGTTGGCAAATTCCATTTCAAATCTTTAGATGTTTTAGAGCAACTCAAAGCGTCCAGTGGGCTTGGTTCGAATACCAATAACGCCAAAACAGAATAGGTTAAGTTACCACATTGGAACTGTAAAGATAACTTGGCAGTTTAATATGGGCCTCCCAGGGCTCCGTGCTATTCTCTAAACGCGCATAGCTGAGTAATGATACCTGCTGCCAGGCTTTTTTTTAATATCTTTGGTACCTAAAATGCCTCTTCTCGTGTAAAGTGAATTATTCTGATCTCAATTCTCTCGATTAACAGGCTCAGGACTTATTCGAGTCTTGTAGAGCAGCATGTCATGAGAGCCTGCAATGCTTGCAACTCAACTATCACCTGAATCATTGTTGTTTTGCGGGGCCATCAGCCTCAGAAGTCTTCTTCGACAGACACTAGAACTTGCAGAAAAGGCGCCAGCCAGCATGGTGGGATGCTGAAAAAAGTGAAAAACAATAACAAACAATTTACCAATCTCTCACTTGTTTCCAACAATGATCTGATGGGAACATTAGGCATCGAAGTTGCGCACCTCCGTGGGTGGAGGTCGCGGGTTCTCCTCCACGTGACCCAAACTATATTTCAGCCTTATCACCGTCCGCTGCAACCCCGACTGTCATCATAATCACCCCAACCTTGAAGACCACGCAGGATGGGTTCTGTTGTTCTTCCACACTTGCCTACAGCTTGGCATGTCGACCAAGCTATTCTTTCTGAAGAGGATAGGCTGGTTGTCATTCGTTTTGGACGCGACTGGGACAAAGACTGTAGGCAGATCGATAACAAATGCATTTGTTTTCTAACCTACCCACCCTAACTAACTCTCTCATAGGCATGGCCCAGGATGAAGTTCTTTACAAAGTTGCAGACCGTGTGAAAAACTTTGCTGTCATTTATCTTTGCGATATTGACCAGGTTCCGGATTTCAAGCAGATGTACGAACTTTACGACCCGATGACAATCATGTTCTTTTTTCGCAACAAGCATATGATGTGCGACTTTGGCACGGGAAACAATAATAAATTGAACTGGGTGCTTGAGGACAAGCAGGAGTTGATTGATATTATAGAGGCAATTTACAGAGGCGCTAAGAAGGGGAGGGGCTTGGTTGTTAGTCCAAAGGGTGAGTGTGATTTTGTCTGTCATCACCCTTGTCGCATTTATCCCTAAGCTAATAGCGGGAATTTTTCATAGACTATTCCACGAGATATCGTTATTAATGCGTGGCAATTGTGGCGTTGCTCTCAACAACTAAAGTCATTACTCAAGATAGAATTTCCACAAAACTATGAATTTGGGTTGGTTCATTACTGGATCTGATTCAGGGGGCTATCTTCAGGGTTTCCGTGCCGGGATATGATAAACAATGGTATGTTTAAATGACCTAGCGTCTGTCGATATCTCCATTTCAATGCCAAAGCTTAAATTTCATGTGTCATCGAGATTTCCTTTGGTAGATATGTGGGGTTGCTTTCTAGTTAATCGGAAAGCCCCAGGGCTGTACAAACTCGACCTCTGATATTCACAAAAGATATATTTGTAACCGGAACGGTGGCAACTGGACTCCATGGCACCTGTCGTGGATTGGAAGCCTCAACATTCCGTACTATGCAAAATTTTTGGCGTCACATATCTGACAAGCATACCGTGTTCAGACATCCCGAATGGAGGGGGTTCTAGGGAGACATTGATATTTCAACTAGCTCCCGAGAATGGATCTCTCCAACTGAGGAGAAGGGACTCAAGGCCTACCGTTGTATACACCTTCTACACTCAGAAGCCGACTTGCTTGGCTCGGTCTACTTTTCGCAAATATGCTCGCAACCGTTAACTATGTGAAATTCCAGCAAGAACCGGTTGTCCTATCGACCAGAGAGTCCCTGGATTCAGGCAACCTTTGAAGCATAGGTTTCCAAGTGGCTTTAGAATCGGAGGGTACGGCCGCCACGTCACCTGAATGTGGTGGCCGAATGGCCTCTGCACCACCGAGAATTATGTACTCCGTAGACTTTAAGTCTTCGATGTCTCCTGGGACCAAGCGATTTGGCTTGGCCATCCGAAAAATTAATTTGCGCGGAAAAGTGGGTCGGCTCGATGACTCAGCATAGATCGGCGCAATCCGATCGGTACAAACTTTAATTGGACATCAAATTCTGACTTTTCGATTTTTTTCTGATATTCAGTTTGGAGAACTCCGTAGCTCGGAGCGATTAGATTGGAAGGCATGTTATGTTCACGTGTTTCTTATTGGAAGAGCTGATTTATTCCTATGCGGTGAGAACCCTCCTGGCTTTAATGTATATGATTATACATACAGACCCTGGCGCGATCAATGCAGCGAGAAATGATTGCTGTAAGTCACTGCTAGATCCATACTCAAGTATTTGGCTCTTGATCGCCTTTTCATTCCTTCTTCTGCGCTGAGACACCTGTAACCAGCCTTGAGGAAGTGAACCGGGAGAGTGAAGAGTATCCAACGGGGTATGCGAGCACCCTGTTGAATTATCAGTAATTACTAAACTATTGTGTAGCGCTACAGCCGATCACCTCTGCAGAGAGGACAGCTATCGGCGTCGAGGATGCTCTGCCGAAGACCCTTGCAGGTATCATGGCGCTGTCCTATCAGTACAATAACGGGACCACGAAGGAACCGGCCGGTAGCGCACCATCACTACTTTTACCGACTCAATTTACATGTAAGATATGTATCTCCTTTCCATAGCTACTGGGTAAATCGTGATTGACAACCGTCAGGTCCAACGCCAACATATTTCCTCAAAAGCCGAAGGCTGTAAAAGCGACAACAGTGATGAGGCTTCTGAACTTCCAGACGAACAACAGATCTTCGTCACATACAAACCTCTTCTTGAGAAGAAAAGTAAGGGAAAACTTATAAAGGGTGTTTCCCTTAGAAATATTGTCATCAGTCACAAACGGGCTGCAGAGTCCCTGGTTGAAAGACTCGGAATTGATACGATTGTTAAGACCCTAAAATCTCTTGTGCAGAAGGGCGTGTTTCATTCCGAGTCAAAAGCCAAAGAACAATTCCCAACTTTGTTTGAGACTTCATCCACGCAAGCTGCAGAGCATCCTCAATCGGAGGAAAACGCGCTCGAGCCGGGGAGTGAAATCCTTGAGCAAGTGAGCCTTTTAGATCAAGAAACCCCGCAAAAGGACGAGGTTCAACCTGCCGGTGAAGTGGATATTGCCGAAGAGACAAAAACCCGAAATTCTACTCCGCGTAAGCCGTTAGCGACGACTAATTACGGTGCCTTGGATGCGCAGTGCTCTGGAACCAATATTCCGGGGACGAAAGTTCGCTCGTTGTTCCCGCCATATATCCCGTACAAGGTCCAGCACGCCATTCTTTCGAAAATTCAAACTTTACTGGAAAAGAGTTGCTATGAATTCACTTCAAAGTGGGCACCTGCACTGGCGTCCGAGAGAGGATGGGATTGTCCTGAGGCTATCGAATTGAATAGGTGGACGGGAAACATGTATTATCGACTCAAAAATCTGCCGGACGGTGCTCTGGACAATAGATATAACTCGGACATATCCTCTGTGTTCGCCTCCTTATGTGGACTTCGACATGCCGCCGTGCACCGGCTGCATGTTAGTGTCAGGGGATTAGATGACATGATCCACAATGCTATAATTTTCACCGGCATGATTCGGGACACTACCAGGGAGTGTCAGTTGAACGAGCTGCATCTCGAACTTAAGAGGATCACGCGATCGCAAGAGTTACACTTGCATTTCCTCGAAAACCGATTAAAGGATGAATTCACCAAGATACGAGAATTAAGAGAGGAACTGAATAGGAGGGAGCAAAGAGCTTTAGACGCCATGCTAAGAGAAAATAACGAGAATCGATTTCTAGTTGGAGAGTTGTTAGAAGAATCCTTTGGCAAAGTTTTCAACAGTGGCCTCGAAGATGAGAAGCTGGAATTCGACGCGAGCAGTAAGAAACAGAGACTGCCAGAATTGGGAAACAATGATGAAAATGAGGTCATTATGTCGCAAGCGAAAAAAGATGACGGGGTCCTGACTATGAAGGATGCATCCCCTAATTTACCTAGAACTCAAATGAAGCTAAAATCCCCACTACCCGAAGGCGAAACCGCAACATTAGAGGCAGAACTCCCGGATGAACTGTCAAGAGTTGATGGATCGACACCGGACGACCGCTCAGTAAAGCCCGCTGAGATGTTGCCAGCATTGGAAGATTCGGCTAAAAGTTCTCCAGGCAAGAATGCAGAACTTGAGGACGCAGTGACTGACAGTCATGCGTCAAATCCGGCTCCAGAATTTGGTGGTTCAGAACGACAGGTTGATGAGGACGAAAAGGAGTCCAAGGATGCTCAATCATTATTTCAGAGAGGGGAGCAACGTGATGGGCAGGAACTTGCATTAGACAATACCCGGCCTGGAGAACTGGAAGCTGAAAGGTCAGTGGTGCAAGACCAAGAACCCAATCCCCTTAAACCTTTGGATTCACAACCACGTCTATTAGCGCCGACGTCAAATCCAACCAAGCTTGCATGGCCAGCATCCCCAGTTTCGGAGGTAGTGGGGATCCCATCAGCAACAGAAACCAGAACGGTTGCCTCACCGCCTGAAAAGCCAACTGATGAAATGGCGACTGGATCGTCAACTCAGCCCTTGACAGCCAAGGGAAGTGCACAGCAACTGATCTCCGGTCCTAAATCCACGTCCCAGATGAAACAATGTTATATTTTATGAAAGTTAGCCTTTGAGCGCAATACTTAGTATTAGGACATACCCCTATCGAGGTAGTCTTTGGGCATTATTCCCCCAGGAGTTTGGGTACGTACAAGATCAGCACCGAACTGAGCCGGGCTAGGTTCAAGGAATCTGTATAATATGGGAGGCGAATAAAGTATGGGATCTCTCATGTTACTTTACTGCTTTACACCTTTTTCCCCTACATCATATCCTGTAACATACTAGATTGGGATAATCCCTTGGGCGTTATTATATTTTATATTTATATTTTTCTTTTCTCGCTTGTTTGTTGAGAGCTGGCTAGTGCAGCAGGCTCTCAACGGCTTGATAGATGTTGTGTTTGCCATAAATAGGTAAGATACATGATGTGTGTTGAATTTTATGAACCGTCGAATAAATCGTTAAACTAACCAACCAGCAGTCAGTCAGTTAATATAGCTGGGACGAACCCTTGATATGTAGCATTTAGTTAACAAACTAACTACGGCAAAAGGAATCCAAGTTGGGATAACAACACGCAAACTTCGTAAAGCCGAGACTGGCTATGTATCTTTCATGGCGTCGGCTATGTCGGCCAAAATCCCATCCAAGGGGTGTTTTTTGACTTTCCGAGTCTCCTTGACCGGAGCGTGTTCCCCATCATTGGACGACCAAAAGATGAGGTGAGGATAGCTTTCCCCGCTTGAGTGGAATAAACTACTGGGCTAAACTATTTATAAGCAAAGGGACATCTCACCAATTCCAGCACCCTGCTTTCTCCAGGGGAGTTGGGATATCAACCGCAAAGATTCCGCCGAACCCATGTCCACCATGTCGGCCCGCGACAATGAAAAAGGCTCGGCGCGGTCTCAGCCGAGTCACGCAGCGGCGTCCGAAATCGAAAATGTGCCGAGACCTTCCCGGCAACAGTCTTGGACGGGTACTATGATAAAGGTTTTTATAATTTGCGCGTGCGCTGGAATAGTATCTAAATACATAATCCCTCTGGACTCTATCTTTAAGTCTGTTCACATAGACCCTCACGACTATGCTACGAGAGCGAATCGAATACTGTCGACCACGCCACTAATTGACGGACATAATGATCTTCCATATCTTATTCGACTAGAGACAAAGAACAAGATCTACGATCATGAAAAATTGCCGTTTCGAACCGGTTTGCTAAGTCATACGGACCAGATAAAGATCCAGGAGGGGAAGCTTGGAGGTCAGTTTTGGAGTGTCTTTGTCGAGTGCGCGACAGACCCAAATGCGGAGATTGATGATCCCACGGTATGAAGTGTCAATTTGAATTAGAAGTCCAATTGCTGTTACTTTGCATTATCCGATATTGTAGAGGTGCTAAGGTATCCATTCCATGTTTAGTGGGCGGTCAGAGATACGCTTGAGCAGATTGATGTCACGAAACGACTCGTGCAAGAGTACCCTGACCTTCTCGAGTACTGCGAATCGGCATCTTGCGCCAAAGCTGCGTTTAAAAGAGGAAAGGTTGGCAGTTTCCTGGGAATCGAGGTACGAATTTCAATTCCATTCTCCATCCTTAGGATCCGGTAAACGGCTAAAGAAATGATGATTAGGGAGGTCATCAAATCGGAAATTCGCTTGCTTCACTAAGACAAGTGTATGATCTTGGTGTACGCTACATCACCGTAACACATAATTGTGACAATGCGTTTGCCACTGCAGCCTCAACCGTCGCTGTTGGGAAACCAGATCTTGGTCTGACGGATTTCGGTCGCGAATTCGTCAAAGAGATGAACCGCCTTGGCATGCTGGTTGACCTATCCCACGTGTCCCATCAGACCATGCGAGATATCCTATCTGTGACAAAGGCTCCTGTTATGTTCTCGCATTCCTCTTCGTACGCGCTCTCTAAGCACCTCAGGAACGTACCTGATGATGTGCTGAATGGTGTTACCAAAAATGGCGGTGTTGTAATGGTTACATTCGTACCCTCATTCCTAAAAGTGGATGATCCTGCTTCTGCAACTATTCACGATGCAGTTGACCATATCCTCCATGTAGCAAAGGTGGCGGGGTGGGATCATGTTGGCATTGGCTCTGACTTTGATGGTACTGCGGATGTTCCCGAAGGTCTTGAGGTTAGTGTCCCTTCCTAAGTTCTCATAAGGAACCATCTCCCTGGCTAAACCTTTGATTAGAATGTCTCAAAGTACCCGCGGCTTATTGAGCTTTTACTTGAGCGTGGAGTAACGGATGAGCAAGCTCGAAAGTTGATCGGAGAGAATATCCTCCGTGTCTGGTCAAATGTTGAAGAAATAGCCGAGAATATCAGAGCACTGGGGGAGAAGCCCAATGAGGAGACTTGGTCTGGTAGGAAATGGACAGCGGCAATCGATATTCCGATGCCGTTTATGTTTAAAGATAGCGCAGATAAACGAAAAGAATTGTAATGAGGCTGCTGTCGATTAGTGATTAATCCTGCAAACATAGTTGATGAACATGTATTCATAGGGGTTATTTCGAAGTCGCTCAACTTTACTGTTTTCCCGGCAGGAGTGGACTGTGCCATCTTCGCACTCATTGAATCAAAGGCTCGCGAACCTAGGCATATGTGTAGGGTTAGGGAAATAAAAGCCACCAGACCAGCCATTGGGATAATGCAAGCATGTGCTGTTATACACACAATAGTTAACGTGCTTTACCCTCGGGTTAGCAGTAGGTGCAAACCTCTAAACTATAACATATGTCGGAATAAAATTGGTCATGAGTCTGCCTGTTTGCCGTTGTCCAGTCTGTTGCTACCAGCAGGAAGGTTAATGGAAGTTCTGGAACCCAGCCTTTATAAATGCCCCGAACATTAGTTCGGGGATAAGCTACTACGAAGTATATCTTTTGATGTCGCACTTGATAACATGATGCTTGTTGGCGCTCATTCTCGCGGGTTTGGATAGCTATTCCGGAGCCAGTACGGAGTACTCCGTATGGAGTACCGACTTGTTGAAAGATGTGCTCAGTGGGCCATAACGCGAATCTTCCTTTCACATGGTTGGTACGAAATACAGAGTACTCCGTAGGATAGCCGAATATATCGGAGACACCGTCACGTCTAAGGGGACCTCATAACACTACGGAGTACTCCGTACTGGATACTCTATACAGGAGTCCAAGGCGCCCGAATAAGTACCACTCATGAGTCAGGGGCAGAGAGATGTGAAGCAGGTGAGCCTCGGCTCAACTTTAAAAATAACTCTAACTTCCAGCTGAACTTTATTCTGACGGAGCTCTCGGATCGCTGTTGGAATGAAAAGAGAAGAATCACGACCAAAAAAAAAAAAAAAAAAATACTTCCTCGAGTTGAGACTCCCTCATTCCTGTTCTCTCTTGTGTTAGCTTCCCCTTTGCAATCTTCACTCCTTCAGGTTGCCGCTTTTTTGTTTTTCTTCAAATCACGATAAACGTATGAAATAGAGCTACACGGTTCAATTCTCCCTTCGTTCACTTCTTGGATTCTCAGCTGCTTCTTCTAGCCTTTGCGGCACTCGGCCATCATCTGTGCCGCATCGCAATTTGTGCACAGTGCCTCCGATTTATTGCATTTAGTGGAGTACAGATTATAAGCACTTGTTTCCTACTCTGAGCTCGATATACCAGTTGGTACAGCAATGGCTGTCCTGTCCCTTCCTGGTTTCACTACCTTAAAGACCATCATAGAATGGTGCGTATCGCAATGCACATGGAGAAACGCCGTTTTCATATACGTCTTGTTCAATCTCAAGTCTGCACCGTTTTCATGGCATGTATGGTTCCCTCTTTTTAGTTCTACATCCTCTACGGAGTACAACGTTCCAATTCACTCGGGGTCGAGAAACTTAGCTAATTCCAGATCTATTGTAAACAAAAATAGGTCCGCCTCTTCTTCCATCTCTTCCGCCGTATTCGCTGGCAACCGCATGTCTACCCCGACCCCAAACTCCGATCCGATTCCAAGACATGCCTGGAGCCGCATCTCCACCCCATATTCATGCCAGCCGGTTTAACTAGCCGCGCTCCACTTTGGGAGACAGACTATAACTGCCACAAATCGAACAGCACCTACTTTTCTGACCTTGACATCGCCCGTACTGTTCTAGTAACGAATCTCTACACACCCGGTTTTGGGATCCTCCGAAAGGAGATGGATACGGAGGTTGACGAGGACGGGAAACCGAAGTACCCCCGTGGTAGACTGGCAGTGATGCTGGGTAGCGTGCACTGCACCTTTAAAAAGGAAATCAAGCCTTATGAACGCTATGAGATGCAGAGCAAAGTTGCCGGATGGGACGAGAAGTGGATGTACGTTTTGACATTCTTCCTTCGACCGGAGAAACGTAAGGGTGAGGGAAAGACGCTTCTTGCCGTGGGAGTGAGTAAATACGTGACGAAAAAAGGTCGCTTGACTATTCGCCCTGAGAAGGTCCTGAGAGCAAGTGGATTGCTACCTCCACGCCCCGATGGGGAAGTTTCAGCAACGGTGTCGTTGGAAACACCGGCTAGTGGAGAAGCAGTTAATGTAGAAGATGGGTTGGAGGAGTCTGCTCTCCGGGAGGTGTTGACACTCGGTGAAAGCACTAATTTGGATCTGGCGGTGTTGGAGAATGATAAGAAGGCCCGCTCCTCGTGGGACGGTTCGATGTGGACCTGGGAGAAAATCGAGCAGGAGAGGCTGCGGGGGCTGGAGATCGTGCAGGGCTTTATCAATATGGACGCGAAGTTGTATGAAGAGGCAGCGTCGGTTTTATAACTTCCTATTTGGGGAGAAGTTTATGACCTTGAATCTCCAGTAATCGGCGCCGGACCTTTTCTGTCCTGGCTATTACGTTTGGGAGGCTTTATTGATGCAGTTCAGGTTTATTGGCAACGAGTGCATAAACTCCGAATAGAACATTTTAATTATATACGAAGTAACTCTTAGATATTCTAGATATGCAATTGGATTAATATTATTACAGCACTATAATTTCATAATTGTGTGTAATTGTCAGACGGCATTCAAACGAGCTCCATCTCAAAAGGAATTGCCTTTTTTTGATCTTGACTAAGAAAAGGACCTAAGCCCTTCTGATTTGAGTTTTGAATTCAAGCTCTTCCTTTTTTTTGATCTGTAATGAACGTTAGCTGCCGATGTCGGCAATGTACTATATAAAAGGAAAAAACAGAAGGGAAAGCCTGTACGGAGTATTCATTTATCGAATACACACCAAGCTTTGTGTATATGGAGACCACCTAAGTCCAATAAAGGCCACCTAAAAAATGTGAGACTATGCAATGCAGAAAAGACACCAAGCCTTTATGGGAAAAAAAAAAAAAAGAAAAAAAAGGGGGGGAAGGGAAGGAAAAAGAAGAAAGAAGGGACCTTCTTGTTTAAAGAAACAGAACAAACCCGCCATATATCCTTTCTAAAAACTAAACTCGAAAACGCCGTTATGAAGTGTCGGAAGGAGAGATTCATCAGGTAACGATTTGAGACGTTTCCGTAGAAAGAGAGCAAGGTTGAGAGGAGAGTAGTCGAGTATGAAACCGGACCAAACCGGTGGCGCTCGCAAGCGTCGTGAATTCGTATACTGTACAAATTAAGAGAAATTTTTGTCGGCAACCAGGTTTCTGTCTCCATCGCCGGCGCGGAGAATCAAAGCAAGCTGTCGAGATAGGTGCAATCTTTGTATTGAAGTGATGACGGCGGGCAGAGAAAACCAGTTAGCTGGAGGCGGTTTCTCAAGAGATTCATGATTTAGGTGGCCTAGACCAACGTTGTAACATTGCCAAAGGAGAACGCATGGGACCGTCTTCGTAATTTTGCTCAGTGGCCGGGATCGGCCTTCTCCTTCTTGCGATTCATCCGCTCTTCTTCAGCGTCAACCATGTCCTTCCATAAATCCTCACTGCCCTGCGCTACTTGGCTTGCCTCTTTGCCCTTTTTGGCCTTCAAAGCGTCCAAGACGCCTTTGCCCTGTCTCTGGTCATGAATCTCGAAAGCCGCGGAGGCACACAGCACCGCCAGTGTCAGACCCTGCGCATAGACACGAGCCTGCACGATCTTCTGCTGTCCACTCAAGTACGGATTTCTCCCCACCAAAACAAACGAGCCAATCATGCTAGCAACCCAAGTGGCACCGATAATCTTATACTTCTCCCTGCGAGCGAAATCCATGACTCGCTCCATCGTCGTCATCCTCGCCCATTGCTCGTTCCGCAGGCGCTCCTGTCGCTCGGTGACAAGGCGCTTTTCCTGATGCACGCTGTAGTCAAAATCTCGCGAGCTGATATCGGCAGCGATGACGGCAGCAAAACTGCCGGCAGAGGTGACGAGGAAGGCTTTCATGGGTAGTGTGAGAGTTCGGATGGTTGTCCAGCGTCGAGAAGCAAGTGCTACACCGGCGTATCCCCCGATCAGGCCGAGGACACCACCGATCGAGCCACCCTTGACGACAGCACTGTTTCATGCTGGGTTAGTCTTTTGATGCAAAATTTCGACAAAACCGGGATACCTGGGTACGTACTCGTAGTGCGCGTCTTCCTGTTCCTTGGTGAGAAGCTTCATTGCGGTGAGGGATTCGACTGGATTAATCGAAAAGAGATCGAAATGTGTTGATGTCCAAAGCGTGGGACTTTGGGGGGATGTAGCCGTGGTAATCGGAAGAAGGGAGAAAAACCAGCAGCTGGGTCACGAATACGATGACGTCGAATTTTTCCCTTTTTTTCTTTATCTGGAGAAAACCGGAGAACTCTAGTGAAGAATGCGGAGGATAAAATGAATACCCAAGGAAAATACAATTAAATAATGACAATTGAGCTATCGCAGAGGCAAATTATATGCTTTGATGTTCTTGCGGATTCTCCTCCATCATATTAATATACTTCACAGCTCGGGATTTGCAAGTTTGTTGGCGATGGATGACTCTCTGGCGGTTTTGCCCGATCCAGCGAACAGTCGGCGTTTGCTCGGGAGCCGCCGCCCTCCAATGACGCCACCCTTGAATGTCAGGAAAAGTTGTCGCTCTGGTGCTCGAGTCGCCTCAGCGGGCAAGTCAGCTGGTTCATAGATCCACTGTAAAAAGCTCCTCCGCGGATTTATCGATAAAAGATGTCGTCCAGGCCGAAAAAGCAAATGTGCCCCCCCAAACGAAGAACTATCAGACACGAGACAGCCTCTCGTGGTCCAGTAAGAGGATCGGAAATGATGAGGGTGTGCTGATGATTCCAAACCCACCAATTTATCATCAGAGAATATTAATCTCATATTTTCTTCGCTCCATACAGAGTAGACCCCCAATAAGTAGTGACAGCTACACAGGAATGAACCCCTTGATCTGCATTCATTGCGATGGGGAGAATGAACATAGAAGAGCCGATATGTCAAAAACTTCTCTGTGAAAATACACATGCCATTGCAAATTCGATATAGGGTTGTTAGGGAACGCAGAGAAGCAACATGCGAGTGCTTCAAGATCAATATGTCTTTTCTCAAAGAAATTAACCGCCGTTGCTACCTGAGAGGAGATCTAAATGGCGGTCGCAACAGGGCCATCAAGAGGGCCCGTAAGTCATCGTGGTTAGACCTAGTTAAGTGTCCAGACCGACTCTAGCCAGAGGGCACTGTGAACTGCACCCTCTACTTATGTATAGAAGTATTTCGGTCCCTGAACATTGATGAACACAGCTATGTATACACTGATAACCGGAGTGCAGTATGTATTCCAACAAAAGACAAGGAATATGAAAAAAAATCTTGGTATTACCATGTTTCTTCACCTTCACCTTCATCGTCATCGTCTCTTTCATTGATCTTTGTAGCATTCCGGCCACGCCGGACATGCGACATCTCATACTCCTCCGTACCGTTCTTATATTTCATACCGTGGTGTCCGATGTCTGACGGCTCAAGGAGGTCCCGAAGTCTCTTCTTGCCTTCTTCCACGGCTTGATGCGAAGCCGCCTCGGCCATTTTCACCATAGGACCCCAAAGATTGAGCTGGTAGATGATATAGGCTGCGACAGAGCAAAGGAAGAGCATAAAAAAATATACAGGGTTTCGAAGGACTGTGTGGGGTAGATTGTCAGCATAAACAATAAACGAGGGAATCCATCAACAAAACTCACCAGCAATAATCTCATTCCAACCAAGTGCCAGCAATAAAATGTAAAAGTACACTGGAATCTGAGTCATTCCGCCAATCGCACTTCTCTTCGCTTCAACATAAACACCGTCGGCTGCCTTCTTAAATCGAACTGTCAAGTCCTGCCTCTTGGTCTCGCTGAGCATAGTCATTTCTTCCTCCAAACTTTTTCCATCATCGTCAACTCCGCCAATTGGGACCAAGTCCTCCTCGTCGGCTGGGGTTGCGGCACTAGGGGTGTATCCAACCCATCTATCAAGTTGCGGAGTCGCATTTGTCTCCTGGAGGCGAAATCTGGATAAAAGGGGAATAAGGGTGAGGGTGGACTCCCGGGCCTTGGTATACAGCCCCTCAATATCATCTGTAGGCCGCCATATTCTCGGAACACCCGCCGAATCATATCGGAACTTGTCTTCAAAATTCTCTCGCAGTTTTAAAAGTAGGTTACCTTCCATCATCTCTTCGTCAATCTTGGATCGCAGCACCCCCCAAGCCTTTCTGCGCAACCTCCATAACCCAACATCGACCTCTTCTAAGCTAGCATCAAAGCTACTGGCACGTTCAGTGAATCTCTGCTCAGCCTCGAGAACAGTGGCAACAAATATGGACCATATTCTATCCCAAATGGTGTCTTCCGATGGTTTATCGCCTGTTTCGGGGGCGCCAGAACCGCCTCTACCCGAGCCAAGAGCATTGAATTCGAGCCCCACGGACTCGCCCAGTCGAGACCGCACCCATCGTTCAACCCTCGTCGCAAGGCGCCTCATTTCGTCCTTTCTAAGTTGCGCACTGATCTTCTCGAGATCCTTCTGATAAAGGGCGAGTTCTTGCGTGTAATTGCTCCAACAAGCACCCTCAATGACAGTGGCTTTTGCATCGTCTTCGAATCTCTCTAGCGCGATTTTCTTCTCCTTGTTTACAATGTCAGCAAAATCATAGCTTGCACCTTTCTTTTGTCCAGCTTTAACAGCGGCGGAGACAGCATCGCTAAATTGAGCGATACCAGATTTGTGGGCAGCGGTAAGCTGACCAGAGAACAGAACTTTGAGACGAGTGTCCATTTTGTCTTCCAGCTCTGCCCTTTTCATTTGAAAGACGCGCTTGTGATAGCGGCTAGCTTCCGTCTCAAAAGCACCTAGAGTCTTCACCCTTGCATTTTTCATTGCTGGACCAAGGCCAGCGAAGACTTCGGGATTTCCGGATTGAGCCGCTTCCGCCTGTTTTGTTTCAAAAGGAACAACGGCCTCGTCAAAAGCGACAAGGACTTCGCGGGAGATCTCATCGCAACGAAACTGAGCCAGTAGTTCTTGTTGAGTTGGCAGATCCAGGTCCTTATTGTTCACAATCTGATCCCATATACCCTCAGCATACACAGCAAAGCCATCGGCAGGAATACGTCTATGGTACTCGGATAAAAATATCCCGCCCTCCGTCTTATTACCTTTGGAAGGATCTCGGTGTCCTTCACGGAAACGCATGCTAAGCTTCTTGACCTCTGCGACGAACTTGTCCGTTTGGAAATTTTTGTGTGGAAGGGCTGCGAATTCGAAATCGAAATAGTCCTCGATTGTGGAGTTTTCCAGGCCTGGAGGCTTTGAAAGCGACGTCCAAATGCGCTGGAGGTCCTGCATCAGGGTGTTCTGCAAATTTTGGAGGGGCGTGGTTCCTAAGAAATCACGAATCACGAAGAAAAGCAATGACCGTGGGGTAGATCTTCATCCGAGCCATCAGCGAATATGTTTCCCATAAACGTAAACCGTAGTGAGGGGCGCCATACTTTTTGTCTTTCAGGAACAGTTGCATATTGACCTCAAATACGGTTTTCAAAAGTCCCATATTTGCCCCCTGATACAGCCCAACTTGATGTTCCCAAATATTAACAATCAGCACTTCGCTGGTCGCAAGCGCAAAGAGCGCACTTTTCCGCTCGAAATCCTGGTCTTCGCCGCGCTCTCGTCCATCGGTACCTTCAACATCCATGACAAGTATGTTATCGGCCATCCTGTTATTCTGCAGATGAGGCAAGCTGTTCTCCCGCTCAGAATCCTGGCGCTTATTCTTGGACATCCATATTCCCTTCGTAGTCTGTCGTCTCTCGGTTTCGGACATGACACTGAAGTGTGTGCCAAAGAGGTAGTTAAGTAAAGTAGATTTTCCGGTAGACTGGGACCCAAAGACAGAGATAAGATGGTAATTAAACCCGGCGGGTGTGACGCCTTCGTAAGCGAGGTACTTGGAGAGGTTGGGACTGAGATAGTCAACGAATAGGTTAGATTCCTGCATGCGCACAGCTTCAGGGAAGTCCTGTCAACAGATTGGTAGATAGTCGAAGAGCGTACTTGAACTCCTTGTCCTCATCCACCACTTGCACCCCATGCTCATAGCTTGCCACAGGATCATCCTCTGCGGATGCGAAATGGCCGTTGGACACCATGGCTACTACTTCCTGTTGGGCAGTACTCCGCTAGAGAGAAGAAGGCAATATATCACCTAATCAAGGGAAACCGGGGTAGTACGAAGCAAAATTGCAGTGTAAATGCGCAAGGTCGCATAAAGCTATGTGGATAGGAAAATAGGGTTCAGATGTTTCGATTTTAGAGCTGCCGGAGACAGCACGAAACTGCCTCCGCAAGATGCAAAGATGGTATATGCTTAGAGGTACTATCAGTCATCAAGGGCAATGAGAGAAAGGAAAATAGCCTGTCGCCATCTGTGGATGGGAGTAGGCTGTGATTTGACTGTTTATCGGTCAGGGAGTGTCTGGTGATGCCAGTTCTGGAGCCACTGGGGCAGGTTGTGTTATGGGGCGCTAAACTATTTAAGGAATGGTGCCATCCTGGCACTTTTAGACTTCAAGAAGAGCTCGATCCAGGGCGATTCGTTTGAAACACTACTTTGATTGCTGTGACCAGTCAAATGGAGATAAGTACGGAGCAATTGTCCATATATTGTCACGTATGACTTTGCGAAAATTGGGCAAACCACAACACTTGCCCAATAGACTGCCTGAGGAAGTTCGGCTGCAGGTATGTAACGATTAGTCTCATGATTTGCTCCGTAGTTCAGTTGAAGATCAAGTGTATACACTCCGTACTCCGTACATAATCACAGATCAAACATTTGGGTATCAGATGCCAAAAACAAGGAGATCTAAGCCAGCACGCTCCTTTATGATGGTGGACTTGGAAGACTACTGGGATCCAACCAATCCAGATTCCATCCTTGATCAAGACAGAGATCCAAGCCCAAGCTGGGATCCATCCGCCACCCGCGCATGTCTTCATCCACGTTAGGAATCTTGCTCACGTCAAAATCAACGTTGGGGAGGGCAAGAATGTTTTCGAAGGACACAAATCGATCATCTAAGAATGGAGATTGGCCATCTCCAGACCGCCCAGTGCGCGGGACATCTGAAACAGGTGTCGCTGTTGAGGGCGTGATGTAATCCCTTGAGTCGATATCGGAACGGCCAGTGTGTTGAACAGATCCAGGTGAATAAGCCTGCTGGCAAGATTCTGGTAGTCCAAACTTCCTCCCGGGGCGAAGATAGAACGTTCCAAAATACGGGATAGTAACCTTGCACCCGTTCTGAGAGCCATTTCGGCATTCTTTTGGGGCTTCAGGGGAGCCACATAGCATCTCAAGAACGTTCGCGCACTGCGCTGCCACGGTGCCGTATGGACCAGAAGAAATCTCTCGAAAGAGCCGGGCAGCCTGTCTCAGCATTTGCCAGTCCTCCGCATCCTCCAGCGTTATGTGCTGCGGCATTTTGAGCACTCCAAGCAGATGAATTCCAAGAAGCATCGCGCCAGTAAACATCTGAAAGTCAATCATCTTGCACGCAGTGTACTGCAGGCCGGCATCAGTTCGAATTTTCTGGTAGAATTTAATGCAGTTCCGCGAGGATTCAAGCGCAGCATTGCGGCAGTACCGAGACCCAGCGTCTGAATCCGAGTTTAGAACAAACGGAAGGTGAAGCATCACACGGGTAAAATTGTGCACAAAGTGGCATAAAAGCACGTCACCAGGCCCTGGGTTAGGCTCTACATCTAAGCTACCCTGGCGGAATGGAGCTGAGAGCTCACTGAGTTCCCGATCAAGCTGGAGTGTCTTCGGAAGCGATAGGTTGTTTGGGTCTTGATTTCTATCGATTATCCCGCCATAAAAGAGACATAGTCGATAAACATAACCCTCAGAGGTTTCAAAGAATGCAGTCTTTTCTAAAAGCTGCATATGAGGGGCGACAAAGCGGTCGGGAACGGCGTAAGGAAGGCCCAGTATGAGACTCATATATCTGTCACAGCACACCAATGAACACCAAATATATAAATGTCGCAAGCTCATTCTGTCATTGTGAGGTAGCGCTCGGTTCATTGACAAGTGCAAACCACGTAATTGGGCAGATTCGATACCCCGGCGAAAAAGCCGCCAGGCTCTCCGAGGTCGTCCCCCAACCATGTAGTGCTTTCCGGCGAAAAGCAAGCACTCAATCCCAGAGACAGTGGATGCGATATCGTCATCGCTGAAAATCATACGATCTACAGTGGAGAGGACGTTGTGGGTAAAACTAATTGCAGAGAGAGGGACTTGGAGATCGTGAAAATTGAATGAAGCAGGCGATTGATCAATAGCCATAACGAGAAGGATAAGGAGCTTGGCGAGGTCGCCCAATGCTTCTGGGCTTGCAACTCCCGACCTATCGGCAAGAAAGCGTGATAGATTATCGCCGCAAATTTCAGGGTACTGCTTTAGTAGACCACCGTGCAGATAGGGGAAAGTCTGCAGAATCTTCTGCATGTCCGAGACCGGTGGCATTAGTGAGAGTAGTAAAGATCTTAAGGCTGCATATTTTGGGGACTCGCGTTGCATCGAAAGAGATTCATGATTTTCCCCAGGAACTGCAGATCGGGAGACGACGTGATTATCGAAGAGTGACAATAAGGGCGCCTGCTCATTCTGACCTTTTGGCGCCGAGTCAGCGGACTCTGGCGGCGTCGGAGCACAATTCGTGGAGTAGTCATTATGCGATGCCGAAGCTACCAGAATGAACAGTCAGCGCCGTAATAGTTATGGGCTCAACAAAATCAGAAAAAACAAGACCAACCGAACGAGGACTTAAGCAGCCCACCGTGCAAATGCTTCCCCCTTTCCTCTCCTAGCTGTCTAAGGATGTCTTCCACCGTGCTCTCTAGAACCGCGACACGTTCTCGTAAACTGTACGATGGCTCAGCTGTTCGGGATTGCGACTTATTTAGGTTTACGGGCGCATGCTCCTGGTCGATACAATTCACTCCTCGCGAAAAGCATTCATTGCAGCGTGCGGGCCGCGAAGAACTAAATGTGCATCGGATCTTGCGACGTCGACCTGGATGGGGAGGTATCAGAACAAGCCCGAGGAAAAGGAACAAGATATACGTAGATACAGATAACTGCCACATACATTCAACACAGCTCTTTGTCCCCTTCCTCATTTTTTTGCGAGGCGGCTGAATATCAGAGGTTGCTGGGGGTAAGCTCGAGAGGGCTTTAGACCCCGAGTGGTATATGAAGGGATCCATTTGGAGAAGGGCGTAGTTCTATATTGCGGTCGAGAGGGACAAAAATAGGTCCGGAGTAGACCCAAGCTGGAATGCTGAGATTAACTCTCTACTTCATTGGGAGGGATACCATGGGAGATCATATGCAGCTTGACTCCGGAACAGGAGGAAGCTGCCATGAAAGAAAACGGGCATCATGATGCTCATAAAGTCCGTCGCAAACCTGTCCCACAAGGGCTTCTGAGCTCGTTTCCTAATCTCAGCATTCGGGCGTTTCGGACGAATTTTGTCCGGGCAAACGTCCGATTTCTCGTCCGAGGCTATTATTTGTTAGGGGTTACGTAAGCCAAGCGCTTGCAGAGCTCATCAGTGCCTAGATTAGACGAAATCCCCTTTTCCTCCGTACGGAGTTGAGTCCATCCATCATGTGGGACTCGGACCATTTTTTGCTCCGTGCACTGAAGATAGGTACTCCGTACCTAAGGTTCCAATAGAATCCCACCTGCAGCTCTCTATTCTATTCGCTCGCTCTAACTAAGGGTTACTCCAATGGATAAAATATGTACAGTCAGAAATGCATCATAAACATCAGTAGAGTCTCTCATATACTCCTTACCGCTAATTTTAAACACCAGCCCAAAACGTGCAGTTAATGGCCTCTTTAGGCCACACTTCCCATTGTTGCCTTCCCCTTGATGTTTCTGGGCCTGGCAAACAAGGAAATGGTGAAGCTCACACCAGCGGTCGTAACGCAGATAATAAACACAACCTTCAATCCATCCATATAGGCAATCAACACGCCATTAAGATCCTCCGATCCAAAGACTTTGTGAAGTTCAGCAGCACCAGTGGCAACCACTAAATCCGGTCTTACGTTAGGTGCAACTTGAGGGAGTTTCTGGAGGAGTTTGTTCACCCAACCGGCTTGTCCGGCCGACACCCAAATGGCACCGCCCATCGTCTGTAAGAACATTGTGATCGCAGTGACACTGGCCAGATCTGAAGAGGCGACGAGCGCCTGATTGACGATAACAGGTATCTGGATAGCAAGGCCTGCACCGATCCCCACGAAGATTTGATATCCGATCCACTTCCCGGTTGGCGTGTCCATGTCGAACATGTAGATTAACCCACTGCCGATTGTAGCAATGCCGGATCCGGCGATCATGAGGTAAGAGTATTGTCCAAAAACAGTGATCAGTCCGCCAGAAATAATTGAGCATATGCTGGTTGCTAAAATGAACGGGAGGTTGCGGATCCCGGACTGGGCTGCGGAAGCGTGCTTAATCGACTGGAAATAGATCGGCAGGTAATAGACCAAAACGAAGAAGGGTCCCGCAAAGAAGAAGACGTAGAGCAATGAAACAAGAATGTCGCGGTTCTTCAACAATCTTGGCTGAAGGAGAGCTCTTTCGTCCATCCAACACTCGTTGATCACGAATAGGATGACCAGCATACCGAAAACCACCAGCGTGCCAATCACCTTAGCATCGGACCATTGCTTCGTGACTCCACCCCACTGCAAAGCCAGCAGGAAGCTCACCACGGCACACATGATGATCGATGTCCCCACTAGATCCATTTGGAGAAGCTTTTCTCGCAATGTCGCTTTAGCCGGTGCAGCAGAGGTCGGTGCCTCGAAGACCAGAATCAAAATCACAATACTGACAGCACCAATAGGAAGGTTGATATAGAAACTAGATTTCATCCGCTGTCAGGCCCGTGCTATCTAGGTGATTATTTCACTGTAATTTTCCACAAGACACTTACCACCAGCGCCAGGATACTTTGTCGGTAAAAACACCTCCCAAGAGAGGGCCAATGACACTAGCAATGCCGTAGGTTGCTCCAAGGATACCGGTATATGCAGGCCGTCGACTGGGGGTTGCAGCAAAGGCGATGATAGTGTACGCGCCACTCGCCAGTCCAGAAGCACCAGCACCAGCAATGGCTCGTCCAACGATCAAGGTCGTGCTATTATTAGCGACGGCGCATACCAAGGACCCCAATTCAAAAACGAAAATCGAAAGCATAAACACCGACTTTAGGGGAAAGTATTTGTACCCTTTACCCCATGTGGACTGGAAGGAAGCGATCGTGAGGAAGAATGCAGAGCCGTACCAGCCAACCTGGTCCAGCGACTTAAACTGGTCGGTGATCTTTGGGATTGCAGTGGCAACGATCGTCATATCCAGTGCCATCAGAAAGACCGCCAGAATCAGGGCAATGACGATAAAGAACGTGGCCAGGGGGCCTGGGTATTCCATTCCATCATCCGCCGCATCTTCGATACTCCTCTCTTCTTCTGGAGCGCCGGCAAAATCGCGAGATTGCTGGGTGGTTTCCCCCGATTTGAGCGACATTGGATCCGAGTCGCCTTGCACCGTGGTGCCAGATGAGGTACTGGGCCTTGGGGTCACCGAGTCCGCTATGCTCAGACCCATGATGTTATAAAGAGAAACGATAACTTTTTGGTGGGAAAAAATTGAAAAGATGGGTTTTCCTTTTCGAGGAGCTCTTGATAAAAGGGCTTGAAATAGTTTCCGTTGCCGGCTCCTTACTCGATGATGATGGACGATGAAGCGACGTAACAGCCGCTCTTATATATTGAGAAGCCATTGAAGCAGTTCTCCGTCGATTCCATTCGGAAACCCCGACATCTTGCTGGAGGAGTCATGATGAGAAAGACCACCGGACGAATTCGTCCGTTCGACGTCAATAGGTTGTCACTTTGGCGGAAGTAGAGAAGCAATCTAATAATGACGTGGAGGATTACTTGTCAGGTTCCAGCCCGCTAACTAGACTCTTGGCTACATTCTCAGCTTTCTAACGAGGAGCCCAGTGAAGCCGGATGGAGTGACGATCCGGTGATGGCTTTCGTAGGGCTGGATTGAGCCCGAGAAGTTGGTTACGGAGAACTGTGATTCACGAATCGGCAGAAATTGCGCCTTGGCTCCGATGCGGACTCATCCATTCTACCAATTACTAATTCCTGCTTATCGGGAATTTCATTACGCCGTCGCTACGGTAGACCTCCGATAGTTCCTCCGTATAGACCAAACTGCTCATTATCACTCACTGGCAATCGCGATGGAAGAGTCCAGAGCCAGAGAAAAGTCAATAAGATACGTGGACGAGAGACCTCTTATCCTGACCCAGAGGCTCAACTTTTCTCTCTCTCCGTCAAGTTACAACAAGCAGCCGCTCGAAGGAATGGTAAGCAGTGGCACCTACAGATGCCCCAACCCTATTCCTAGGACTGAAATCGGCCTCGTGTACGGAGTCGCCTGGAATATTTCGGGTCAAGACGGACGAGTCGACGCGAAGATTTCCGTTGCTCAACCCCCAGAGCAGATCAAAAGTTTGATCGACATATGAAAGAGCTAGTTCAATCAGCTTTCGCTGTTGCCTAGTCTAAGAGATCGTTTTTGGCAGATGTCTGGGGGACAATATTGAACCTCAACCCTACATACTTGCTACCCAGGGATCCATATCCATTATTTTTACTTTCAAAATGAGTCTAGTTTATCCCAGATCTTTTTGCCTAATGGAGAACGTGAGGTGGGTGTAAACTGCCACGAGAAAGGTTCGTTAATAGCCCGGGTTCTCCTATTTGCATAATATAATGGTGATCGATTTACATATAGCTCAAGTTGATATAAATGCAATTATGCAAAGAGAAACTACTTTAATCTGCAATAATGTTGCAGAGCTGATAAGGTATTTTGGGCGCAGAGATACTGTGGGCAACAAGCATGTAGTTATTACCTGTAAGTAAGGGGTTACTACAGAGTTATCGGACGCGGCCCAGTTTTCCACCATACCCAATCCGTCCACCGTTTGGATTGAGTAACTAGAGTACTGCCCTCGAGCCGTCGCCCCCGCTGGTTGCCTCCCGGAACAAGACCGGGAGTGGGGTTCGAACCACCCAAGCTTTAAACCTTCAGCTTAGTGACGCCAGACATATGCATGGTTGTGGGCCTTCAAGGCTGTTAAGCAGTATGCCCTGTTTGCTTGTGACACTTTGCTTTATCAGTCTATTAGTAGTTTCTGGTGAGGTCTCATTGACAACCAGGGAGGTTTTAAGACTGTGGAAAGTGCAGTAATGGGAGTCCTGTGAAAGACAACCACACAGCAGACACCTATACAGAGTACATGGGTATGTAAGGAGCAGTTTCAAAGCTATTAATCTATTAAATGTGAGGCTTTAGCTGTTGAGAATAGGGTAGCTAGTTACATCACAACCAGGAAACCCCCCGGGAGGGGGGGGATGGGGGAAGAAACCATAAGGGGATCAGCTTTTCTGTTATGTCTTGTATGGACTGAAGTGGCAGTTCACACAAGGGGAGCCACAACCCTTGATGAGCCTTTCTTTTATTCTGCTTGTTGTGCGCCATCTGACTACTGTAGTTAGCACACTACTAAACAGCTAGTGAACTAGGACAATGAATATGTGTGTGGTGGGGTGATAGGCAACAAAGCATACGTCAAAATTGGGCCCTGGACACAGTATTTCATGAGGATAACTTTGTCTTCTTCGTCTTCTTCTTCTTCTTCTACGAGGCCTTTCTCAAAAATATTACATTGGTTCCTATTTTATTCCCATACATTTGCCAATCATTCCAGGTGAGCCTGTTCAATATCGTGCACCCGGAGCCTCCTTTGGGCAAACGGGGCGAAACCTTGGCATCCCGAACTCAGGCAGTTCCAGTTAATGTGAGGCCACCGATTTCGAAACCCGAATTTTGAGAAGCATACTCGGAACACCAAAATCACAAAGTATCGAATCTAGGGACAGAACGGAGGAGTATATATTTGCGAAAGAATTTTACGTCCTGAGACGACGGAAACCGTGTGAATTTAAATCTCCAAACGCCTGTCCAATCTTCCTCGAGTAAATCTGATATCCATCCTCAAAACACAAGTTGAGCGAAAATCTCAACCGGAAACCTAAGCAATTATGCCTCTCACTGAGCTTGCCCTTCTTCATCTTAAACCCACAATCACTGTCGACAATGCCGCTCTTCAGTCCTCCCTCCGATCCGCAAAGCACGCTATGGAATCGTTCACTGGCTACCCATTCCACTTCTTTACGCAGGTCGAAGACCCTTCTTATATTTACATCATCGGCAACTGGACCAGCCTCACCCAGCATGTCGATCAATGGATTCCCTCAGAAAAAAACCAGGCATTGTTAGAAGCTTTAGAGAATTTGCTTACCGTGGAGTGGATGTTTCATTTGGACATTGACCAGCTGGCGACCAAGGAAGGTTCAGAAGGCATCATGCCATTCTCAGCACCAATAGTTGCGATTGTGAGACATTTCATAGCCGCGGGGAAGAAGGATAGTTTTGTGGCTACATTCGAGAAGAATAAGCAGTCCCTGGTCGAATTCACGGCCCCCCAGCCAATCTGTGGAGGGTGGAGGATCGATCGTGAACAGGAATCTGGGAAGGATGGTGCGGAGAAAGACGAGTTTGTATTATTCTCTGGGTGGCGCAACATTGCACATCATGTTGATTTCGCGCAAACCGAAACATTTGAGAGGTATAAGGAAATAAGGGACTATCTAGCTGCTTTTGAGGTTAAGCATGCAACAAGATGGGAGATATAGGCGCGATGCAGGGTATAATCAAGCAAAAGGAAATGGCTGTTCTTGGCTATCTGATACATATGAAACCTTTGTGAATGTGATTCCAGAAACAATACTGAAATAAAAAAAAAATTTTCCCCAGGAAGCAAACAAGGCAAGAGAAAGAAAAAGAATCTTCAGGGGAATCTGACAATGCGGATCCTTGAAATGATGTCACCAGAGTTTTGCCTGAAACAATTAGGATGAAAATTGCAATTTGGGTCGCTTGCTCTAAAACACCAAGCAAGCAAATGAAGAAACTCCATATACTCCATCTGAAGAAAAGAAAGAAAAAATAACAAAAGAAACATTGTGAGGCTATGCTTTGATACTTAGAGTGAACGGAAGGCCTGTTCCAAATACATATTGAACAGTTGTTCATCAAGCACAGCTCCGAACCTAATTGAAAGTCATCTGTCAGCACCATCTCCAGAATAAAGCAGCCTAGAACACCCAAGAATACTCAAGAATCACACATACCCAAAACATTGGACTTCCTTTCTCAGCTGTACAGTCAAATTTCGCAAATTTTCCGCATTAAGCTTGTGAAACAAGGAGTGCTGTTTAATCCTATTCCATGCTTGCACTGGAGTTATATCACCTTCAAGGTTCAACGCACCAGCGAGGTCAAAAAGCCGATCAAGATGGCAGGCGGGAATCTCCCATGTGTCATTATCACGAAGTACATCCGGACCATTGGCAAGCAATGGTGTTTGGAAAGTAAGAATGTGACCAGAGAATGGGGACTTTGCACAAGATGTCCTTGCATGTTGTAAGCAGTGGCGTTCCAAGCTTTTCCAATAACTAAGTCAGCAACCGTCCTGATTTACTTTTTGGTTGGGGGGGGGGGGGTAGGGTGAATGTACAAGAGAACAAAATCAACTCCAACTTGCGTGGCATCTAATCCGAGGGGATGACCTTGGGAAGACGTTGGCAGCACTGCATGGTTGCAATGATTTGGTCCTACAGTATGGTTCGGAGGGCTTTGTGAGGCGGCATTCGGAGAGTCATTCGTAATGGCGGGTTGCAGGCAACAGGGAGTTTGGTCTGGAGTTGGCATCTTTCGGCTGTCTAGATCTATGGGATCTGGCGGGAATATCCGTGGCTTGTCGAGAGCACCATCCACAGAAACTTGTAAGCGCTGCTCATCACCGGGATTCCCAATCACCCTAACGATAGTGGGTGGTCGAGTCTGGGCACTTGGAGCTTGGGCCTTTCCCGGAAATGGGATTCCATTCGCAAGCATGATATCACGAAGTATCTTGTTCTCGTCCACTATTTTCTGCGTCTCCATCGTTATGGAATCCTCCTCATCGCGCAAGGTACGAAACTCCCGTTCGAGGGCCTTGATATAATTTTCCTTTCTCTCTCGGTGATTGCTGGCAGTATAGAAAATTATAAGAACCCTGGCCGTGATCCGCGGAGCTGTCTCACAACTATGTACTCACCGCTGGGCTCTCCTGACCTGTTCCCGCCGTCGCGCATGCGCAGCCTTTGCTGCGTCGGTTTCGTTTTCAGCCGTGAGTGTGCCTATTAAACCTTCAACATCATGCCACTATAGTGAAAATAATATAACACAGGCCGATCCGGAACCATGATGTGTACCACGAGGCATAGAGGGATTGGCATCGTTGGCGGACAAAAAGAAAAAATCAAAAGCACAGTTCCACATCGTAACACGATCAAGGTGCCGGTGAGGATGCGTCGAGGGTGATTTCATAGAGAGGATCAACCCGCCGCGGCGCCTGATCTGTGCGGCTGGGGTTGCTCTCTGGGCAACTCATAAGGAGATTAATAGATGGAGACCCCACGAGTCCCTAGTCGACCAACAGCGAATAGAAACTTGACAAAATGGAGCAAAAGGGAAAAAAAAAAAAATTCCAAAAGCTTCGGAAGCGAATAATTGAAGGGGTTGCAACACTCACCATTTTTCAGTTTCGAAATGCGCCCCAAGAGCGGAATTTTCTTCTTCGATCGCTGCCACAGCGAATCCGTCAAGGTTGTGGTCGACATGATTGACAAATCTTTTTTGGGCTCTTCCTTGTTCCTTTTTTCCCCTTTCAAACCCGGCTGTTTCGCACCAAAATGGGACACTGGGCGGACCTCGTGAAGAAAAGCTTCCAAGCTCGAGACCTTTTAGAATGCGACTAATAAAGATTCCAAATCATCAAGCCCGCATCATGCACAACCTAAATCTGCATGCGGATGATTGGGAAAGAAATGTGCATACACCAACCTCTGAGAAGACTTGAGAGATTCCTAAACCCCTGAAGGAGAGAAAACAAATGGGCTTGAAGAGAGAAGGGTCGTTCTGGGGCCAGAGAGATTGTTGGATTCCAGGGAGAATGGGCAAGGAAAAAGCATACACAAACTAGCTGGATCAGGAATAGGAGGCAGCGATGAAGTGAGGCATCATATTCTGATTTGCTGCTCGAACGCCTTATGTTGTACTCACCATGAGGCCTGAGCAAGCGAATTTCGGCAAGTTCCTGGCTCGGATCTTCTGGTAAAACCGAAGGGGGTTGTTTCGTCATCCCCGTCCTCGACGCCTCAGGGAGAGTGGCGGAGGCGCGACGATGCACCCAAGGTTTGACTCAAACCCTGATAGGCGACCCGCCTTGGCAGCAAAACTCAATTCGCGACACTTTGTCACTCTGTCTTGCCCTTGCGGAAGAACTCTCCCCCTTCCCCCCTCTTAGCTGCCATGGAAATGTCACTTGATGTCAATCCCCCAGGGCTCTTGTGTAACCTGAGAGGAGAGCACATGTGGAATCACATTCGCTGCCTTCGAACGGGTCGTGGAAGGCATCATGGCCGCCTCATACTTACTCTCCCAGCCCGGTCAGCCCAAACCCGGCCCATCGGAACAATGGCTATACCAGATCTCCAGCCAGACGCGTTGGATGCCGCAGTGCGGATAAGTTACTTGCAACCGCTGATGTGCTTGGTGGAGACCTTTTACCAATTGCGTGTACGAAGTGCACATTCCTAAAGAAGCACGACGTGCATGCATTTATATGTCGTCTGATGAGGAATCTTTACTTTGGGCGCGGGTGGCCCAACTTGACGGAAATCGCTGATGCAGGACACGGTAAAGTGATAGTGAATGTCAGATAATTGTGGTAATTAACTATACGTCAACCCCTTCCCGTGCTCCCTTCAGGGCGTTCCTCAAACCTCCCGGGACGGGAGTTTAAACGCAGCCACCCTACTTGTTACGAAATCCGCCGATTGTCTGCCCATTGGTTCAACCGCAAGGAATGATCTTGAATACTTTTCTAACCGCGTCGATTTTTCCGTGCATCTCCGCAAGAGCGGACCGCTTTCGTTCCATAGGAACCTCGTCATTTGGATCCACTGAGATTTCACGTTCCAGTTCCACCTCGTCTACCCCATGTTCAAAATCGGTCCGATCGAGCACGATATTAACATTGCCCTTTCTACTCCGTACACGTCGTGAAACGGGGCGATCTACGCTAGCCAAAAGTTGCTAGACAGAACGTATAAGATTGGGATTAACACTACAAACAATCTTTGCGGTTTCGGAGGGTGAGTCGACCTCGAACTACAGTAGGACATAACGAGCCTTAGGATCCGGGCGCACTTTAGCTTGGCCATTTCTTGTTTCGATTGCGTAGCCCACGTTCTATGTGGCGATAAAAGCATGTCTCTATGAAAATAAGCATCCTCTCAAAGTTTCGACAGCCAAGATCGTCGAGACGTAAAACCGGGCGGTGAGCGTCCCCACTAAGAAAACCTCTGGATTTATCATTGAAGCAGAGTTTGCATTCCACTTCAATGATTAGCCGGAGCATGCGGTCGAAAAGTCCGGCTTGCATAACTATTTGAGGCCCTGCCTACTGATCTTTGCGGAGTCTTGTTGAAGATGCAACGGAAACTTGCAGGCCCATAACATCTTTGACCCAACATCAATACTCTATCCGCAAACAAAATTAGAGTTTCTCGGCTTATCATTGAAGCAAGGGCTTCCACGGCTGCGATTAGGCATCGGATTTTGGAACAAACTGAGCCAATAATAAAGTTGAACCAGTGTTGGGATTCCCTATCTTGATTGATTTCATACGGAGTGCGGAGCACTCAGTTAAATATTCTGGCGAAAGAACATTTTTCTGGGGGCTTTAGGCAGGCATTTTAAAGGACTCAGCTCAGTCCACGGACTTCAATGAGATTTCCAGGATATTAACACTTTTATGTCATTCTCTTCTCAGTATATGGTGCACATCGGAGTTTCGCTGGTCAGATGTCCTACTCATCAGCCTTCTAGCCCAACATGGTATCCTGTATATTGGACCTCAGCCTTCATTGAGATTGCTCCAAATCGCTTTCTGCTGCTGGGTTTTAAGAAGGGCATCGTGAGACATTTCCTTCTCTATGCTCGAATCAACCTAGTTCATGCTGGAAAGATCCTCTAGGGACGAATAGAGTGCAATAATTATAACATCTTTGAGGATGTACTCGACGATACCGATCCACAATACTCACGGTCTTCTCTTCATGCTGACGATATCTTTTTCCAAAGCATCTCATTGGTGTATTCATCTCATCCGGGGAGCGTTCGGCTCAAGAATGTAGTTTCGCTTTATCTTTCGGGGCAATTGAGAAGGATCGCAACACCCGGCCGCACAATCCATCTTCCCCACCCCCTCTTCTTCTTTGTCCATCTTTGGTTGCAAGAGATTGAGGATGACCTCGCCTGGAAGAAGATCAGGATTATTGGTGTGATCGCGGATACTCTTCGCATCCGGGTCTGTGGAGCGACAGGTCTCCCCCATAGAGGCGCAGACAGAAAAATGATACATGTTATACTCCGTAGCCCTGGCACAATCGTCGGCCAAGGCTCCTTTCTCAGGGCTGCCGGGTGGTCCTATTGACATTGAGTATCCTTTTAGAGGACCGCTTTTCAATTTCTATTGCGCATGTGCCTTATCACCTAAGAAGGTAATTGTTGGAGCCATATTTCTCTGGGTGTCTTTCTTGACCATTTGGGCGAAGAAGCGGAATGCAGACAGGAGGTACTAAGCACAGCCAAGGTAGCGCACACGGAGCCAAACATCACCAGTGACCATGCTTTCTTATAGATCGACGAAGTGGCTCCTGAAGAGTGTCGCTCACCGAAAATTCCGCCTAAGCGACTGAATAATAGGTCATCCCTTAACAAATTGCCGCCCCAGACACAGATGTCATATAGCTGCAGCTTCGATGATTCTCCCGAAGACATATCCACCACCCCTCGAGTTAAACTTCGTATTTCCTGTTTCTAATATTCTTGGTAGCTCTCCAACCCTATTTATTTAAGGCCTGAACAGCTCAATATAAGGCTGGAAATATGATGTTTTGATATCCCCATTCCCCAAGCCCACTCAGTGGAACAATGCCATTTGGATGCTGACCCTGGCTCGCGCTATAATCGCCCCTTGCATATTTAGTTAACATCCTGGTGTGGCGCAGCGGGCTGTTTCTAATTTAAGGGCAAAATTGCGCTGCTCCTGTAGCTGCATATGTAGGATCACTGTTGGGCAGGTTGGACTTCTCTCGCCAAACAGTCGCGCATTAAAACTGAGCAGCTCCCGGAAATCAGAGGTGTCCTCCCTCATGATGCAGGAATACACCGTATCGCTCCTCTGGCTTCAGACCACCCGATTCAAAACTTGAGGTTCAAAAAACAAGCGCAACATTTAACCTGCTCGCTTCTAACGATAGGACGAGCTCGTACCGAAAAAGCAGCCGATCCATCAATATGGGCAACCCCAACGAAGCAGAGGCGGCTACGACAGAGCAAAATGACACCGCACCACCGCCATACTCACCATGCGAGCCGCCATCACAACCATTCTCCACCTGTCAACATGTATCGCCCGTTGCCCATTTCTCGATGAACCAGTCTGTCTCGCCATATCACCCGTTCCCCACTGCTTTGAGTGCGTATTATCAGTGGAAAATCACTCGGGTCTTCCACCTGGGCGATTCGACCAACCACAAGCTTTACACTGCTTCAACACATGCTGGTATTTCTTCGAAAGGGCCAAACATACCCTGCGTTGTCCTCTATAACGGCCCGAGTGACAAGGACCCCGCGCTGGCCGTCGTCAGTGAGCAAAAGGGCTGGAATCTCAAATCACCTATCAGCGTTATCACCCTTCCACCATTAACCCCGTCGTCTGGCCCGGGCCTCAACCTGACCATCGATCCCGCTGCGCAAGGGGACACAAGTTCGGTGACAGAGATTATGCGCGCCAGTGTCTTGACTGACCGGAAAACTGTTGTGTTTCGCTTCTCGATTGAGGTTGGCCGTGACGGCTTCCGACGCGAGCGATTCGAATGGCGAAAACTGAAGACTGACGACCCAGACTATGCAAAACGTGCGGTTAAGCTCTTACGTTTTCGCTCCAGTCCCACGTCGGCCTCCTCCAAGGATGGGTCGGGAGCAGCCAGTTTCGAAGGAAATGGTAGTGATGGATGGGGGGATGGCTGTGAGGTCGAAGTTGTTGCGGTATTTGAGTGGAAGCCGGTTTGGTCCATGAACAAGCCTTTTAACATTCGCTTCATGGGGAGTGGAAAGACGGGCGAGTTGGGAGACCGATGGGCCGTCATGGCTATCATCACGGGAATGAGGATCTGGTTCCTTGACAGCCAGAACAGGACCATTGCTACGAGTATTGAGTAAGAGCCTGCGAATCAATTTTACATGACGAAGATTCGATTACACTCTAGTTTGAAAATTCGGAGGCGCCATGTATTAGATGGGGTGGCAATAAATTGGCTAGCCTCAGATATTCAAGCCGATGAACTTGAGAATCACACTCCCTAGCTAACTCCAGTTCACCATCACTTCGATAAGACCATCGATATCGATCAGTCCACACCACTTGCAGCCGCCGCTATCATACGAACGTCTCCTTATCCACTAGAGGTCACCAGTCATCACGACTGGGGCTAAACGCCTCGGTTTCAAATGCTCGTCTATTCTATCATGATAATGATTAACGGTAACTACATACACAGGGTGTTCGCCATGTGACTTACCACCGACCATACTCATTATTTCCTCTCCGACAAGCCGACACCAACACCTATACCAAGGGCAGTCCCAATTACTACGCCGCTGATGATCCCGATGATGAGGAGCTTCACACGATGAGCTCTCACAGGTGGTGCCTTTTCATACACACCAGTATACTCGGACGATGGTCTTGTAAACACAGAGGAATCCTTGAAAGACATCTCGGGAATAAGGGAACTTGATCAAAATTCGTAGGATGTTCAACAAGAAATTTTCGGGCTGCAGTCTAAGAGATGGATCATAATGGAGGTTTGGTGTGAGGATGCGATATGAAAGAGAGACAACCGATTTAATATATCTCTGATGGACGCAAAGTACAGCCGTGACTACTATTCTCGACTTTCGGTCTTAATCAAAGCTGCATGGGATTATTTTACTAACCGAAACAGTCTCTATTTTGGGGGTACCAACGTCAAAGGATTAGCCCCTGCATATCCACAGCCATCACCAACCTTGCCCTAGACGTGGGGCTACAACATCAAATGCTCTCCCATCTCTGGGCTACATGCGGCTACCCAACAGAGAGATATTTTGATGGATCGGATTCTACGCCACCCATGGAGCCATGCTCCTGCGGTCTCATCGTATTCTTTTCTTCCTGCGCTAGACTATAACTGTGACATGCCGCCCAGTGCAAATATCGGCCATGTCCCCCATTTTCGCTCTCTGGTGTCAGCAACTAGCTATCGTTTCTTACTAGCAAAGCAAACGGAAAAATGATTTCGTTGATTTCTCTCTTGCTGAATACCTTCAGACCTTCCCTCCTGTTCGTGGCCTCTACCATAGTGACGACAGGAGCACTTCATTTCCCTGCCAAATACCACCGCGTCTTCCTCTTACCGACATGGCTACTAGCAGCTTGGTCATTATTTTCCATTGACAGCAAAAAGGCACTGGGCGGTATTATAGGGCTCGATTCATACACAGCCTTCACAAGCACCATTTTCATGCTTATACTTCCTAGTATTCTGTTTATGCAAAAGCACACGCTCGTCGCAAAGCCAGATAACACTCCTGCTGCCGCTTCTTGCAGCAGTGTCATTCTCTGGCCGAACAGACACACCATCTCTGCGGCATGTCGCATCTGGAACAATCCCCGGCACCTCAAATTCCGCCAGCCGGGCCCCGGATCTACGCCCTGGCGATCTCTGCTCTTTTTCACGCTCCGAAGCGGCCTTAAAGTGGCCGCCATCGTCATCATAGACCGCATGCTTGTCAAGAAAATTCAAGCACATCTCTTCGCCAACAGCAACGTTCTCGATTTCACACCAGATCAACTTCCAATCATCCGACCTCTCCTCGGTATTCGCATTGATGAAGAGGATGTTGATCCCATCTCCAGACACCAGTTCCTACTGCGCGCATTCATAAGTGTTTCATGGATCTGGGCTAATTTTGTGTTTCTCGAATCGTGTCACGTCATTCTGGCCATTTTCTTTGTTGCCATTCTCCGTCTCGACAATCCAGAAGACTGGCCATCATTGTTCGGAAATATCGCCGATGCGTGGACTGTGCGTCGGTTCTGGGGCCGCTTCTGGCACCGCATCGCGACACCAACGCTTTCTCAGTGGACGCGAATTATCATCCAGCGAGTTCTACATCTTCAGCTCACCAGTGGTGTCGCAAAGACAGTAGAAGCTTTTGGGATCTTCTTCTTGTCCGGGTTAGCCCACGCCCTGGCATCATGGCGAACGGGCGAGGGCTTTGCGCACCTTGATATATTGTTCTTCTGCGCCAATTTTGTTGTTGTCGCGGTCGAAATCCTCGTGGCAAGGCTCTGGAAATACGCAGTCAAGGGCACATGGATTGAGTTGGAGCTGCGGCGGAATTCCAAACTGCGTGTGGTGGGGAAAGTATTGGGACTCGTATGGGTTTTTTCTTGGTTTTTCTGGATGGTGCCGAGATGGTTGTATCCGAAAGCGTTGCGTTTGTCAATCAAACAGGCGTTGATGATCGAATCTCTTATGTTAAATGCGAAGTCTTAGAGTAACCGTTGAAAAGGCGCATAGTAATTGGATCCAGAATATGGAGTAGGTAGGCGTGGAGTGATTAATTGTGGAATATACCTTTCAGATTCTATTTATCAGTCTTTGTCAGCCAAAAATGGATATGTAGTTATGTAGTTACATGTTTTGGGCATAAGCATCACGACGAATTATCTGAAGTACGTGATTAAGTTTGCAATCTGTGGGCTTGGTACTTCATAATCCAATAACAGCACACATCGATGATAAAGCCATGTTCGTTGACCAGTTACTCTTTCTTTCCTCCTTTCCCAGTTAATTTTTCTTCCTGTCCAAGCATTATTTGAAACATCCCTATAGCACCAATGCCAATAATCAACAGTTCCCTAAGCCAGGGAACCTCCCTGAAGGCAATTGTCACCCAACCCAAATAAGGCACATACCCTCGCACCACGCCAACAACCTGGGTTCGGTACACATATATTTGACCAGGAGGGTACAGCGCCACATCTCTTAGCTTGCTGTTATCACCCTTGGTCATGATTAACTGTCGGCCGGTCCCACTTTGGCGAGAAGTCAGCCACCCCCAATCCCTGAAACACATGGTATCTTCTTCTGCACTTTTCGGTCTCCGAATAGAAGGCATGTCCCCCGCCCCGGGCCGGGGGGGGGGGGGGGGGGGAATGAATAAAACTACGAAGAAATAAAATAGGAACAAAGTTTGGCTCATACTTACTCGTACTGCACTTCCACTGCGCGATGGACCATCGGTAATGGGTTTCCCTCGAACCAAAGGACAGGGATATCTCCGACTTCCACCTGCTGAGTCCAATTCGAGAGGAAGATGATATCACCTCTCTGGAAAGCGGGTTCCATAGATCCTGAAAGGACTACCATAGCGGGATGGGAAGTGTTGGTGGCTAGACTGAGGAGTTTCCACGCCATGAACGTTGAAGCAAGGATTCTGAGCACGGGCAGGCATGATGACAGTGCGGTTCGCATGACAGTGATGCTCAAATGAAACCAGTAGGGAGTATATTCGGGGCGCTGCAGAAGTTGGAGTTGGGTCAGAAGAGATAGAAGTAATCTATATCACGATCGCAAAGACATCGGCTTGTGGGAACAATTGAGTGACCTAGTCGTCTGGATTGACAAGACTCAGGGGGGATTCCAAAACCATGGCTTTATACATCATTGATGCAGGTTCAATCAGCAATGTAAGAATGAACTCATGCAATGCGGGGGCCAAACCCCATGTGTTTGTCGGCTTAGCTACTTCTACGCATCAGTGCAGATGTGGTGCTGTGGTTGCAAGTGACAGCGGGATCTAACCTTCTGGAGATTCCTGAGTTCCTCAATCACTTTGCTACATAAATTTAGCTAGCTTCTCTAGTTAATATTTAACCAGTGAAAAAGTTTAACAAAGTGAAGATTTGAAACAGCCAAAAGTAAGCCTTAGAAGCACAGCTGAGGGATGCTACCTGGCCCCATGCATGAGTAACAAAATTTGATTCTATCTTTAAACAAAGGCAAACCATGCGAGACATGAAACCTCTGGCATCTATTTCCGATCCAATCTCTGGCAGTGTGGCTGTTCTTTGATCATTTTCTTCCATCTACAAACTAGGTAATCCAGACCACTCGTCTTATTCATCCCACTAAAATTGAAATTGCACATGCACTTGATCTTGAATTCGTTGCAATATGACTTAGCGCGGTGCTGGAATCAGCATTCCACACTCATATGTATGCCAGGGGAAACAATTAGGCTCATAACTAACTACCAACAATTCTGCTGAGGATACAGTAGGATTGAAACCCCTCTGCGCATATAGGGTGCTAGACACCTGCTTCTATCCCCATAGTTCCTTTATTAGGTAACTTCTGGATGGCAATACTTTCGGCCCTTATCGGACAAATGTGGGACTGTGGCTATGGAGAATTTGCAGCTCCTTGAGCAGGTTGGATCCTTCGAAGGAGAATGTAGTTTCATCATCATCCTTCGCTGAATGACAGGCATTGAAACAATCATATCGCTTTCCCCAAAAAGCCATTTTGGGAGAGAAGAGATGCCTATAAAAGGGCTGCATTCGACCCGTCTAGCTGCGAGTATTCTTGCCAGCAACAACAGCATCGTCCGCACTCAACTCACCACTTGCAAAAGATTACTTCTCTATATACCCTCCTGTCCCCAAAATCGAACTTCGCCAGATATCCTATTCACTCTGAAATCCACTCTGAAACCGATCAAGATGAAAGCCATCACCATCGTCGCGCCCGTCCTCGCCAGTCTCGTCTTCCTTCAGGGAGTTCCCGCTCCAGTTTTGGCCGGCCTTGGCGCTGCTATAGCTGCTGGAGGTGCTGCTGGAGCGGCCGCTGGAGTGGCCGCTAGTGGAGTCAGCGCCGGTATCATTTCTGGTGTCGTCGGTGGTGTCGTTTCCGGAGGAGTTAGCGTAGGCGTCACCTGCGCAGTCACAAAGTCCTGCAAACACCGTCGTTCTGCCTACATTCACGCACGACAGATGGCCCGGGAGCTCAGAAAAGAGCTTGGTGTCCGAAGGGACGGCGCGGGCCCTGCACCTCCTGGCGTGCCTCAACATAACTGGGACGACTGCTATAATGATGCTTTGAAAGGCCACATCACAATCACTGGGCCCGTTAACGAAAAGGATATTCGAGTGGAGGGTCTGCCTACCAGCTGCATGGTACTCGCCACAGTCCTTGACGGCAACACTTCGGGAGGTCCCACACCCATTCCCTGCGGCACTTCTTGCATGGATTGGACCGGCATGACACCCGAGTACTATGAGGAAATCCGCGGTATTATCAATGCCCAAATCCTGAACCAATAGACACGGCTAGGCTTTATGACATTGTCAGACAACAAGGCTGGGGATGCAGAGAAGGCAAGATAATAGAGCTGAGTTTGCTGGAGTTGAAGATAAGAAGGAATTGAGTGAGGGTCTGTTTTTGATTTTCAAAAATCCGTTTCTTGTATTTCAACCTCCCACTTGTTAATATTTAAGGGTATCTGTTCGAATTTGCAAGTCCTGTATCTAAAGAATGTTGGTTTTATTGTGAATATATATTGACAGTTTGATCTTCCACTTTTGCTTGGGAAGCTGTCACATTCCAAAGAATGGGGCATTACTATAAATGTACATATATATATATATATTGCCATAATAACAAAAGTGAAAATGCATTAAAGGTGAAAGCAAGTGATTAGTTTGTAATTCACACAAATGTACTGAGTACTGGGCAGCGATGCAATGTATTTGGGGGAATCAAGGTGGAACTGGGGGAGTGGCGACGCGGTTGAATAACTGACTAACTATATCCGGCTAGCTACATTATTAGTTAACGAGTTAACTAACTGTCCCTCGTGGCTTGGTAAGGCTCGGCGAACCAGCTTCCTTGCCGAGAGCTTAACTAACTTACGCTTCACCGAGTCGCCGATCGCGCCAATCTGGCATTATTCCAGGTACTTTCTTTTGCCACTCAGTCTCACTTCCTCCATGGCGAGTATAATTTCTACTCTTTTCATGTTGCTTTCTACCATGACTTGCGAACCGCCTTTTGACATGCATGCCTTATTTCAACAATGTGCTCAAACCCACTGATGAATCTGGGTTCGCGGTTGGGGAGGAGGCACTTTTCTGCCCATGTCCTCCTTAAGCGGCTCACATTTCTTCTGATGTGGTGAAGGCCATCTCTGCTGATATCAATTATGCCTGACCGAATTCTTGGATTTGCTTGATATGATGACAAAATATACCCTATAGCCACTGACATCTTAAACGCGATTCGCAAATTTTGTTGACATCCACATGCTTCCTTGGAAGATCCGGCTGGCCAAATAATAAGACTACCAGCCCTGCTTCGCAGAGCCCTGTGGATATCGTTTATTTCTCCTGGTTGCAATCACCTTCCAAACATTGAATAGATTGATTCACACAAGAAGGCTATTCTCTGACTTTGTGGTTCCTCCTACTTTACATAAGATTCAGAACGATCACACATGACATTGCGATTATACATCCTAGCTTAGTCCAATATCTATGGGAAATTGACCCATCTATTACCCAATACTGGGAAACAGTGGATGTTTCCCGCCTCCATCAATGCCAGACTTGACGCTAATGGATAGTCGCATGTGTTTGCTCACACAGCCTTCTGAAAGCGTTTGAAAAATGATGCTATGTATACAGCTCAGGTCACTCCGCGGTTATCACAGTGATGGAATTTTTCCATGGAAGTTTTATACTATTTTTACCTCTAGCCTGGGCCTGTGACCCTATAGATACTCTTTCAGCAACCTTAACGAATTGTGGCATGGCTCCTGTTGTGATCTCCGCTCATGTACCATGCCATTTATGGGAGGATATCGAAACTGTTTGGTTTTAGCCAATCACCCCTTCACTGGGAATTTAAACAAGGCTTGTGTGTTCTGTTTTGTACACGCGACTACCTCATCTAAGCTTGATGATCTACGCTCCAAATGCAACCTATGATGATTAGATGCGTGGAATATCTTGCGTGGGGACCTTGCCTGGTGGTTGAAATACGCTAGCTGGCCCTTTTTAAAGTTTTTAATGAGCCATCCTGAGGGAGTATAAATCGCTGACCAGGAGATTGCTCAAGGTTAAAAACCGGAATCCTCAGGTTCAACACGGCTCTGCTAAACAGTATTCAAACTCGGAGGACTGTACTATACTCTTCATGTCTCCGAGAAGGAACAAACGAATGATTTCACTTTTTCCCTTCGAAAGCTCGGGAAGATATGGCGCAGATGCGAGTTTGTCTCAGGATGGACACACGTTGCATAGCAATCTGGCCAAATACTTCAGAGTCGTGTCCTATCAATCAGTGCTATGAAAGCCCCCCGGAATGGAAGACTTTCGGGAATAAATAGGTGACGCTTGGCCTTGCAGACGGTCTCTTCCGAACAAATCAGATGCTACGGCACCTGTTGCAACGGAGGTGGATCGATAATATACCAATAGCCGTGTTGAGCCTATAATCTCTAGCATCCTGATAATCGCGCGCGTAAACTTAAAAAGTTTTTATTTGCGGATTAAAATTCAGGTAAACGTCGTAGTGAGTTATCTACACGGCTCAGCCGTACCGACCTGTCACCCAATATTTCAAAACAACGGACCAACAATTGTTGATTATATCGAGCCAATCATATAAATATGCATCGTCTACGGAGTAGAGATGTATTGGATGCTTTCGTCAGGGTACCATCAAGTCTGGTGATCTTGCGAATGATTGGACCACCAGTGGGCTCAAAGTTTCTATCTTTGACTCGATATTGTTTTAGAGAATATGGAGTATCCAAATTCCTCTGGATAATCAATGCAACGACGACCTCAAGGTCCCCCTCTGGAGATGTGGCTCCTAGACGAGGATTTGAAGCCAACTGACGTATCTCCTGGGGCGGCGTTGCCAGCGAGAAGAAGAAAAGGGGGAAAGTGAAGAGAGATATGTAAGATCACTGGTTTCCGCTGAGCAGGAAAAATCATTGTTCAATTCTCCGCAAGCAGCTCTGCTATCCCCCTCAGTATACTTCAAGCCGACACTTTTGAAGAGCTTCCTCTTCTCGAGGTAAGATGATATCTATGTGATAAATATAACAGTACTCGTCTCACCTAGAGAGCCAGCCAGCACCCGATCCAGTTAACCATGCACGCCCTCTCCGCCCTCACCGTAGCGCTGGCGGCCTTTTCGTCCAGCACCCTTGCTGCAATATGCCACCACGAGCCAAAAGGTGAAAATTGCATGAGCAAAGATGATGCAAAGAGAGCCGTCGCGGCTTACTGCCGTGGTCACTTTCACAGGAACTGTGTCAGTTGGAGGAAAGTCGAGGGCACTGAGGGAGGCGTCGGATACGTTGCCCAAAACGGTAAATTCAAGAATGAAGATCTGTGCGTTAAGGCTGGTCTGTTAATTGTCGAACAATGTTATGGAATTGCGGCCGGTGGTTCTCGGACACGCAGGTTTTCTGCTCTCGACTTCAGGTACTGCGAGTGGTGATCTTTTCGTTTTCGGGAGTGCTTCAAAACTGTGAAGCGTGGAAACGGCTCTCCAAATAATCATGTATCACTATTTGGGTATAACATAGGACAAAGATGGTGCGATAATGAATGGAATGTGAACCTTGCGATTGTAAAGTTTGATTTCCGGGATATCTTCACCAGACTATCTCTTCTTACAGATGAGAAGTCCGGGCCGTTGCCGGCTTTGGAAACACGAGCCATACCTAAAGCGATAGGAATATGCCATTGAATAGAAGCTCTGGAATTAAGATCATTCAATTCGTGTGAAAATAACAAGTCAAGAAGAGTCGAGAGAAGCTATATCATATTGTTACATGTAGATTCCTTCCCGTGTAAAAAAGACCAAAGTAGCAAATGAACCCACACGAAAATTAACATGATGTACAGTCAAGACACAGACTCCGTTTATTGGTACCCCAGAATTAACCTGTTTTAGCATGCGTGCTTATAAAAGTGGTACATGAAATGGTAGTAATGGCGAGAGAGCGTAGTTCAAATTGTCTATTTAATGACACGGGTGACAAGGCCAGTAGCGACGGTTCTTCCACCTTCACGAATGTTGAATCGCTGGCCAGCCTCGGCGGCAACTGGGTGCAAGGTGGTGCAAATCATTTCGATATTGTCTCCTGGCATAGCCATCTTGTCTTGATCTTCTCCGGGCCAGCTGAGCTGAGCCGCTTCGTCTATAGAATTCAATCAGTACCATGTCAACGAAATTATCACGGTATTACATACCGGCAGTGCGAATGAACATCTGTGGGCGGTACTTGCTGCTGAATCCAGATTTGCGCCCACCCTCAGCTTCGGTGAGGACGTAAAGCGAAACTAAGAATTCAGTATGGGCCTTGACACTTCCTGGTACAGCGACGACCATGCCACGGCTAATATCTTCACGCTTAACGCCTCGTAGGAGCAAGCCGGAGTTATCACCAGCGCGAGACTCGTCGCAAGACTTCTTAAAGGTTTCGATATCGGTAACCTTGGTTTTGATTGGCTCGGGCGAACCGCCGACAATTTCAACTTCGGAGTCCTTCTTGAGGATACCACGCTCCACACGGCCGGAGACAACGGTTCCTCGTCCGGAAATAGAGAACACTTCCTCAATGGACATCAAGAAGGGCTTGTCAGTCTCACGCTGAGGAGTGGGAATCCAGGTGTCGACGGCCTGCAAGAGCTCATCAATCTTGGTAACACCGATCTCGGGTTGTCTTCCTTCGAGGGCACAGAGAGCAGAGCCAAAAATGATGGGAGTTTCTTCACCCTCGAAACCGTAGCTGGTTAGGAGTTCACGCATCTCCAATTCAACAAGCTCCAACATCTCTTTGTCCTCGATGGCATCAACCTTGTTCACGAAGACGACGATTTTTTGGATACCGATCTGACGGGCGAGAAGTAAATGCTCTCGAGTTTGAGGCCTGTCTTATATTAGTGCCATTTAAACCAAGATCCGGGAGTGCTCTCGGTTGCATACATTTGACCGTCTGAAGCAGCAACGACGACAACTGCGCCATCCATGTTGGCTGCACCAGTAATCATGTTTTTAATGTAATCGGCGTGTCCAGGGCAGTCGACGTGGGCATAGTGTCGGTTTTCTGTCTGGTATTCGATGTGCGAAGAAGAGATAGTGATACCACGCTTTCTCTCCTCAGGAGCCCTGTCAATTGCACCATATTCCAAGAAGCTGGCCATGCCCTTCTCTGCTTGACGCTTGGTGATGGCTGCGGTCAAGGTTGTCTGTGGAGATCGTTAGGGAGAGATTCGAACAGTGGCTCGGATTGGTACCAACCTTTCCGTGATCGACGTGACCAATGGTGCCTTTTGAATATTAGCTGAGAAAACAACGGATTAAATCTTCTACGCAACCTACCAACATTGACGTGGGGCTTGGTTCTCTCGAAGGCGGTCGCCATGCCCCGAGCAACCAGTCTGTCTCGAGCGAAGACATGTTGGACAGGATTGACGGCTCTCGGTCTTTGCAGAGAGATTCTGCTGGTCCTGAGAAGGACATTGAGAGATCTAGAAATGTTCGACATCTTGACAATCCTTTAATGAAAGAAGAGGTGGAATTGGCAAGGCTGCTTTCCCGTCGTCCCAACTTCCAAAACAAAATTTTTCTGACGCTGCGACAGCTCCCGCTCCCAAAACTTTTCCGAACAAGGTTGCTTACTCAGCACCCATCTAACAGAGCTAACCAATCAGAGCGCAGCCCTGGTCTCCAGCATTGACTGCGCCACAGTTGTGGAACATGATTTGACGGGCTCACCAAGTACACTGTGGAGGAACCGCACTAAATCATCCCCATACGGACAAAGCTGCGGAAGACGAAGGACTCTCGAAATTACAGTATATGTACGGAAGACTCGCAAAGAAGTGGAAACCAATCTGTCTAAGGGGTATATTGTAGAAAAAAGTGAACAAGGCCTCAATATAACCACATTTCATCTCAACGAATCGAAAACGTGCACGATGATGTTATACACCCACTACTTCTTCCCTTCCAAGAAGAACTGGACATGGCCTAACAGTCGTCCCTGCATTTTCTTGCTCTGAATAGCTCCAATTTCCTGTATTTTCTCTTTCACTGCTGCCAACGTCTTTTGCGCTTCGGGTTCTGTAGCCTTTCTCTTCCGAGCTTTTGAAGTCAATATCAATTCCACCTTCTTCCCCTTGGCAATGAACGACTCCATCTGATTCAGCCGGTTTTCAAGATCATTGGGATCAATCGCCCAATTCAACTCAATTTGCTTCGCGGGCTTGGGCTTGGACGTTCGGCTTCTGGCATATTCTTGCTCGCGCAATGTCCGTTTGCTCATGATTTTACAAATAGAGCCATAATTCTCGGATGGCGATATCAACTCAACGAGAGAGTACTCTGTGCGATCGAATCTGCCGAGTACTTGTCGGAGCGGTATTGCCGGGCCTATCGATCCATCCTCCTCCACAATGTGTACTCGCTGATGCCGAATGGCCTCGTCTCGCGGGGCTTTGAGTGAGGGGGTTGTGGGAATCTTTGGCCACGGAATCTGCTGGGCACGAGCACCGAAACGATGCTGCAGAGGCTGACGTTCTGAATGATTTAATCTCTTTAACTTGTGTACGTTTAGGGACCCTGTAACTGGGCGTCGCGCGTGGGTCTGAATACGCGGAAGGAACGCAGACCGGAGGGCTTGGGCGGCGGAAAACACGGGTCGTGTGTGTGTCATGGTAGCTTTGAAGAGCAAGAGTGTGAATTGATAAATCAGATGAGAGACTAAATTAATCCTTCTTCTTTGGTTGTACCTGTAGCTGCACGACACTTGACGGCGTTAATCCTGTGATGTTTCTGAAAGCCAAGAAATACAGGGCGAGCAGGGATCGAGCCACACTTTCCGCGCCACAGTCCGAGTCTGATTTCGCCGTCTCGCGAAACTTCCAGCTGGCTTCTCAACTTCTGTCCTCACTACAATTTTCTTGTCAGTTTTACGGGAAAAAAAAAAGGGGGTAGGGACTTAGGAATGTATAGCTGAATACCGTGCAAATTCAGTTTTTACCCATTCTTGATCGCGTCGCTTTTCCATCTATGACCCTTCGAGGACGTGCCACTCGCTGAATACCCCTGACTGGGGTTGTTTTATTGCGTTGATTTCTTGCACAAGCCGTTGTTTGTTCAGGACCGTATGTCCTTTGAGACTACAGTTAATACTAGTACTTCGACGCCCTTAAATTCACGATCCTCTCTCAGGCGAAAGCCCACCACCCGAAAGCGTACGAACCGAAAAGAAAAGCGCCTCGAAATCCTGGCCAGACGTGGGGACCAGTCTTTATTGGAGCTAGGGAAAAGTTGCCTAGCCGTCGTTATGACACAAAGCCAGAGGACAAGATACCTGAAAACGGGCGGTATCCTCGCTCTTTTGCTGTTTTTCATATACATTCTCTCACCGTCGAGTAACCCATCCACGTCCATCGGAAGTCACACTACAACGTCGAAATGCACGAAACCACATCATCCCTCGAAGTCTCTAATTCAATACGCGTTGATGATCGATGCTGGAAGTACTGGTTCCAGAATTCATGTCTATCGATTCAATAACTGCGGCCCTACCCCTGAGCTTGAACATGAGGAGTTTAAGATGACAGAAAAGAGGAAAGGCGGAGCTGGACTCAGTTCTTATGGTGAAGACGCAGAAGGGGCTGCAAAGAGTCTCGACCCTTTGATGCAGGTGGCTTTAGATACGGTGCCGGAAGAGTACAGATCTTGCTCGCCGGTGGCTGTTAAAGCGACAGCGGGATTACGTATGCTTGGCCCAGAGCTTAGCCAAAAGATTTTGGAAGCGGTACGACATCGATTAGAAACGGTGTATCCATTCCCGGTTGTGTCAAAGGAGCAAGGCGGAGTCGAGATTATGGATGGAAAAGACGAGGGTGTATATGCATGGATCACGACCAACTATCTTCTCGGGAATATTGGTAGCCCTGAGCAAAACCCCACAGCTGCTATATTTGACCTCGGAGGAGGCTCCACTCAAATTGTTTTTGAACCGATATTCAAAGTTCCGGACCAGATGGAAGACGGTGATCATAAATATGAGCTCACCTTCGGCGGCAGAAAATTCACCTTATATCAACACTCACATCTCGGCTACGGGCTCATGGCAGCCAGGAACGCAGTTCATAAAGCTATCGTTGAAACAATGCACACTTCTAATGGTGAAGACCGATCTTGGCTTTCTGACCCAATTATTAATCCTTGCGTTGGTCCCGGCATGGAAGCCGCTGTCAACGTCACACTTGCTGAGGATCATCCCCTTGGAGCTAAGCTTCAGGTCAAAATGGTTGGCCCGAAGGAGGGTTCCTCAGCGGCAGCTCAATGTCGCAGCATTGCTGACAAAATTCTCCGGAAAGATGCCGAATGCGCTCTTAAACCTTGCTCGTTCAATGGTATCCATCAGCCATCCCTTGCCAAGACGTTTGCCCGAGAGGATGTGTACATTTTCTCGTACTTTTATGACCGCACGGCTCCGCTTGGAATGCCTGATTCGTTTACTCTGCGCGATCTTCAACATTTGACAAGCACAGTTTGCTCTGGGGAAGGTAGCTGGGGTGTGTTCAGTGGAATCGCTGACGCTTTAGAAGAACTAAAGGGTCGCCCCGAATATTGTTTGGATTTGAACTTTATGCTTTCACTCCTTCATCATGGCTATGAGATGCCTCTTGATAGAGAAGTTAAGACAGCAAAGAAAATCGATGGAAATGAGCTGGGATGGTGTTTGGGTGCCAGGTAAGGAAATATCCGGGATTGATATTTCCTCCCTTCATTTTGGCGTGGATGGCATGCTAACACTTTATTCTTTAGTCTTCCCCTTCTCAGCAAGGATTCCGGCTGGCAATGTCGTGTCAAGCAAATTACTTAAAGATAGACTTAGATTTCTTTGACGACTGTTCCCCTTCGCCCTCTGTCTTATTTCTGCGTATATAATAGTAATTGATGACTATGGCGATGTTGACAAGAAACGTTGATTCAAAGCGGACAAGTTCTCTGTGCGCCCCCAATTTCTCCCTTTAAATGTCATGTTCATTGTTTCTTGGGCTGGGCCTTGTTTTCATACTTGTTGAAGTCTTAACATGTACTCTTCCCTTTATCTAAAATAGTATTCTTCTTTTTGGTGGCAAAAAGAAAGAGTCCATACTTGCAAATGCGTCCTTTTGGTATGACTTGGAGAAATATAAAGATTCAGATTACATTGGAAACTGCATGTTTTTGGGTATCATAAATCAAACCAAAATCCTGGTAGCCAAGAAAGCGGATATCAAGATGCTAAAGGTATCCAGAAAATATTATTTAGAAGATGGGCCAAAGAAGTTTGGGCACCAGTTGGTATGTTGCTTTGATGGATATCATTGTTCCATCTCTTCAATTATTGGCCTTGTTGTTATGGGTTTATTCCCCATTAACCTATCCAAGACATCTGTATCGCCTCCGGACCACCGGGTGCCCTCACTTTCACCATTGGAAGGACCAGGGCTTCTGTCACTACTAGCCTCAGACTCATCATCCGATTTCTGTTCCAGGACTCCAAGGCCGAGATTCTAGGGTCTAGATATCAGCTCAACACTCTTTCGACAGATACAAGGAAGCACCGCTGACCATCTCAATGTACTGATCGGTCCTTCGACCTTCACCATCGGCGCGATCATTGACGTCCTCACTATCGTCGTGAATTTCGGCACTCATTACTTTTCCTGCAGCAATGTCTCTTTCGAGAGTGTCATTCGCAGCTCTGAGAGCGGGGAGAAATGCCGCGAGACGCGCTGATAGGTCGGAAGTAGGGATGCGATACATAGGAGGTTTAGGGCGTGTGAGTATTATAGGCTCGTTTTCCTCATCTTCGCTCGGTACTGAATGTACAGCGTCGCCGTTGGGCGCGACAGGACTTAAATCATCACGATCGCGGCGACCACTCGACGATGATGAGAAAGCCGAATAAGAAGTAGGAGCTAAAGAGGAGGAAGAAGGGGAACTTGGCGAGCTTAGCTCGTGTGAGCCGGTGTTGTGGGAGGATGCACCGCTGTTATCGCTGTTTGTCGAAACGCTGCGATTAGAGGAGTCGGGTCTGGGCCTTTTTGGGCTTGAATCGGACTCGTCGGTTTCGGGAGGGCGTTTGTTCGATGATCTCGACATGGTATTTATCGAGATACGGAGTTCTGGGATGCAATGGTAGCCCGAGACTAGCGGCGAAGATCAGACGTTTGCAGCTTGTTTGACTTTTGAAGCTCCTGGCGGGATTTGTGTCGGGGGCGATGTAGCAACCAAAATTGGCTTTTGAACGGTATGAAAGCTTCACATGGATCAAACCGTCGAACAAGATAACTTCTGTCTCGCGTTGATCATCCGCAAACAGCTAATGCCCTTGAATATTCGAGGTTGTAAAACCGTTGCGACGCATGAAAAGTTTTGAGAAATCGACTACGGTACTCCGTAAACTCTCTGTAGTGCGACAATCTGACATCATTCGATTCTGCTGTCCAATCTTAGCGGGCGCTCAAGGGAACCAGATCATATGATAACAACGGAGTACTGTACCTAACGTAGTGGATTTTTAGGAACATATTTTTTACGGTGCCTCCCGCTAGCGTTGACGAAACTTCAGCGAGACGGCTCGCTCAGTCACAGCGGCGCGAGTTACAAACTCCGCCGTCGCCGCAGTCGAGACGCCCTCTCAGTTCACATATTCCTTCTGGAAGGGCTCACGGTCTTCCAAAAAAGAAATTCCAAGAAATTGATCACGTGAATGACCAACAGGCCTTGTGGCGTAATTGGCAACGCGTCTGACTACGAATCAGGAGACTGCAGGTTCGAGCCCTGCCAAGGTCAATGCCTTTTTTCCTTTTTTTTTTTTTTCCCTCGAGTTCTCGGGTTTTGCTCGTCTTTGAACCTTGGCATGGCAGTGGTAAGTATCCGTGGTTCTGTACGGAGAAGTGCGGAAGGGATCCGCATGGTAACTGGCCAAAGCCTAATCTCCGCATTCAGTAGGGAGGAGCAACCATCCCCATAACTAAACCCCCCGAACTCATACCAAGCCTACCCTGATTGGCCTTGGATGTCCGGAATGAGAGTGAAGGGGGTTCTTTGGCGCTATAAAGTGAAGGCCTAATCATTGCCGTTTAACTTGCATACAAATCCAAGTGTGCTCACCGGCTAGAAGGCGCGCTGTTCTTCGGACTTGGGGCGGCGGGGCTCATAGCCCGTTGACTAACAAGTTCATACATAGTTACTTAACCGCCGTGTCTGGGGTTGACCGCGCCTCTTTCAACTCCTCACAATCTGGGGTATTAACTGCCCGCTCCGGCATCAATGCTTCAGCATCCCATGAAATGTGGATCTGCTTCGATCCTATCCCAGCTTCAACTAGCTTAACACTGTGCTGTGTTTAGGTGGCTGCTGAATTTTTGCTTATTTGGAAGAGCCGCAGGCTGACTTCTCTCATTTACGAGTGTGATGCTGGGTGCACAGCCATCAACTAGCACAGCAAATTACAAACATCCCGGCAAATGGTGTGGACCGCGTGTATCCTGAAAACATCTCCCTTTCTCCTTTGGTCCTAGATAGTTTGAGCTTGAGTCTCTTCTACCTGGAAAAAGAAAACAGCTGCCGAAAGCCCATCTCCGGCCATTTTTCTTTTTCCAGCTGCAAATTCCAAAAAATGCCCTCGTCCACCATGAGCAATCCGAGCATTAGAACCACAGGCCCAGATTTGCAGCCGGACGAGAGTAACGACGACACGAAATCCCCCGCAACCCGCAAATCCCTCCACCAGAATATTATTGGCAAACTGCGGCCGCTTCCTTTTCAGTACCGATGGGTAGTATGGTACGAAAAGCAGGTGGAGTCAACCAACTACGACGAGAGACTATATCTGCTACATGGGGATGTTGCGGATATCGCTACCTTTTACCGAGTATACAACAATTATCCTTGGGATAAAGTCAAGCTGCGAGATTCAGTACATATTTTCAGAAAAGGAACGAAGCCAATATGGGAGGACCCCGAGAACGCGAACGGCGGGTGTTGGACTTTCCAGGTCCCCAAGGCGAAATGCCACGCCTTCTTTCACGAACTAGCCATTCTCTGCATGGCGAATGAACTACAAGCCGCCGTGCAAGGAGGTAAGTCGCGAGCTGTTTTGCATTTCAAAGAGCCTTAAAGATTTATATCAAGCACAACAAATCTAACTTGTTCTTCCTCTTTTTTTTTTCGACCTCCCTAGAGCACGATCATGTTCTGGGCGTGTCTTCCTCCGTCCGTTTCAAAACCCACCTCATCTCTGTCTGGAACAAAGCCGGTAGAAATGAAAAATCCATCCGAATACTTGGGGAGACAATCATCGAGCGCCTTTCCCCCGAACTACGACCGGCCTCGTCAAAAACGTATTACTATAAACGGCATGACGAGCATGACGGGTATGAAGCTGCCATGAAAGCTGCCATGAAGAACAAAGAGGAGAGTAATAATGCCACAAATAAAGAGACCAGCCAATGTCCATCAAAGGACCCCGGCGGCGGGGATGAAGCTGGGAAGTAAAATAAAATGAAAGTGTCAGTTTGGAGATTCTCGTATACTCTGGGGGCTTAATGATTGTTGAAATTGAGAGGGACTCTTTCTTTTATGCGAGGATGAGGCATTCCGATAGATTTATGTTGCGCCTTGCGGCACCTTGGCTAACGTGTATTTGACGACTAGCGTTCATGGTTCGGTTCCTGAAGTTGGCATTTACTTCCGCTACAATCTGCAATGAAGCATGACAACAAATTGGGACCAAATTCCTTCTCCATACCAATCTATCCATCAGACGTTAACAGTGCCCATTACACACATGACTAGGGTATATACCAAAAAGCTGAAACGAAAACGATGAAGGCGGGAGTCAACAACTTGAACCGGCCCAACTATTCGTAAGAAATATGCGCCGCGCAAATATGCACCTTGAACCCAAGCAAAAAATCAAGTTTCGATGATTATCCATCAGCAGAGAGTGTACAGAAAATCATTCCTAGCGGCTCCGGCTTCTCCGTCTACTCCTGCGATCATCTTTATCAACACTCGAGCCACGGACTGAACTCGCACTGCCAACGACAGAGCCACCACCAGGGATATACCGATCTATCCGGCTTCGATCGTGATCGCGCTCGCGATCTCTATCCCAGTCTCTGTCCCGATCACGGGACCGATCACGAACGCGGTCCCTATCGGACCATGTTCTGTCCCGCTCCGGTGAGCGAACCCTTCGTTTAGGCGAGCGACTTCGAGTAGAGGTCGGTGGCACATAGCGGTCAATATCGAGCTGGTTAGGCGATCTAGATCGACGAGATAGTCGCCTGCGGGACTCAGAGCGGTCTCTCTCCTCCCGGCCCCTGCGTGTCAGGGAGCGAGAGCGGGAACGAACCCGAGACCTTGATCTTCGACGCCGTGAACGTGAACGTGACCGCGAATGAGAGTAAGCGCGGGGACGATAGCTACGGTCACTTCGATCCCAGTCTCGATCCCGATCCCGATCCCGGTTCCTATCTCGGTCTCTATCCCTATCCCTCCCTCTTTCCTTATCCTGATCTCTGTCGTTTTCCCTTTCTCTTTCTCTTTCTCTCTCCTTGTCCCTATCCCTCTCCCTGTCCCTGTCCCTGTCCCGGTCCCGATTGAAGTCCCTATCTGAGTCTTTCTCTCTTTCCCCTTCTCTATCGTGAGGCCGATAGCCGTCGCCTCGATCTCGATCCCGGATAGGCGTTCGGCTCCGGGCACGACTCCTCCTCCGCGTATCTGACCGATCATCTCGATCATGTCTCTCACGTGATGGTCGATATAGGTCCATCTCACGATCTCTTCTCTCAGAATCTCTCCTGTCAGAGTCCCTCCAACGATATCGGTCATCTTCATAGCGCGACGATCGCCTAGTTCGCGACCTGCTTCTGGAATCATCACGTTGTCGGCCTCGGTACCTGTCGTACCGATCTTCAGTAGCTTCTCGTATTGTATGATCAGATGCTCGTTCTGTTTTTGGACGAGAAGGGATGCTGGTTCGTGTTTGCGCCTGATGTGGTGCTTGGGCTTGTTGCTCTTCCATCTCCAACGCTTCTGCTTTCTCAAAATCAAATTCAGGACGTTGCCGGGATTTGGCGGCAAGCTCCTTCCCCTCCTTGAGAAGAAGTTCTAGAGCTTCGTCTTCCAAAGCCTTTTCGTCCACAGGTGCGGGAGGTTGAGAGGGTTCCCTTGGGGTATCGGACCGTTCCTTTTTGGGTGTTCGCTCAGATTTTACATCACGATTCCAATCTCTATCACGGTCTCTCCCACGGTCGCGATCGCGCTCGTCACGGCGTCGATCGTCTTCTCTTTCACGTTCTCTTTCTCTCTCTCGTTCCCTTTCGCGCTCCTCGCGCCTGCGTTCTCGGTGCTCTCTCTCTTCTTCATCTCGTCGCCTTCTCCGCTCTTCGCGCTCTTTTTCTCTTTGTTCTTCAAGTTTCCTTTCCTCTTCGCGCCGCTTCTCGCGCTCGACACGACGCTTTTCCTCGCGCTCTTCACGTTCTTTTCGTTCAGCTTCCTTTTGCTGTCTCCGGAGCTCTCTTTGTCTCTGTCGTTCTTCTGCTTCAGCCTTGGCGCGTTCTTCTTCGAGTTTTTTCTTCATTTCTAGTTCCTTCAATCTTGCTTCTTCCCTCTCCTGCCTCTTAGCTTCTACCAAGCGGGCGTATTCCTCATCTGTAGTATTGCCCTTTCGTTGCTCTGCCGTAGCAATCTCCTCGCCCACTTCCTGCCGACGAATACTTCTAAGGGTGTCGAGGATTTCCTCAAGACAGTTGGCAGACAATGCATCTATTGCGTTTTCTACACTCTTGTAGAGATCGCTTCGATCCACAGCGCCTTCTATAAGCGTAGCAGCTTTACCCCTCTCGCGGGATAATAGCGAAGGGTCACGTTCAATTTCAGATTCCGCCATTTCAATTAAAGATACGATAAAAGACTTCTTCGCCTCCTATAAAGAAACGTATCGGAATTCAGTAACTAGTTGCGCTGGCTAGATCTAATGCATTGGTTGTCTCTGGACTTACACTATCATTATTGAATTCAGCCCATATTTTCTTCCGCGCAGCATCAAATCCGCCCTTCTTCTTGAAAGAGTAAAGCAAATTATCAATGGCTGCGCGCTGGCCAGGAGAGATCGGCAGCTCCGAAGCTTTGAACTTTTTCCGATAGACATTGCCGATTTCTTCTCCCGACCGCTTCGTACCAGTCATTTCAATATCGGACGTAGCCATCGCTACAAATATCCGGGGAGGGTGACTGTAAGGGGAAGGATTCCACATTGCCAGGCCTTGCTGGCTGCATGCGCCGGTGTGGCAGCTCAAGCTTCCAGAGCGCGACGGATACGGATAAAGGTTCCCCCAGTTCCGACAGTCCTTCCCGACGAAGGGCTGGTGTGCAACGCATCCGGCCCAGGCGACGACATCATCCCGAATCAAAACGCTCAGGACTCAATTGCGGCCCTCGCTAAGGGAAAACCCCAATAAAAATCAGAGGCCAGAGGATACTGGTCGCCCGCCTTCTCTTCCTGTACATTACATTGAGACCATATCACGCCTACTATCCGCACATCTCACTTTGGTCGCTCCGCATCAACCACATTCTAACCCACCATGCCTGTGCATAAGGTGCTTTTTTGGAGCGGTTTCGGTACGCAACCTTGTATTCTGTGCATAATCTTGCAAAATCACAGTTAATTGCTTCGCTGTTATTACCTAAGTTCACATACACCGTGCACTATATCCCCCGCTGTATAATAGCCGATGCCTGACATATTCTTCTATAGGTATTGCCGTCCGTCTCTGGCAGCTCGGTATCGAAATGCGCCCCTTCTTTAACAGAGAATCTTTATGGGTTTACCCACTTTTTGCGACCGTCGGCGGAAGCTTTGGATACTGGCTTGAAGGGGTGGAATCGAGACAATTGAAAATGCTCGCAGATAGAAAAGAGATGCTTTTGGAAAAACGACGAAGAAGAGCCGAGAGAGAGGCTGGCGAGCCAGGGTTGAGCAAGATAGAAGAGGGCGGAATGCTGGCCAGCACTTCGTAAACAATACTTGGGTGAATTCGATTGAGACCCAGGTGGCAATACAATCTTGACGCGGCTGGTCGGGTCCGATAGAGTATAAGGGACGGAGACGCAGAGAAAAAGGACAGGATGTCCAAAAATATAACGAATGGTTCGGTTCCGTGGAGGCATGAAGAAAAGGACTCTGGCATGTTCTCTGCGATTTTACAATTGGTTCAATTCTGTCAATTCCACTATGTTTTCCGAGAAACCCCCAAAGGATGGTATGAAAAATAGATGTAAAATAACTACATTTTAACCTTGCATCCCTTTTCAGTTCTCGTTCATTGTTTTCAAATGCCAAAACCCGAGGAAACTGAGCTTATACAACACCATTTTGTTGGATACGGCACCTTTAAAGTCTCAGTCACCTCATCTTAGCATGTAGGAGCTGTTCCAACGTTGTGCAGCGAAGCGTCTTCTGTAGCATCCGTGTCCTTCGGATTCTGCTTCTCCTTACCCTTACTCTTCAGTGCGGGCTCGATCCTCCCTTCTGCGTCCTTCCCATCCCCATATGCAACGTCTTCTCTGTGAACTTTTCTCTTTGGCGAGTTGGGCGGATCCATCTTCACCTCCTTGCCGACCTTCTCTGCTTCGTTCCGTACTTCCTCCTTTCCATCACCTGTTTTGCCTCTTTGCGTATTTTCAAACTCTTCATCGGAATTTTCGCCCATTGACATTTTTTCGACAACCCTCCTGGTCAGACGCTGCTTATGAAGAATGTCGACAACCTCCTCGCGTTCTGCTTCGCTTGCCCCACTAATGGACACAAAATTGGGTATACCATGGTAGAAATGCTTGATAATTCCCCATTCCATGGCATGACTGATAGGACGGCAGCACCCACCAGGGCAGAAACAACCTTTAAAATCCATGTAAATATGTTCTAACTGCAGGCGCTGGCGAATGAATGTTAGGGTTCGGCCCCAAAGAAGATCATTGAGCCTTGCAATGTCTTTCTCATGGGCTGAATCCAGAAAAGTGGGAGTGGTATCGGTCGTATAGTCTGAAGAGAAAGAATGGGTGCTTGCTTCGGCGCCCTGGCAGTGGACTTCCACTTTGCATTCATTTCCATCTGTATCTTCGACATGTTGTGCCGGTCCATTCTCGCTTCCCATATTGATTTCGGCGTCATGACCTTCGGTGCCGTCACCCTCATCGTCCCATTTGGTATTGTCTCCACTACCCTTGCCAACTATGTATTCCTCCGCACCTGCGAGACGTGCACTGACAGCAAAGATCTTCTTTGCAGCCGGTTTGCCAGCAGGGAACTTATCCTCTTGACGCGTTATAGTCTGACCCATCATCTCCAACTGAACACGAAACACACCAGTGAGATAATGGAAGTCGCAAATATCAAATATGATTTCCACATGGCGAATAAGCTTGATGTTTTGCGCGAGGCGCGGGTATTTCTGAATCATGCAGAGTAGAAAGTCCGGGACGACGATCGAAAACTTATTTTCTTTATAGAACACTAGAGCTGCTTCCTCGTAAATCTGTTTACAGACACGTAAAACAGCGAGATTTGGTGTCTCGTACTTTTCCTGCTCACCATTGCCCGACCTGAAGCACGTCGGGACAAATGGCTTGATGAAGACACGCTCCGGAACAAGAGCGAAATGATATATCTTTTGACGCACGTTTAATGGTAAGGTCAAAAAGCAATGCTTTTGTACAACAGCAGGTCTTTCAATTAAGTTTTCGTTATCAGTTTCCTTGATAAGAGACTGTGGAGCCATGATGGTTGTGAATCATGGCCACATAGCTTTGTACGAGAGGCTTGGAAGAAAAGGAAGATGAATGAGAGTTTGTCGTGTAAGAAATGTTAGGAGACTGGCCTGAATTCACTTCTCTTGGATCGCCACAGCAACTGGCACTTGATGATGACGGTGATATGTTGTTTACCCATAGCAGGAACTAACTGTTGAGAGGATAGTGCAAAAGAGAAGAGTTGGCAGGAGAAGTCTTGTCACATTATCAGGATTTGACATGGAAGCATCTCGAAGCTTTTAGTGCACTTTCAAAATGTAAACATAGGCTGAAACATATTATAGCAGCCACATAGAACAAATAGACACAATAAACATTGCTTCAAGGGTATCATGGTATGCTGTGGGAAGAACCAATTGAATAGCTTGAATCCAATGCTTGCAGAAAGATCACAGTTGTTCAACATTTAACTGAATGGAGACCTCCCATTTCTGGCCTCCAGATCCATATCCTCCTCCGAGTCGTTCCTTGATCATACTTGAGATCCGCTCCCGCAGTTTGGTAAGGCTATCTTCCGGTCCAGCGACCCTAAGTTTGAGATTTGCCATGCAAAGCCCATAATGGACCTGCCAGAATTTGGCTTCTTCGACTCCTGAGACTGATGGGTGAGACGCGATGTCTTTCATCAGACTTGAAACTCCCCGTCCTGAGTATGACATCAAAAGCATAGATCCAAGAGTAGCCACAAGTCTTATCCCTAGAGCGCACATTGACATAGCAACTGCCAGAGCAAAGGCCCTGTCCATCCACGTGTAGATAGTCACAGACAAAAGAGGAAGCAGCAGCAACAGAGAGGAGCATGAGAGCGTTAGGAAATGTGCCGGATTGCTGAGTAAAGAAGGCAACGACTCAATGTATGCAAAGCGCATTGCTTTTCCAATCCTTGCATGGTTTTTCAGGCCAATGGCGGATATGATAGTGGCTAAAAGAGCAAGAAGCGCAGTGATATCAATACTCCCGGAGGAAACACGTCCATGAGAATGTGGACGATGGGACCCTGAACCCGAAGTCTCTAGGAGATGAGTGATAGCGTGAGATATGAGATCTCCGCCCATGAAAAAGAGCAAAACAGAAAGGGCAAAGCCGGCGACCACCTCAGCACGTTCAAGGCCAAACGGGTGACGGACAGTCGATCGCCTCCAGACTTCAAAATTCCCAAGGACGTCGACAGCGACGCAAAGCATGGCTCCCAATGAGTCGAAAAGTAATAGATGTGAAAGTCCAGTCATGGCCATAGATCCATGAGCACTCCACAGTGTATTTCCGGCAACTGCCATATGGCATAAGCTCCACCAAAAGCGGACCTTTTGCTCTTTAGACATACTGCCACGGCATTCTTTTAATGTCGGAATAGGCAACGAGTTGGGGAGTGCCAGCGGTGCTCTTGGAGGCGGCTCGAGGAATATCTGATGAGATACGCTGCTGTGCTTGTATTTGTGGCCACGACGCTGCCCTACGCCCTGTGTCGAGGTTAGCTGAATTCGGTGACCGTTGATAAGCTCAGCCTTACGGATTTCACGACTGGAGTTTTCGCAAGAGCGGTCGGCTTAAAATTGAAGGGCCCCGAAATATCCTGGCTGGCTCGTCTCTGTGGATTCCAAGCGGGATCTGAGAAAAGATTTTCGCATTAGCCCCTGCTTGCCATAGGTCGAACTAGCCGTATCCCATACCTCCAGATGGAAACGTGTCGACCATGGGGGAAAGGGCATCGCGAGAGAACGAAGCTGTCATCGGAGTCGCCAAAGAAGAGCCAACTGAATTAGCAGTCGCGGGTTCGTCAGATGGAGGAGTGGGAGTCCGTGGAGGGACGGGGATTGAGGGATTCGAAGCCATGGCTGATGAAGGCTGAGGATGGTGCAAATCCTTCTTCCATGGGAACAAGAGTAAAAGCAAGAATCATCCAGTTGTTATTGCCATGCTCAACGCGATTACATCAATTCATAGAGGGAAATTGTTTTGTTCTGTTGTCTTGTTGTCGTATTCATGATACATTGGTCTAGCAATCCCAGGTGAAAGCATATTTGGTGGAATGCGTTCACAGACGCGCCTTTCCACATCTCAACCACCATTTGTTGTTCCTGCATACAGACTTCTCGCCACCATCCGGCCTCAAATTTGGCGCTGGCAATGGATTTTCATTTCAGAACAAGGGATAAGGCTTCCATGGTTTCTGTTGGTTGCTGTTCATGGATAGCCGCCGTGCCTTTCTCGTCTTCCTTCTCCTGTTCTTCCTCTTCACCGCGCCAGATCCGCACCCCCGACCGCCGGTGTCCAAGGAGGAGCTCCAAAAGCAAATAACTGACGAACAGCGCGCGTTGTCCTGGCTCAACTCTTCAAGGTATGGGGATTTAAATAGCCAGAACGATCGCTGGCTGCCGCTCGCCGGATTAACAAAGGACGACGGGTACGCATGGGGCCTCCTCCCTGTGGTGCAAACTCGAGCCAGGAAACAACTACATTCTATCCTTCATACCTACAGGATATCGGTCCCGGAGCTCTCTTTAGCTCAGTCCCATGATCTCACTCCCGAATCCAACCTGACGGGCTTGATTCTCCCTGTGTACCGAAATGTCACTGGCAGGGTGCGGGGCGATTGGGTACGGTGGAGGGAACCAGAGCTCGCCCATCGCCCAAACCTGAACTTGACGTCCATAGCAACAAAGCATGACTACTTCACACATGAGTTTGGGCGCAATATCACTGCAAATGATGGGCGACTCGTCCTTGACTTTCAAGAGGAGGAAGGTGGCAAGGCCTTGGATGTGAACGGCGTTTCCGTCAGAGATATCAGAGCTCGCATGTTAGTGGAGATGAACGATGCCCTCGGCGACAGTTGGGTTGTGCCGCTGTTTGGGATACACTTCCCGGCGACAGGGGCAATCGTGTTGACCACTACGAGCGAGAAGTTTGCTGGCATTACGGCTCTGCCTCATTTCGCTTTGTCCAGAGACAGTTTCCAAACCTCTCGCCGATTGCTTAACAAGACCCTCTCTGATGCTCTGGAATTAAAGCGGACCCAGCCAGAACGATACTTGCCTTGGTCGTCTTTGCCCTATGACGGGGAGACAGCGGCATTTCCGACTCCTAAATGCGAATATATCGTTTATATCCAGCAGCATCCTGTCGTAATTGGAGCTACAACTGCCCAGACGTCTATACTAAATGCTATTGAAAATGAACTTCGATTTCCTAAAGGCGCTCCTATTCCAAATCCACCCCCAATCGTGATGTCGGCTGCTATGATTTCTCCTGACTGTGGCTTCTTCCTTGAGTCTAAGGGACCTCCAGTCTATACCCCTCAGGATGAACTTTATCTTTCGGGTCTAAAGCGTGAGGAGTATTCTAAATATGCGAAACGATTCATTGTTATTATTGCTGGCATTTTTATTCTGCATATCAATCTGCTTATGCGGCAGATGAAAGAATCGTCCACCCCATCAACGCGAAGCCGAGTAAGCTTTTTTACGATTGCGGTGATGTCAATGGGAGACGCTCTGCTGATATCCTTCGTATTGGTTCAACTCTGGTCAGAGGCTTCGTTTCTATTAATCACCGCTACTTCATTTTTAGCTTTTTTCTCCATCAGCTTTCTAGGAATGAAGTTCCAGATTGAGATATGGACAATCCAGGAGCCCGAGCGAAGAGAGGCGCTCTCTAGTTCTGGCTCTTCTCAAACTTCTTCCACTCAGCCAGGTTCCCTTCCCGCACCGGCTACTAATCCAAGCCCGCGTGACACCGGTGCCACTCCAACCATCCTTCCTCCAGATCAGGACAGTCCCTCAGATGAGACACCCCCAAATCAAAGGCAGGCCAACAGCGAACCCGGTGTCAGCGCAGGGGCAATGTATACACGGTTTTACTTTACACTTTTCAGCTTGTTTTTCCTCTCCTCGTGGGCGACTTTCTGGCCAACTCGCCTTGCTGCGATATACGCGGATATTCTCATCTTTATCTACCTTTCTTTCTGGATACCCCAGATATATCGAAATATCATGCGCAATTGTCGGAAAGCGCTTCGGTGGGAGTTCGTGATTGGGGAAAGCATGTTGCGTATTTTCCCCTTTACGTACTTCTACCTGTTTCCCCGCAACGCCGTGTTAACGACGTTTAGCTCGGCTGAACTGTTCGCTTTTGCTTCGTGGATTTGGATTCAAAACTGGGTGCTCGTTAGCCAAGATATTCTCGGCCCAAGATTCTTTGTCCCAAAGACTTGGGTTCCACCAGCATACGATTATCACCCAATACTGCGAGATGCATCTGCTAGTGGATCAGGTGAAGATTTGGAATCTGGTGATATCCTACCTCTAAGTTCACTCCGAGCAGAACAGCGGGACGGTCCTGAAAACTCGCGAGACAACGACAAACAAGGCAACAAGGACCGGAAAAGAAAGGTTTTCGACTGCGCCATATGCATGCAGGACATCGACGTGCCTGTCCTCTTAACCCCTGGAAGCGGAGCAAGCAGTTCAGGGACTAGTGTGACCGAAAGTGCCACAAATCTTCTGAGTCGGCGTACATATATGGTTACCCCGTGCCGCCATATTTTCCATAGTTCGTGCTTGGAGACTTGGATGAGACTGCGACTGCAGTGTCCAATATGTCGAGAATCGATTCCTCCCGTATAACAGCTATGTACATACTATGATCTCTCCTTGCATTGTTACAGTGACATCTGATTGACACACTCTGCACATATTGATCGAGAATAAATAAAGCCGTGAAAAGGACGAAGCTAGGCAAAGCTCGGCCTAGAGACAGATGCTCTAGGATGACGGGGGTCGATAAGCTTTCATGCTTAGGGCTACACAGGAAACGACGCTTTTGCTGCCGTCCTCAGTAGTCGCGTCGATAACATGCGCCATGGTCTTAGCGGCAAATTTGGCCTAGACTGACAGTCGATCTACGGAATACATAGACGTCTACACTCGCAAAATCTAGGCCGAAGTTGCCCCTGAGGCTTCTAGTGAGAATTTGATGGGAGGCTCGACTATGGGTAACCATTTGGTTCACATCCATAATTCTAATCGCTGTCACATGACCTCGCCTCGAGTGAATCCGCTCCAGAGGGAAATTCATGCTCTCCATGAAGACACTGCGATATAGCGGGGAAGCAAGCTGGGAATACAAACCGGCGTCAAGTTATTTAGGCGAGATTTTAGAGTTGAATTTGAGGGCGAAGAAGGGGATTATGGCAACTAGATTGCATTTGTACGGAGTACCGCGCTCGGGTTTTAATATGAGATATTTCTTGTGAATAATGTTGCTCCTCGGAATGTGAGCTCGCCTTTTCTATCGTGATGTAGCGTTGGTACTACTCCATCGCTCTAGCGACTGCTTTCATTTACGGCGTTTGGGGTCGATGGATTGCAGCCTCCATCAAACTCAGCAGCCGAGTTCGTCTGCACTTCAATGCCCATTTTCCAGAAGGTGAGATGACTCGGCTTCAATTCCGCGAAATTGAACATTTCAACTTAAATAATTAAGAGCCACCACTCTCCTGGAAGTAACATGTTTCTTCGGCAGATGAGAGGCTCCAGACTCCCTGTTGGAATCGCTCTCTCCCGAGTCCGGTTCCTCAACGTCGAGGAAACGTTTTGTCACGATTCCAGCAATGGCCCCATTGTGACAAGGATAACCCGATCCCAACTGTTAGCACGTCGTATTCCTTCCCCCCCCTTTTTTTTTTTTATTTTTTATTTTTTTTTTTTTCGCCCCCATAGCTCTGATGGCAACCATCAATCATGGACCTGTCAGGAGCGTCGCATGGATGTGCTGAAACAGTTCCCGGTTTATCCGCCAATGAGCCCTGTTACCAACCAAACTAGTGAGCATTCCCGTCCTCTGGCGTGTTGCAAAGACTGTTGGACCCACGCCTTCCCCTTGGCACAGAGTTGAAGCCGCTGCCTGAGTAGTAGGGTGGATAGCAATTGATTGCGCTGCTGGGTGAAGCCTTGGGCCACATCTTGAGTCGATACCTGTACGGAGTACGGAGTACGGGCTAGAGGTTTTCTTTTTACTTTTGTCCCTTTTGTCTCTTGGTTTTTTTTCCCGTGCTGATTCTCGTGAAACTTGATGGTGATCCTCTCTTCATCTACAAGTGAACAGAATGTTGTTACTATGGCAGCTCTGTTTTCTTGTGTTTAACTCCCTCCAGGCTGTCCGAGCACAGTTCATCGAGCCGCCTAAACCAGATGGCAGCAGACAATATAGACTTGGCGAAACAGTCACCCTGCGTTGGGATGGAACAGATAGCTATAACATCCTATCGCTGGGGATTTATCAGCCAGATGTAAACGTGACAATTAGCTGGCTCATATGTACGCCATTTTCTCCACCTTGACATCTTGACGAGGTCGCTGAGAGAAATGAAGCTGGTTTACTCACTTTCGATTTACACAGCCGATACCGTAGATCGTCCGAAAAAGATCTCGTGGACGGTCGTCGACTACGGCTTCGATCTGACTCGCTCGAATTTATTCCAGTTCCTGATTGTTAACGGCACACGGTTTGGCGCTCCGATTGATTCGCCAAAGTTTAGCATTGTAAATGCCACTGACGACACGTCCGACACCACCACAACGTCATCATCAATAATGCCTTCGTCGACGACAGCGTCGCCACCAGTCACTTCAACCTCCGATTCAGAAGCAGACAATAGGAGCGACCGTGGCCTCGGGGCCGGACCTGCTGCCGGCATCGGGGTGGGTGTCACGGCAGCAGTTGGTGCAGTAATTGCTGCCGGATGGTGGTTATTTCGAAGACGGCGCCGGGCTGCTCAAGCCAACCTTGCCGCAGAGCCACTTTCAAGGGAATATATGCAATATGCGGTCAAACCAACAGCAGCGACACCACCACAAATGCTTGATTCACAGACGATTGTCCCAGCTGAACTACAGGGAAGTGATGACAGGCTAAGAGGCAGATAGAACTCTCCTGGATACTTCTCGATACATGTTTTGACAGCCAGCGAGCACGACAATGAGACCGCAAAAAGCCCTGCAAAAACTGATATATGTCATCACTCATCAACCGTAAAGCCCGCCTTGCATTTCAATATCCTTCCACATGCTCAGCGAGCAACAGTGAGCCGAATATGGTAGAGCAAGCTTCCAGGCTTACTCGTTGGTCTTTGGATCCATTTCTAATGATTTCCCTTCAAATTTCCGTTCGCAACCACTTAAACCAGTTATCTACATCTACTCGTTATGCGTCATTAGCGGAAACTATTGTCCAAATATGAATATAACACATTATTATGGAAGTACCCCGAAGTTTCCTATACAGTATCCATATCATGCCGCTTTAGCACAAGTTTCCAGCAGCTTATGTTATGCATACCAATGTCCATCCACGGGCTCCTCAACATTTTGCTCCTTTATACCAAAAGCAAGGTGACCCACGTCTTCACCCATATCTGAAAACTGTTGGTAGAATGATTCCGGCATCTTAACCACTCCCCAACGAAGTCGACTTTGCGCCATTTGAATCAATGCAACCTTCTCACTTGCTCCTATATCATCCTTGCAATCTAGCTCACCCTGCCTTTGCTCTTCGCCTGAGGGAGGCTGGGCGGATTCAAGCAGACTCTGCACCTCAAACGTCTCTAGCTGAGAGATCTTCTGCGTAAAGAACTTAGTTTTCGGTGAGGTGGCTTGGGGCCATTCTCTCAATGGAACCTGTTCATACCCGTCCTCTCTTTCGCTCCCAGCCAATGGCGACATTGAACCCGTTGCCGAAACTAAAGACAAATGACAAGCAGCGGATATCACCATCGAGTTGCTCCCCCCCAAGACCATGGGACCTTTCATCCTCTTGCTGCATAATATAAAAGGAATGGTGGCGAGAAAGCAGGCAATCAAGAGCACAACAAGGATCGATATTGTTGAGAAGCCAATACCAACGTAGGAATCATCGCTGAAACCAGAAACACGAGGCACAGGATCTGGCTGCACCGGATTGAAGTATTGATAAGATTTTTGTTCGACCAGAAAATAGCCTGTGAGCGATACAATATCAGTACGAATCCGCATATAAGGGGGCCCAGCAGAACGGATAACTCACCGCCCTCGAGAATGAATACATATAGCGTGTTTGATACTAACCAGTGCAGAAGTACACTGATGACAATCAAAGGGATACTGTACCGATATGGGAGCTGGAGTCGGTAGGTTGATATTTGTTGGCCTCGGGGGCGAGTGACACGAATTGGGTGGTATTTTTGGCTAAGTGAATTCCACTCTTTTTCAACACATAGTCTTGTGTACAATGCATTATACACAAAGTACGAAAAAGACAAAAGCAGTTGGGGTGCGTTAGCCAATATAATGGCGGGCAACAGTAATAGCCCTGAGGACCCTTCTGTATTTAGGAGGCCATTGTGTGGGCTATGAGAGAAGGCTTGCTGGCTAGAAAGCTGTTAACCTCGAGATTAAAGCGAAAGAAGGAAGGGGGTGTGCTTACCCGCCCTTGACGGGGTACGTGTTGTTTGCAGTCACAAACATGGCGACCAAGAAGATAATTACGCCTGTGAAAATAAAATAACTCCGCACCCATGCTGAAATTGGTATAGCTGAAAGCCATCGCCGATTTCTTCGGCGCCATTGCTGCGGCTGTGGTGGTGGTTCCTGTTGAGGTTGTATCGGTCTGGATGTCATGCTGCTCGAAGTCCTGTCTGCAACGAAACGATCCAGTGTGCATCTTGCCGCAGTTTTCTCCTCTGGCGCTGTGATGAACGAGACAATAGCATCTCCTGGCACGACCAGAGGATCCTCTGGAGGTGATGTTGCAAGGACCACTATACATAGGCATGTTTTCGTTATAAGGCAGACGACGACGATCAGCAGCACTTTGGTTGAGAGGCCGACTTTGCAAACTGGGTCGATCTCTTGAACTAAACAATATTTCAGGTCAAACTTCAAGGCATTTTGAGACTTAACTATCGGTCTTTTTGATTGCAAGCTGGCCTCAACAAACTCGTCCAGCAAAAAGTTAAAGCTATAATGTGGGTTGATCCTGTCTGCGGGAAGGACGTCGTATCCCCTATCAATTTGTCCGTAAGCACGGCTGCAGTTTTGAAAACATCCTGCAAAGCGATGCGTCCGTGGGTTAAGATCTGCCTCCGTGCTACACATAGAAGAAAACCAAAGAGAATTGCTTTCCGAAGCAGGGACATACGGGTCCCAAAATTGAGCAGCATTGCGAGACGGAGGTTCGAAGATGCCGTCTCGCGTCCAACCCAGACGTTTGTCTCTGCTGAACATGAAACTTGAGTTGTGGGACTCGACAACCATCACCACATCACCGTATTTAGTGCGCGCGGAGCAAAACTGATACTGTGATCGGCACTCGGGAACCTCGATGCGTTTCCAGCCGCGGGATTCTTTAGCCGTAGATGAAATTTTCTCAATCACTTCTGAATCATGGTCTAAGTAATCGGTAAGACTAACTGGTTGACCGTATCCCGTTACACCCGTAGCTGCACCAGCGGGCAAGAGCAATGCGCCTGGCGGGAAGTATTGGGCGCCATTGGCGAAGCCTTCTGACGCGATAGTAAGTTGCCACTTACTCCCTTGATAATCGGTGGTAAAGATGGCACTGTTGAAGAACAGATGGACTGGGATTGAGCTGAGGAAAAAGAGAAACGAGCATATCTTCTTAAAATTGGAGATGAAAAAGAGGTTTCTGATGGATGGAACGCCGACTTCAAGGGAGATGCTCTTCCTGTGGGCAGAATCCACTTCGCTCCGGGATGGAGAGCTCAAAACTTGCATGAAGAAGTTGGACGAGGCGAGTATTCCCGTGGAGAAGACATTGAGAAGTAGATGCAGCCATATGTTAGCTTTCTTGGTGGTGGCACAATTGCCTCTGAAGAGGATGACATTCCCGTTGATGGTGCCAAGTTTCGCGCTGCTCCAGGCCAGAAGAGCGATAGTCAAGAGAGTGAAAATGGATATACCCACCGTGTTGAGCACAGCTGCTTGTCGCCACCCGTTTTGACGATAGCGCCATGCCTTAGACAACAGCTGCTTCATCTGCCGTGTTTAACGCTGCCAGCCAGACAACAGACGTTTCTCAGCGTGTGGCATATATGCCAATCGACTGAAAGAAAAGAAGAGGTAACGAAGCAAAGGAGGGAGGAAAAAAGAAATTCAATTTGAATCCCGCAAATGAAGAGACGGCCGCTCTCTCAACTTGCTCGAACTGCGCCTGTTAGCGCAGCTCAGGACAGGGCCTTGAATCGCTTGATTCAAGGGCTGACAGATTCCAACCAGGTCCCTCAACAAGGTCCAGGCGGCCAACAGCTAAGGATCGACATGTTTGGGCGGCCGAGATATTAGCAGTTTTGGCCGAGCAAGGCTGACTAGGGAGTCATCCCAGCCAATTATGATGGTAAAAAAAGAAAGCTGCATTACGTTCCAGGTTCAAGGCTTCGAAATAATTTAGCCTTCAGAATGGCTGGGGATTGTAGGAGCGGATTTCTTGAAGTTGATGTGTGCCGTGGACCTAGCAGGGCTGTGAACCGTTTAAAGTTTCGCACTGCTTAAGTACTTAGATACGTAGACGCTCTGTACGGAGGACGCGACGATGAAATTAGCTGGGAATATTGATGCGGCTTTGCGCAAATTTTCCTTTGGGTGGTAGGATTAGGATGTAGAATCTGTTGAAGAAAGATGTATGTACAGAACGTCGTGTATGCAGCGTAGTTAGACGAGATAGAAGCAAAATAGCAACCAGCTCGAATCGCTCCCAGTTCTACGCTCTTTCAGCCCGAGGGTTAGAGCATTTAGTACAAGATCATGTAAATCATAGACAAAGAGAACGTAGAACAACGACTTATACTTCGACATTTCACGCAATGGACGTCGAGGGATGGAAGAGTGTTGAGACGATAGCCGGCGAATTCCAGCAATCGATAATGCGAGGGACGACCATTCCTTGTGGGCTTTTCTAGTCCTTTTTATTTTTATTTTTATTTATTTTTTTTTTTTAAACAAACGACACAAACGGGGAGACCATAAATGAGGTGCATGCATCTCAGGACAATCGGCAATGAAAAGAAGTTCGCAGCCTACTCCTCTTCCTCCAAGGAAGCTTTATAAGCGGCCTCATCCATCAATCCTTCCAATTCAGTCTGGTCGGTGACCTTGATCTTGACGAACCAACCGTCAGCCTCAGGAGAGTCGTTGACGATCTTTGGTTTCTCCTCCAACGCAGTGTTGGTCTCAACGACGGTACCAGAGACCGGAGACATGATATCGGAAGCAGACTTTACCGATTCCACTGCGCCAATGGTTTCTCCAGAACTGACTTCGGATTCAACAGCGGGAAGTTCGACGAAGACAACATCTCCTAGGGACTTGGCAGCGTAGTGGGTGATACCAACAGTGGCTAGAGAGGAATGTTAGAGAGGGATGGAGAGGCAGGGACGTCATTAGAGGGCGGATTTAGCCGTACCGGTAGTGTTATCTGCGGACAACTCGACCCATTCATGCTGCTCGGTGTATTTCTTCGCCTGGCCTGATAGTCAATCGAGTCAGCAAAAATCGTTACCAAGGTTGAAGCGCATCTGGCGGTGTTATGCGGCGAACGTTGTGAGAAATGAACCAGAGGGAAAGATAAAGTCATGGGTCAATTATGCTATACGTACAGAAAGCACTCTGTGAAAAGCCCCTCCTGGTATTATAGAATGCATTCCAAGAGGGAGCGGCATAGCGGAGGGGAGAAGAGCACACTCGGACCTTGGGAGCTGCCGCAAAGGCACTCCACAGCGGGTTCACAATTCGAACGGCAGCCGACGACATTCTGATGGCGCAATTGAGATACACTGGGAAATGAATTGATCACAATGGGATTGAATTTTTCTTTTTTGTTTTCACTCTCTGGTGAGTAACAATGTTTTGTTGTGTCGATGCAAGGATGCGACAGCAAAGCTAGTGTGGGTGGGAGAAATGCTGCTTCATTCGGACGAAAAGAGTCTGGAATTTGGTCATTCTCCGACGGAAAACTTTGGAGTCGGCAGTATTTTCAGAGCCTGTGAAAGGCCAATTGTTCCAGAGAACAAACTAGATTACCAGATGAGCTCTAGAGTACCATAATTCTCAGTATTTTAACATCTTGTGTGTTTTTATCCTCTGTGAATTCTGTGAATTGCAATGCTTATCTGCACACATCAAACAGCCGCTCTTATCCTTCTCATGGAGCTGGGGAACATTGGTAATACCAATACCTGACCTGACAAGTTGCCTGTACTCTAAACTGCAACGAGATACACGGGAGAAATTCAAGTACCATATGTCCCAAATAAATTACAATAACGGAATTGATACAAATATCTGAAAATTAAATACAGCGTCTCTCAACCCTCAATCTTCATCTTCTTCACCGTCCAAACCCGCCCTCCGCCACCTAGTCCATCTTCTCACGTTTCAACAATGCTATACGAACTAATTGCAATTGTACGTTCGCAGTCCATACTGCTTCCATCTCCCAGAATCCGAAGATCTCTAACTGTCATCTTCGAAGGTCCGTCCGGGCAGTCTCAATGAAGTAAAAGAGTAAGCTCTCAACTCTCTTTACACGTCTCCCTAAAATCCCGCCCATCCCCCCCGATAAAAAGGAGCTCACCCAACACCTGTCTTTAGAATTGCCCGCACCGCCGGTCTCCAAGTCCTCCGCTCCGGCGGCGTCGTTCGCGGCTTCACAAACTGGGGTGCTTTCCGCCTCCCACACCCCACCACCAAGCATCAAGCACAATACACCACAGGCTACCACTTCATAATGCGCTTCGACAGTTCTGGGCCCGTGCAGCAGGAAGTCCGTCGCACGCTGGGGTTGGATCCCCGGATGATCCGATTTTCCGTGGTCAAGTTGGGTTCGACGCTGGAAGAGATCAAAGATGTGGAGGGTAAAGTGAAGTGGAATGATAGACAGAGACTGCAGGACCAGATCTAGGGGATCCGTGTTCACCCGGTGGACGGGCAAAAGTGTGAAAACTGTCGGTGGTGGGAGATATGGGTCTTTTGCGACTGTCGTTATGATATACACATTTTGGCCGTGGGGGCTCACTGGCGTTTTGAAGAGTCGCATTGCATTCTTTTTTGTGTCTGTTTCTCGATTTCGACGACAAACGGGGTTCTTGTATACCAATTTTATGCTGGGATATGGCGGTCCATAGGTGGACTATGTACTATAGAACTTTTCTTCTTACTCTGGCTCAAAAGCGCCTTGCATTTCAACGGAGTGTTGCATTGATCCCAACGCCGAATCCGGTATCTCCATTTTCTTCCTCGATGCCATGCGATAGCAGGCAAACAAAAATAGTGGTACAGTGTTCCGACTCTATACTCGGAGCATTAAAAAAAGACAATGGAAAAGAAAGACTATACGCAGAGAAGAGAGAATATTTCTCATCAGAAGCGAGGGCCGCCCGAATTTCATCCGTTAGTTGCAAGAATAGAAAGATATGGAACGAAACCACCTGTATATGGCCCAAAAAAGAACAATTGACGCCATTCAAAATGTGATAAGTCCCTGGTATATAATATGGCAAAAGCAAAGTAAAGGAAGACAGTTGAAGAAATGCAAAGTGCTTTAACGGAAAAGAAACAAGTAAGTAAAGGATGGTTAAGTTGTTGTGATCCTAAAAGAGACGCCAACTTTTCGCTCTCTCTTTCGAGAGTGAGCCTCGCTGCTGGGGATTCGGTTTGCTCCTTCCCTCCAGCTGTCTTAAACTCTCAATCTTCTGTAACACTAGCTCAAGCATCTCTTTTTTCTGAATTATATCCAAATGACGACGAATCCGCGGGTCTTCGCGCGCAAATCGCTCAACTTCTGCGTCGGAGAGATGGCGACCGAGCCTCAAGTCCAGTTCACGAGGGAAATGGTAGTAGAATTCGGAAAGAAGCTCCACGTTGAGGAAAAGGACGGCTGTGGCGGTGAGTTTGTCGGCAACAACGTCGAGGAATATTTCCGGACAGTAATATTTGTTCTTCTTAGAAGCGCATTGCTTTGAACGAACAGCCAAGAGCCGCATCTTTATGATATCGGCCCTGTCTCGAAGGAAGGCACCCTCTCGACCTAATATTACGTGAGCTCACATCCCAAAGTCAACTAGGAACGAGGCGAAGATACAAACCTTTTTGTATCAGGGCAGCACTGAATCCGCCTGCTCCCCCAGTACCATCACCTTCAACTTGAACATCGCCTCTTCGCACTTTGTCAACAAAGTTCATGACGTCTTTGAGTTTACGTTTTCCCACCGAGTCTTCAACATGCTTCAATGCCGATTCGCAAGCCTTTAGCTCTTCTTTCAATACCTTACCGACATTCTCTCGGCCTTTTGTCCATTCAAAGTCATCAACTTCGATTTCGTACTTGTATGGTTTGATACAATTCTCAACCTGATCGCTCGTGCTAAAAAATCGGTCATTCAGGATGCTCGTAGTGGCATCTCCAATGGCCTTTTGAGCGTATGGATGTGAAGCAAATGTGGAGCAGGCGATCAAATCATCGACGCGATTCTGCAACGCATTTGCCACAACAGTAGTGGCCAGTCGTCCAATCCCCAATTTTGTCAAGGCTGAGGACGAAGCATCCAACTTTCTGTGCCAATAGAGAGACTCTGGATCGGCTTTCGGTAGGTCTGTAAGGGGATCGGGATCAGGAAGGGGAGGTGATAAGTCATCGATGGGTCGATTCCAATATCTCTGAGCAAGAATATCCATCACACGCTGGTCTAGATGAGCTTTCAGCAATTCTCGCACCTGTGGGCGGCCGAAACTTTCAGTGAATTCTTTAAATGAATGCTTGAAACTGTCCAGGCTTTCCGCAAGGTACGACTCTGCGCTCAGGGGCCGGTCATTGTACTGAACTTTGAATTCATATGTCGCCTCCTCCAGCTCCTGCGACACCGCATCCCGTGTACTGGCCAAATTTGCCGCCATGGTCTGCTCCAAAACACGCATCAATTTCTTTCTCAATGTTGTTGTCCCAACTAAGACCTCAGCGCCAGGTCCAAACTGCTGAGGGTGGTTGCCGAAATACGTATTCTCATTCTTGACAATGGCATTGGTTAAATTACCAGAACCTCTTGAGAATAATCCCGAAGTAGGAGGAATTCGTGAGATTATTCCCACGTATCCCAATCGCAGGGGGTATTTCTTATCTGTGAGTATACTGGCCCCTCTATCGGGATCGACAAGATCCATCTTCGTAACAACTCCGATTGTACGTTCTCCTCGTGGATCAACACGACGACTAGCTCTTAGTGCTGTCGAGTTTGCGAGGTCAACGTCTGCTGCAGAAATTGCGAGAATGATGTTGGGTCCTTGGATATACTTGTCACAAAGATCGGAAATCTTTTGCTTCAGTTCCGCCGGCTGGTCGCGGCCGGCAACTTGAATATAACCAGGTAAGTCGATAAGAGATAAATCGGGCACGTGGGGTGAGTATATTGAAAGCTGAATAGGATCATCTGCGACGCAATCTTTCTCCGGTACCGCCAGGTTTAGCTCTGTCAAAGTACGCTGGATGAGGCTGAAATCAGTGATTTTGCCAAGACCCAGAGCTGGAAACTCTCCATATTCAGCCTGAGAGTTTGGTGTATTGATCAGAGTCAATTCAATAGGTCTCCTCGTCACCATATTCAATCCTTTGGGGAGGAACTCATGTCCAACAATGGCCTCTAAAACCGAACTTTTCCCGGAGGACTGTGAACCAATAACAACGATAGAAGGGAGGGTGAGAGAGTTTGATTGCCCGATGCGTTGAAGCATGTTTCGGATTTCGATCATCTTCCTCGTCAGAGTCATCATTTGCTCGTCCACTGCTCGCCGCCCTTCCGCAACATCGTCGTCTGTCGAATCGTACCCGAGAGCTGAGCCGGTCGTCGCGCCTGCCACCCCAGCGGCACCAATTCTGCTCTTTTTAGGGCCACCACTTCCACCAGCTCCATCGCTACCGGACCCGCCGCCGTTTTTCTCAGCATGCTCCTCCAATCGAAGGATCTTCTGTGCCCACTCGGGCAACTCGATCCCTTCCGTCGTCCTCTCCCATCCTCTCTGGGTCTGTTCTGCTACTCCTTGGATACCCTGAATAGCGCTAGATGCAATTCCTCCAGCCGTTTCGCCAGCAGTTTTAAAAAAGTCAATGACATAATTCCCCGCCTCTGGGATATTGTAAATGCACGGGTTAGCCCCATCGCCATGTATTTCCACATCGCCTTCTGCATGAGAAAAGGGAATAACGTACGAGAAGCCTGATACTGCAAATACGCCAACCCCGCAATCATCGCTCCACCAAACATCGCCGGAACCCGCACTAACTTCATCGCCAACTTTGGAATGATCCTCGCAAACGAGATCGTCCGCACGGCGGGGACATTATGTATCCAATTCTGCCGGATCACCGAGGGGAGGCGTGCACGTAGGTAATATCCATTTCCCTGCGTGCGTAGGAGCCCGCCGGACTGAATACCGCCTGCATGATGGAGACGTCGGGCGGCCAAAGCGCTTCTCCTAGATAACAGCGCGGAGCTGCGGGAGAGTAGTCTCCCACTCATGATTTCTTTCTCATGTGTCTATGGGATATGCAAGCGTGTAGCAGTGATACGCGTCAACTGGGCCCCGTGTATCGTTTGAAGCATGCCGGCTTCTGGCTCGAGAAACCGCGTTCGACGCTTTTGGGTGGTGCCAAAAATGCCGAGACATCTGGAGTATCTGACTAATCAAGTATTATTTAAACTAACCATAAACCTTACCCTGCTGGAGAGACGTTCACGTGACACGGGTTGCATCACGACATTCGAAGCTCCGATTTGCACCACGCAGAGGAGTCACCAATAAATGCGAAGGGCCGGGGACGGAGGACAAGAGGTTTGAAAAAGAGATTAAACCATCTGGTTATTCTTGTCTCTTCTCTCTATAAGATCCCTCGATTCTCTTCCAAATCTACTTTTCTGCGAGCCAGAAAGCCTGCTGAATATTGTGCATTAGGAGCTTTACCTGTGTGTTGGCAATCGAGAAGGTGACAGCTCAGCTAAAACTAATGATATAGGCAACCTTATCTCGAGTTAATGCAGACAAAATTGTTTTCCCAATCTCATTATTCATTGATTGCTTGTCCTTTTCTTGTAGTTGTCTCCAGGTGAAACAACAGCGCAGATTGCGAGTAGCGTAATCCTTTTTTCCTACCCAGTGTGATTCACCACCTTGACCGGCCGCTAGTCTGTTTACTTTCGAAGATTTGACAGGTCATTATTACCCGCCATGTGTCGTTTTCTCGTATGTACTGAGATTTGATATTTATCGAAAGGCACCCTGATCCGAGTCGCTAACAAAATCACAGGTCTACAAGGGCAGGAATGACATCCTCTTGAGCAAGCTCATCACCGAACCCTCTCACTCCATCCTTACACAGTCCTATGATTCTCGGCTCAGACTTGTGAGTCACCTCATTCCCGGCGTGGATTCTGCGGACAGCGCTTTCTGACACTCGCGTCTTGTTTTCAGGACACCCGCCGCCCGGTGAACGGCGATGGTTTCGGAGTAGGGTTTTACACAGATCCAAAACTCGGCCGCGACCCTTGCATATTCACCTCGACATTACCCGCCTGGAATTGCGAGAACCTCGAACGTATAGCCTCGAAAACATGCTCATCCCTGGTCTTTGCGCATGTAAGGGCTACCACTGAAGGAGCCCTTGCAGATAATAATTGCCACCCGTTCCAACACAACACGCTGATGTGGATGCACAATGGAAATTTGGGAGGGTGGAAATATATCAAGCGCACTCTGGCCGATTCACTCGCCGATAAATGGTATCTTGGCGTAAAAGGGGGCACAGACAGCGAATGGGCCTTCGCCTTGTTCTTGGATCTAATGGAGCGCGAAGGAGTCAACCCAAGCGACGCACCGGAAGGCGGCTTCGGGCACGTGCTTTTACGCAAAGTCATGAATAGGACAATAAGCAGAATCAACGAGATGGTGGCGAACATCCCAAAAGATTGCCCGATGACCGACGTCGAGACCAGAAGCCTCCTCAACTTTGCCGTCACAGATGGCCACACCGTAGTCTGCACGCGATATGTGAGCAGCAAGACTGATGAGGCTGCAAGCTTGTACTTCTCGTCCGGGACAAAGTGGAAGGAAGGGAAAACGAAAGGACACTTCAAGATGGAAAGGCACGATAAAGGGGCCGATATTGTCCTAGTTGCGAGCGAACCCCTAACATTCGAGAGACGTAAGATATCCCAGCTCCCCCTATTTTACCCGATAAATTCGCTGGTCAGAGAAGACGTGCTTTTGCTAACTATGTCATTACAGATAACTGGGTGACGGTACCAACAAATTCTATGCTTACCATCCACAAACAAACAGTTCTTATCCATCCCATCATAGATGAGTTTTACGATGAGGATCCAAATCACGATCGCTCTGCCGGCTTCGCAGTCTCCAAGGGCTTGGTTAGCAAAGCACCAGGCACGACTGTTGCCCTGGGAGAAACGGGGACTCCGAACACATCTGAGTCAACGACCCCCATTGAAGAGCTCATCGATCGACGGCAAACAGATGAGGTGCGCAGGCTTCACTTGCTAAATCGAAAGATGGCACAGGCCAGTCTTTAATGCGATCGCGTTCAAATACTGATTGATTGCTGGAAATTCCTGCTATTGGCTGCTGGCGTCTCTTTGAGCCGGCCCCCAAAAATTGTTGATTTTTACAAATGGTTATACCACGGAGCGGGCGTCCTTTAGATATAGATTGGTGTCTCGGGCGTCTTAAGAATCTATTATAGCATGTTAGCAAGTTTTTTTTTTGGGTATCACACAAAGATATTTATTTCAATCTTGCTCGCCTTTTTTTTAATTTCCCACAGCTCCCGCGAGATCACCATATCGAGCGAGAAATCCAAATTTCAACCGGATAGGATCTGTCGTAATAACATCCAAAACGTAATCTGCGCAAACCAACTGAGGGCCATTCATATATCCTCTCCCGAAATATTGGCATGCCGAAAATACTTCATTCCCATCCACGCCACCACCACCCAAACCCACGCCATCACCGCCGTCAGTATAATCAGCGCTGGATAGTATCCCACAATTGGCAGCGTTGGATCATCCTCTAGCTCCGGCGGCGCATAGGGTGTCTCTCCAACATCCCATGCCCAGCTCCATACCCCCAGACAGCTGCCCATGCCCACGACAAACACCACCCACGTCACGACCAGTATGATCCAGCCCCACCATTCGGTCTCGGAGTAGTCCCATCCTTCGGGAGAGGAGGCCATTTCGGCGGGGTTTGTTGCGAGCGGGGACCGAACGCGCTGGGAGGGAGCGCGAGGGCGTGATTTCGCGATGGTTCCGGCGTCGTTGGAGCCGAGGGGTGGGAAGTAAGAGTCTGAGCTGCATGAGAGGGTGGGAATTGATAGCGGGATGCGGCGCGGGGGCAGGGAGGATAAGGCGGAGATGCTGCTGGTGCTTGTTTGACTGGAGAGGCGCGAGAGGGAGTTGGTGAGGGGCGGGAAGGAGATCAGGTCGTCCTCGTCGGTGGGGACATCGTCGCGCAGGGAGCTCATTGTGCTGTGGGCTTCCGAGGCCGAATGTGAGGTGACTTGCTGTACGGGTTTCTTCATCTGCTGTTGCTGCTGTGGCTGCTCCCGCCCTTGGGACGGATGGTGATTCCAGGCCGGCTGGGGAGATGGGCGGACGGGAGGCGTAGGTGGTCGTGGAGGAGCTCGTTGATCGAATGGCCGCGAAGCCATCGTTGCACCTTCATCGTGTCCGACAGGTAGAGAGAGATCAGGAAAGCGCGTTAGACCATCGCGGCTTGTCTGCTCCGCGCCCGTGTCCTTGTTTCGGTCGATGTCTTTGTTGGGAGAGACATCGCGAGAGACCTCCGCAGCCCGGCTGGGCGGGCCCTTCTGGGCCATTCTCAGGACTCCCGTCCCCAACAGCGCTGTCTTTCTCAGGGAGCCTTTTCTCCTCCTCGTCCTTATCTGCTGCTGCAATGCAGTGGCCATAGCCCTCCCTCCCCCTCCCCCCGCTCGCGCCTCCAATATCTCTCGGCCCAAAAATGGCCCAGCATCCTCGCCCTGCGTCTGGGCCGCGTTTTCACTGCCGCGTTCGGCAACATTACCGCTCGACTGGTTCATACGTGCAAAGGTAAATTTGGAAAATAATGACGACGAAAAGCTTCGTTTGTGCAGCACGCTGGAGGCGCTGCCGGACCTAGACCTTCGACCGGCTTCATTGTTCCCGCTGCGGTGTGGAACTGGCGCTCCTGGTTGCGCGCCTCCATTTTCCATGGAAACCGGCGGGGGAACCAAGGGGCGGAACTTAGACTCAAAGGCACGGAAAGGACCTTGGGCCAAACTTTTTTGTGTCGTATATTCAGCGCACAGGAATCAAGCCGCAGATTGATATATTTTCGTATGATAGTGTCGACAAGCAATTGGTTTTTAGATATTGGGCCGGACCGGCGTTGAGCGTACACTTCTGGGCTAGCCTCCTTTCCGTCCAATCACCTCAAAAGCCCTCCTTTTTTTTTTTTTTTTGTTTTTTCCAAAGCTCCTTAAAACAATCCCGTTCCTTGAAGATCACGACCGAGTACTATATAGATCTTGCGATATCTGTAATCTAAATCTTTACTCTATACTCCGTACTCGGCAAATATCTCAGAATTAACGAGACGAGATACCGCTTCTAGCGCATATTAGAAATATTTCATTGACTACCTTCCTGGCCAAACTGAGCCCAGCCGCCAAAGTAAATGACCATGCCCTTGGTTTTCTACTCTTCTATTTCTGGGTTTCACAAAGAGTTCAGATCTGAATACCTTGATATTCACTATCCTCAAGCCTTGTAAGCTAATAACTAACTACCATTCAAGTTTTAACTGAAATTTTTTTTTTTTTTTTTTTTTTTTTTTTTTTTTTTTACCCTTTTTTTCCTTTTCCTTTTTGCTTTGTTCTCAATATCAACAAGCCATTTTTACCAATGCCACGATGCCTCGATCAATGTAGAAGGTTGACAGGGAGCTTTAAACGATGCCTTAGATCCAGGTTCCAGGCGTTCAGAGTCTTTGCCACAATAGTTAATCCCTGAAGGGTCAAGCTTACACCGTAGCACCCCACACTCGCATCCTTGGATCCCTCCATGCTGTTTACTTCGCCTGAGTCCACTCCACGTACCGCGGTGTGCCGTTCTTCGCAGATGCCAGCAACACATCAAACTCTGCCTTCGTAGCATTCTCTCGAAGCCGCAGAGGCCACTTGGGCGCTATGGTATTAACCCCCTTGATCCCCATCTCGAAAGCCTCGCTCAACTTCGAGAACTCCATAACCTGCATGTATCGATGAAACTGCCCTTCTGGATTCCGCAGAAGCGCTAGACCCTCTACGATCTTGAACTTGTCCGGATCGTACGGAGATGGGGAGAGCTTCAGCTCTGAGATTCCTGGAATATATCGCTCCAAATTTGCCTTCTTGACAAGACTGTTCTTGGTCACGTTGTTAGGCTTTGGCTTGCCGTCGACCGCGTTCATGAATAGAGTCAACATGGTTGCATGCGGATTCTTAGATTTCTCTTTGAGCATGACACCAAACGCACCGATGCAGTGTCCGATCCCATAGTATTCTTTGTCGGCGAGGTTGGAAAGCTGATATGGTTAGGATTAAGGACGACAAAACTTTTTTTTCAGTCGGGGAAACACATTACCTCAATCCTATCAAATATTGGCCCTCCAGCCATGGCCGGAAGGTATGCCGCTCTGACTTGGAAGAGATCGATATGACACTCCATAGCCGAAACGCGACGACAAAATTTGAAAATGATATCCCTCAGATAAAAGAAAAGAGCGCCATAGAGGTCATTTTTCGCCAGGGGAGTCTTTACCAAGATGTCCTCAAGACACCAGCCCTCCAGAGGGTCGGCAACATCTGGCAGAAGCCAGCCTTTGCTCTCGAAGAACAGCGTCCTGTCAAGCTGTTAGCCCATGACTTCTTCATTCTTAGTTAAAGAAAACAAAATTAAAAATTAAAAAAAGAAAATGGGGGCTCCTCACGGATTTGGAGTATTAAACTTTGCACGACATGAGCCAAAGGGCAGCACAATACCATCCTCGCGGAACTTCAACTTCGAGACGCGCCAGAACGGTGGGTTGGAGTAGTATACACGCTGAGCGGAATCCAATTTGTGGATAGCCATTGTTGTATCCTGACGAATGCCCATAGCTTTCTCCACCGACATATTGTCCGGGACCTTGAAAAACTGACGCAGCCGAAACCATTTGCCCTTCTGCAAGACTAGACGCAGCGAACATTGGCCGCGCCTCCAAATCATTGAGAATTCATTGTTTGGACGCTTACGTATTTTTCTGCACACATGGTCAACGAGTGGCAGCAGCTTTTCCTGTACCGCTTCCAAGATCTCCGCCGGGATGAAAGCAGAATACCACAAATGGAGCATGATCGGCGTCGCTTCTTCAGGTGGAAGATTGAAAGCCGTGAGAAGCAGGATTGCATTTCTGGCCACAACGTCGAAGTTGGAATCGTTCACAACGAACGTCAATGTCCCGGTATAAGTATTAGGAACGTCAACGATAGTCTTTACGACGTTGCGTATGTCGCCCGATGCTTCCGCACATCAGTCAAGATTCAGTATAATTTACGAATAGAAGGGATGTCCTTACCAGCGGAAAGCACGCTAAGATCTTGAGATGCATGGCTCCCCTCGTTCCTCTCCAAGTTCAGCAAATCCAATGCCGGCATATCCCCGAGAAGATTTTCCTTCCTATCTGGGCGGCCAAAGTAATTTTGACTGGCAGAGCCTGCACCAGAAGACACGCCGGGTTCATCAAAAGCTGGGGGACGCCTCTCAACCGCCCATGCTGGCCTCCATGTCGCTTTTCCTAGAGGAGACTTGCAGAAAAGTTTGTGTTGTGCCCAGTGAGCAGCTTGACAGTCCTTGCTGCAATACTGGAGGAGCACAAGATCAGCATCGTATCTTGAGGGGAGGGCAAAAGATTCTATTGAGGACTGACCTGAACCAAATGGCATCCACCACATCCTTTGTCGGCATTTTCCTGACACGAAAATTGAGTGCCATCATCCAAAAGCTTAGTATTGGCACAGAGCCCGGGGTGAAGGAAGTCCTTCACAGGCATGTTGGAGGTGTTCTCCCTTTTACCAGGAAGTCTTGATCTTCTAGGCCAAAGAATTGCCTAATAAAGGAGCGAAAGAAGATGAAGATCAAGGGGAAGGAGAAGGAGGAGGAGAAGAAGAAGAAAAAAAGAGGAACTGAAGGAGCTGAACAACACCTAAATAATCAGCCCTCATGCGTGCAATATTGTGACAATATCGCATCGTTTACAAGATGGTACAAACAGCTAAAATGCCCGGCGGATACTCTTGTCTGTTCTCCTAACAGGTATGGCTCATTATTTCGGGTATTCGGATCAGTAGCACAAGGCCCTCCTTTTCCCTTTATCGACATTGTTATCTATCATCTCCCTGTCTAGAGAAAGTAAATCTTACTCGACATGGATTCAAACGGAATCAAATAGGTATTCTTATAGGAAAGCAATACATTCTAGATATATACCTAGAACAAACGCCCATCCAAAAGACACAGCGTTTTCACTACCACTTCAATATCAATTATTGAGTGACAGGTCTGAGAGCGAGAGGGAGAAAGATCCGCAAGGCTGCACACTTTGACAGCAGCAAGTGCACAATCCATTGGAGAGCCGCTCGGATTGAAAGGCAAGCATGTTATAATATGGGGTGATCCCAGCCAGTATAAGCTTCACACAGCCGGTTATACAGAGTTTGGCCAAAAAAAAAAAAAAAAAAAAAAAATCAGACAGGAACACAGATAGACTGGAGGAGACCAGAACGGCTGGCTTGACGTGTAAGGATACATTTTCGTCCACGTAGTTATCTAATGCCTTGTGTGACTCAGGGAGTTTCACGAATCAATGGATGCTTGCGAACAGGCCAGAGAAAAAGAAAAGGTATATCACATCTTGCACCTTCAAAAGTGAAAAAGCAGCAATTTTTGCAAAGCCTGTGGCGGAATATCGCAGACTGAGCCAGAGGCATACTTCGTACAGATGAAGGAACTGATCAGGAGAAAAAAAAAATAATTAAAAAAAAAAAAAAGGTAGGACCATACGCTACACTGCCAATCGGCTAGGAGAAAAATTGGAAAGCACAACTCCAACAATAACGGATATTCAAAGTCGAGAGAGTCACCTCCAGTAGAAAAAGGATTTCATCATCACTCGGAAATCATAAGATACTTTTCGCTTTTCAATCAATCCTAAGGCGCTCATGGGGAAATAACAAAAGAGCCAGAGAGGAAGAAATTATAGCACCAAATTCCCAGTGAGAAAAACGCATAGCATCTTAGAACTGCAAGTCATAATAAGGAGATTTCGAGAACAATCTTGAATGATGACATCGAATAAATCCAAGGGGTATTGTTCGTTTAATTAGACAGGAAGAGAATTTCATTCGAAAACGGCCAATACTAAACGGAACATAGAAAGCAGAATGAAAACTCTCGCAAGAGCCCACTTGGATCGAGCAATTTGGAAAAAATACTTAGGGAAATCTCGATGACGAACCATCAAAAGAAAAATTTCAAAGACACACTCGTTGAATAATAGTAGGAACCAAAAAGCAAAGAAAGGGGCAAAAAGGAAAAGGAGGAAAATACCAGTAATACGGGTTCTTCATGATAAAACGGATTATAGATGACAACCCAGGACAGGGAGTGATTGAAGATGGCATTACTAGTGGTTATCGTTAGGTGCGAGATTTCGAGCGTGATTAAGCTTGATAGCCTCCAAAGCCGTTGCCGAAGTTGCCAGCATTGGGCTGAGCCCATCCCGATCCGGGATTGTTCTGGCCACGGCCGTACCCAGCAGCACCTCCGGGAACTTGGCCATAGCCCTGGCCGGGCATTCCAGGGCCAAAGTTGGCGCCAGACTGATCCCAGCCACGGCCGGCAGGATTAGGACCTGTGGGAGAGAGGGTTAGTAGAAGGGTTGCCAACTATGGTGTTAGCTCCAGCGTATTTGGCTACCGACCTTGAGGGGTCATAGGCCCACCAGGACCACCATATTGGGGGAAGTATGGGGAGGTACCGGAATTAAAGCCTGGGTTAGCACCTTGCTGAGGAGAATAGTCAAATTGGCCAGTTGGAGGGCGGTCTTTGCCCCACTGCAAAAGAAACTAAATTAGCACCAAGGTGGCTCCCAACGTCAAGGTTCAAAGGAAAGCTTACACTGCACTTCAGCGGTCGCCCATTGACGTTGTAGCCGTTGAGCTGGCAGATAGCCATGGCAGCATTCTCATGAGTATCCATCTTGACAAATGCAAATCCCCGATCGGCCTGGAATCGAGTTTCGACGACGTAGCCAAAGTTCTGGAACAACGGAACAAGGTCGTTCTGAGTGGTGTAAGGGGTCAGATTTCCGACGTAGCACGTAGTCTGCCACTGAGGGGTTTGCTGGACGACCATGTCATAGCTCTGGACACCATGTGTAGGGAAATGATGATGGCCGAAAGGAGTGGTCGGCGTCATGCCCATTGCGGCCATGGCCTGCTGCTGGGAAATCGAAGGCTGACCCTTCTGGTTGGCCCAGTTGCAGCGAATCGCACGAGAACCCAACCATTCACCATCCATGGAGCTCAAGGCCTTTTCAGCATCAGCACGTTCGCGAAAAGCGACAAAACCGTAACCACGGGAGCGACCGGTCTTCATATCCCACATAACACGGGCCTCGGAGACAGAGCCAAAGGCAGAGAAGGCCTGAAGCAGAACTTCGTCGTTCACTTCATTACTCAGATCGCCAACAAATATGTGGAAGTGGTTGGAGGTGTCCTCCTTGTTCGCGTTGTTCGACTGATAAGCCCAGTTGACACGGATTTCCTGTCATGATGATAGACTTGGTTAGAAGGGAGAAGGGAGAAAGAGCAAAAGGCAGTTTTGAAGAGACGCGGGGGAGTTTTTGATGTGGATCACATACAGACTGGTGGACGCGACGGCCGTTGAGAGTCTGCATTGCGCGTTCTGCGGCACCTGGATCGTCGTACTCAACAAAGCCGTAGTTCAATCCCTTGCTCTGGAACTAGGTTGCATCAATCAGTAACTGCGCTTTGTGGGAGGTAGTGGTATTGTGTATCAGATGTTGTAAAGAGTTGTTGATGACTGTGTCAGAGAGAGAGAGAGAGAGAGAGAGAGTTTGTGTGTGTGTGGTGTGTGGAGGGGCAGCCATGGGAGTCATCTTCAACCTTGCTCCAAACAAAGAACCCGAACTGGGTAAGCGTGAAGCCACTTACATTCTTGTCGGGGATAATCTTCACACTCTGGACGTGGCCAGTTGTTTCAAAAATCTGTCGCAGGATATCCTCGGTCACACGTGGGTCGAGACCACCAACATACAAGGCACGCTTGTTTGGCTCGGGAGCGGCTCGACGCACGTAGCCACCAGCGCTGGTCGGTGACATCATGTTGCCAGACATGGGAGAGGTGATGGCAGTAGGGATTGGGTTGGTGTTTTGGGGGATCACGACGGGCGGCAGCGGCGGAGGTGGCATGTGTGAAGGGTTTCCCTGGCCGTTCCCCTGAGCCTTGTCGAACTGCTGCTGGCCGGGAGCGCCTGCAGGTGCCTGTGGAGGAGGAGGGAGGGACGAAGAGGTGGCTGGTGGGGCGTTGTCGGCCATTGTGTTTGGTAGAACGCAGAGAAACAAGCAGACCGAACAGAGAAGGTCACGTCAGGAGAGATTACTCGACTGTGTGAGAGCAAACACCAGGGATGAGTATCTCTTCTTGCTCTTTTCTTTCTTTTTCTTTTTTTTTTTTTTTTTTTTGTTTTTGGGGGGTGTGTGTGTGTGTGTGTGTGTGTTTCCGCTTCTGGATTTGACCGGGGGATTGCTGTCGAAGAGATGGCAGAAGTAGGCAAAAGTGTAACTACTGGTGAAACAAGATCCGTCACTATCGCTGGTCGATGGTCGCTCAATGGGAGCGGGAGGAAGATGTACGCACGGACAGCCGGTTCCAAACCGGTCTAAAAAGGACTAAAGATGCTGGGAGACGGCGAAGCTGGGGTCGATTATTGGTGCGTTGATGGACTTTTGTGTTGACCTCTTCTTGTTTTTTAAGCTAGCCAAACCGACGGAAACTCGATCGGATGCCGACAACGCTACAGCTAAAACCACGAAGACTTTTTTTCCTCTTTTTTGAGGGGAAAGGGGGGAGAAAGACGTTAAACTGTAATCGTAGACGTCTAACGGAGAAAGGTCGCTAATGAAGAGAGGAGGCGAGTGGAAAGAAGTAAGTAGAGCAATCACGAGGAATGCCAGACGCCTAGATCCGCGATGCAGAGATAGAGACGAGGGGCGGAGGAGTCGAACGAAGCTTCGAAACAGAAAGTCGCACAACGGGGAGAAATTGGAGGTTATCGCACGGGATAGGAAGAAAATTGCCAACACCAACAACGGAAGAAGCTGGGAGAAAAATTTATCGTGAAGGAAGAGGGAAAAGAGATAAGTGGAAGAGGGCGGAAGAGAGGGAGGGAAAAAAAAAAAAAAAAACTAAATAAAAAAAAGGAAAGAAAAAAAAAAAAAAAAAGGAAGAAGAGGGAAGAAAAAAAAAAGAAACAATGGAGGAGAGAAGCTAACAAGCCACGAAAACAAGACTTGCTATGATGAATAGGAAAGGTGGGACGAAAGCACGACACACAGAATATATATAACAGATTGGTACAGAGAGGAAAAAAAAGAGAGAGAGAGAGAGGGAGAGAGAAAAGAGAGCCACACAACCGACAAAGAGGAAAATAAAATGCACGTTGGGATCTCTTGACTGGGATGGAGGAGAGAGGAGGAAGAGAGAGAGAGAGAGAGCAGGAGAGGAGGAGAAGAGAAGCAGAAATGAAGAGGCGGCGGTTTGGCGGTGGTTTGTTGGTGGTTCACGCTGGTGGTGGTGGGAGGAGAAACGGCAAGCAACAGCACACCTGCCCTAGCAGAAAAAGCAGCGAGTCACAAAGAAGCTTGTGGGACCATGCCCGGACAGGAAAGGGCGGGCTTGGCGACTGGGTGGCCGGTACGAGCTGATGATTGGCCGCGGAGCTGGGATCCTAGCCGCTCCGGGTCTAGCGGCGTCGTTTCTGGGGGGCGGAAAGGGGGATTAGTCATTGGTGCCATGGGCTCAGCGAGCTTGCCGGTATTCTTGGCGCGCCATTCCGCTTTTGGGGCTCTTCGTTCTGGACCGCCCTTTCCCTTTCTCGTCGGCCGCCACCGCCGCCTGCTGTTTTCTGTTGTTTACTGCTGTTTTTTCGCTGCTCTTGCCGTTTGTTTCTTTTTCTTCTTTTTTCCTTTTTTTTTTTTTTGGATATTGCCCTATCTGTTAAGGAAAGATCAGTCGGATCCCCGGCGAGTCTCGCATCGCTCCTTCCTCTTGCTACTTACCCACGCCCGCTTTCTGCCAGATCAGGCAGTCAATGCTCATCATTCCCCAGTCCTGGTCTCGGTCTTTTGTCCTTTAAGCGACATTCTGAACGCTTAAAATTAATCCCCCCCCCGACGCCGCCGCTCTCGCTCTCGCTCTCTATCTCGCCAGATCTGCCCAGTTCCGCCCAGCGCTACTTGCACACTTCCTATGCAGCCATGGCCACGCCCATGCAACCATGCGATGAATCCCTGGAAACGTTGACCGCCATGGTCAACCAGACGGTCTGTCCTCGACCTCGCCCTTGCCGCTTTTCTGCCTTTTGGCGTTCAAATCAGACGCTGACACGCGACTCAAACCAGCTTATCGAGACCGGTCGATTCTTTCGAACCTGCGGGTCGCTTCAGTCCCGAGCCCAGCTGAAGAGGAATTTCCCCGCCGTCCACGAACAGTATCAATCCGCACTCGACGACCTGTCCGAACAGATCGTACGTCAACAGCTTCCACCTTCCCCCCCCCCAAAAAGAAGAAAAATAAAAATAAGGAAAAAGGAAAAAGGAAAAAGGAAAAAGGAAAAAAAAAAAAGAAATAAAGAAAGAAAAGAGAAACACAAAGAAAAGGACGATTTTGTGCTGTATTTACTGACTGGCTGCAGTTCATCGCAAAGGCGTTTCTCGAAAAGGACTATGAAGCTATCGTGTTGAGAAAGTCAACGTTACGGGCTTCCAAGCCTCTGGCCACTCCTCAGGAAGAGAAGACAAAGGATGTGCAGATGGAGGACACCGATGAGCAACGCCGAGCTGATGTCACCATGAAAGTTGAGTCGAAATCTCCGGCGCAACCCACCGTTCCAACCACGCAGCCTCTCTCAACAAGCACGCCCCCCGCACCGCCCGATTCGGCTCCAGATCAGAATCTCCTGCCTACCGCTCCTCCTACCACCGCGGACACGGCGCTTGCCCTACCGGCAACGGCTCCGGCGCTCCAGCCACCTTCCGTCGAGGAAAAGAACCCTGCCGGTGCCCCACCGGAAGCAGATCCTGAAAGCACCCCCGCGAACATCAGCCATATAGACCTAACGGAGGAGATGGGTGCACCGGAAGGCCCACTTCCGCTGGCTGAGAGCGAGCTCGACCTTGGGGGAACATTGGGGTCTCTCCTTCCCGGGCTGGAGAGCTATGCAAATGCCGGCACCGACGAGGCCATCATAGGACTGCCAGGCCCCGAAAGCGGCACTGCTGAGGAGGCCAATCCTCCAAAGGATGCATCCAATGGCACATCTAATCCGGCAAACCCATCCACCACGCAGACTCAGGAGGCGGGACGGACCGACATACCTATGGACGACGTGGCTTCGGCGTTTGACGATGCATTCATCGGGGCAGCAGATTTTGTGGGCGGAGGGGATGACCTGCTGCTCCACGGTGCTGATATCGGGGAGTTGGACGACTCATGGTTTGCGTGAAACGACCTCAGCCGGGTTTAAGCTACCCCATTTTTTTTTTTTTGCTTTTAGCGATAATCACTGTGTATGACTTCGATACCCCATATGAATTTGATGTAGAAGCGAAAAATTGCCACTATAGATATCTACAAAACATCCCTCGACACACTTTCCTCTCCGTGATTACGTCGTCGCATCTTGCTTGAGATAACAGACGGGGACATCCCGCTGGCCGGCTGGCGCGGCCGGAGAAATGTCGGCGGTCGTGCCGCAGAGAGGGGGGGCAATATCAAGCTGCTTCGTGTCGGTCTGCAGCATCGCAGACCAGCTGCAGCAGACCCCTGGGAGGTCCCTGCAACCCTCAAACTAAGACCTGATCCCGGGCCTTAGAGGGTCTCGCGACCCCAAGCCTCAAAGCACTTCCGTCTCCATATCGTGATGCATAATGCTCCGTACATTTACATTGATATTTTATCCCACCAAAGAAAAGCATTTCCGTCCTCCGGAAGTTATATCCTCCTCCTCGGAAGTCTACCGGGGTGGTCTTTCTTCCTTTTTTTCTCTTTTTTTTTTTTCCCCTTTCCCTCTGGAAGTTGGTTTTTGAAAGAATAATGTAGTTTATGTATTTATATCCGAGGAACGTCCATCAAAATTTTCACTCTTTTTTTCCCCTTCAACCCCGTGATTTAACTAACTTTTTCGTTTTTTGTTCTTTTCTCCTTTTTGTTTTTTTTCTTTCAGTCCCGGAGCTGGGAAAAAGAAAAAAGGTCGGGGGAAGTGCCCTCGTGTCCGCCACGTTAGAGCCAATGACCGGAGTTTCGACGGGTTTGAGTTCGAGCGGCGTTCCGCGGGACTGGCCGAGTTGATGCAGGGAGAGGATGGCCAGATGGGGCTGGGGACGGGGGATGGGAGTTGGATTAATTTATTTGAAAATAATAATAATAATAATAATAATCAATAAAAATTCAAAAAATAAAAAGAAGAGACAAGATATTAAAATCTGACTTCTCAAGCTACGGCGGGAGATAGTTATACGGAGTACATCTTTTTTTTTTAATTATTTACTTAATTTTATATTTCTTTCTCTCTTTTTTTTTTTTTTTCTTTTTTCCAGCAATTCTTTCTGTCAAAAAAAAACTTCCCGTCGATCACTCGTTGCTGTATTGATCTCGGCCAGATCCGACTTCGATCTTCAACCTTCTCCTGTTTGACGCCGGATTGACATCTTGGCAGACGGACTGGGGCGGACAGCGAGGATCATCTTTCGCGTCGCGCTCCGCTTTTTAGTCATTGCGGGGAGCTATTTAGTTCTGAAGGCTTGAAGAGGTCTTGGAAGCGGGAAAAAAAGAAAAAAAAGAAAGAAAAAAGAGAATTGACATCATTTTGCCGAGCATTGGTTTTTTTAGGTTGAACGTTGGGAGGGAATTTTCTGGAGTGAGTTCCAGATCGTCAGGTCCTCCGAGGTTATCATCATCAGTTGCAAGCTACTACTGTACAACTTCCTCAATTCTCTGGCCGCGAACAAGCACAAGCTTCGAGTTTGCCGGAAGGGGGAAAAAAAAAGAAAAAAAGAACACGCTTCTTTTTGGAATTACGTCAAGGGGGCCCTTCGAGGCGAAAAAAGCCCAAAAGCTCGGGGCGGCCGTTTTTAGCTTTTGTGCTTGTTCTCGATCTTAGGAATCCTTTTTTTCTTTTCCTACATCCGGAGTATATTACTCTGCCCTTCTCCCCTATGTAATCGCTCGTCGCCGAGAAAAACTCAAAAGCAGGAGAATCCGTGGGCCAGACTCCTAAAAAAGGACTTTCTAACCTCTTCCCCCGAGGTTCTTTTCTGCACCTCCGACGACCAGGTGGCGCATCTTGACGTGGAGCTTATTCTACCTCGTCCTGCGGTTCTCTTCTCTTCTCTGACGCCGACCCATCTTCAACCAACTTCTCTCTTCCCTCACTCGCTTCCTCGGGAGTTCTGCCTCGATTCAGATCCCCTTTTTTGATCGTAGAGCTCCGGGAATTGATGGTGCTTTTCATCGTCCATCGACGGAGTTACATGCCATCCAGTCCGCCGCACGTCATACTTTAAGGTGGACTCTGCTCCAGTTTAGCCACCTGCACCTTTGTATCTGCGGCCCTTTTATACTCTTTTTTTTCCCTCCTTTTTCTTTTCCTTTTTTTTTTTTTTTCTTTTTTTTTTACCCCCGGTATCTCTCTCCACAACTTCTCCCCATATCTTAAAGAATTCTGGCGACAAGCTTTGCTAAAGTGGCGTTGCAACGGGAAAACGCGAAACGACATCTCCTCCACGTTCCCCACCCGGAGCACCCTCTTTCCTCGTTCCAAAGGCATCGCCGACCCCCGAGACCAGGGTGCTTCGTACTTGACGAGCCGCCAAGCGAACCTGCGCCCCGGGATGAGGAGATGTGGCTCGACTTAGAACACCAGACCCGTGCCGACGTCCTGCGTGACCGGCTCCAGAACGACGACTCCGCCCGGTCCTCCATCAGCTCCGATGCCCCCTCCGTGCTGCCGCCGCTGGCGAACGAGAAGCTCGTAGCCTCCGGAAATGGCATCTCGGTTTCGATCGCCCAGACGGAGCCGGTCATCTTCATGGAAGGATTCGATGCGCGGGAGGCATCGAAGACGTCGATGCTGAGGGGCCATCTGCATTTGAAGATCTCGAAGTCCACCAAGATCAAAAAGATATACCTCACGTTCAAGGGTGCGGTGCATTCGGCGTGGCCAGAAGGTGAGAGACACCTGGAGTTGGGGAAGAGCGCGCCTCTTTTTTGCGTTTTTGAAGGTGATATACTGACTACTGCTTCTTCTTCTTCTTCCTAGGCGTACCGGGTAAAAGGGCTCAGTACAATGACGATCACAGCCTAATGACGCATACGTGGCCGTTCTTCAATGCTCAGTTTGGCAGCGCGGAGAACGGCTACGGCGCAGATTTTGTTCAATTGACTCGTCCGCAGGGAGGCAAGGAGGGATTAGGCATCTCGACAATCGAAGTCTTTAACAAGGCACACTCGGCTTCAAGCATGGAACGAGTAGGTATGAAGGAGCTCAGAAGCCTATCTCTCAAGCACACGCCATCTCGAAGCTTCGTAAAGGGTGAAGCGTACTACAACGGGCAATCGGTAGCCCAGAAGGGATACAAAACCTTCCGTCCTGGAGACTATATCTACAATTTCGAGCTGCCGATCGATTCGAAACTCCCCGAGACTATCAAGACCGATTGCGCTTCGGTCAAGTACTGGTTGGACGTGAGCGTGGAGCGTGCTGGTGTATTCCGGCCAAACCTGCTCGGTGTGAAGGAGGTACTTTTCGTTCGCACGCCGTCTCAGGGCTCATTGGAGCAAGTCGAGCCAATTGCGATTTCTCGTACGTGGGAGGATCAGCTGCACTACGACATCGTCATATCCGGAAAATCTTTCCCATTAGGAGCCAAGATCCCAATCGCATTCAAGCTCACCCCTCTAGCAAAAGTAGCCTGCCATCGAATAAAAGTGTATGTGACCGAGACGATCCAGCAATGGACGTCGGGCAAGACCGCGCATCGCCTTGATAGCAGTAAGCAACTCCTGCTTTTTGAGAAGCGTGCGGACTCTGCTAGCGTTAGCGCCTACCCGGGGAGTAGGATGCGGGTCACTGCCGGTGGTGGAATCCACTGGGATGATCGAGCCGCCGCGGCGCAGGGCCACGAGGTGGTCGATCCACGTCGCACGAGTTTGCTCGGTGATCTTGAGAGTGATTTTGGAGCCGGACCTACAGAGATGGAGTTCGATGTGCAGCTTCCTACGTGCCCACTCATGAAGGAAAGGGACTCTTCGCAAAGATTGCATTGTGATACGACGTACGAGAACATTGAAATAAATCACTGGATCAAGGCAAGTCATTTATTTCTGTCAATTGTCACTAGCACATCGGCAAGACTCTAACACTCTACAGATCGTTCTTCGTCTATCCAGACCGGATGAAGCTTACCCCAAGAAGCGTCGCCACTTTGAGATCTCGATCGATTCACCATTCCATATCCTATCCTGCCTAGCAACTCAGTCGAACATCTATCTCCCGTCCTACTCCTCCCCTTCATCCTTTCCTTCTGAAGAGTACGAGTGTGGCTGCCCCGGTGCCCAACCAACCACGAAAGCCCCATACCACGCCCATAGCGCCAGCCCAGCCCAGCTCAGCATGCTCCTCAACATGTCCAGCGACCCATCCTTCCACCCACAGCCATCCAGCTCCACCAGCTCCACCAGCACTCTCACCGCCGACCAAGCCGACAACAGCAGCGAATCCAGTAATCCCTCCAACATACCCACCCGCCCCATTCACCTCATCCGAATCCCATCCTTCGCACCGCCCCCGTTCGAGGACGTCCCGCCACCACCACCGCTCGTCACTCCTCCACCAGACTACTCCACGATCATACCGACCGACGACCCCAGCGCTGGCATCCTGGATTACTTCCACCGCCTGCATCACGCGGAGCAGGAATACGATGAAAACACGCGCGGTAACGCGAGAGTGGATGTCCCGCTAACGCCAGGGGGCCGGGTGCACCGGAGTATAGAGATACCAAGGGAGTTGGTCCGGATCGACGCGATTGCAGATTGAGAGGCAGGCAGACAAACAACTTCCTACCTAACCCATATTCATGTCCATCTTTTGTCCATTCTTTTTACTCCTCCTTTCTCTCTTTCTTTCTTTCTTTCTTTTTTTTTCCTTCTCTCACAAACACCTTTTTGGAGCTATTTGTATTCTTATTCAATATGCCTGCATCATCGGAAGGGGCGAAAAACGGGTTTGGTTCATCCCTTGGATCAAGGTGTCACGGGAGGGGTGCGGTGTTCTGGTTGTCCTCTTGAGGAATATGCATATCTGCATCCATTTATTTTTGTTTATCTTTGCCTTATCTTTTTTTTTATTTTTTTTATTTTTTTTTATTTTTCTTTTGCAAGCCGGAATATCCTTTCCCTCTTAATTGTTTAATCCTTCGAGGTTGCAAAAGTGAAGAACTAATCCTTACTTTTTAACCAAAATAACAAGCATGCCTTGCATAGGGGTGGTAATTCGCGCTTTTTTCCTTGCTTCTCCATTTCCCCCCCTTTTTTTTCCGGCAACATTTTGGGAAAGCCTTTTCATAACGTGCTCCACGCCGTACGGATATGATGCTACTACGAAATCCTGGTTTCTTATCTCGCATCTGTCTCTTTTTTCTTTTCCTTTTTTTTCTTTTTTTTTGCTTCTTGACTCAATGGTACTGGGTACGACTTGGAACGAATTTGGCCTGCAAATAAAAAGAAAACGTGATCAGTGATGACCCCCAAGTCTGTACTTTTCGTCAAAGAATGTGTATAGGCCAAAAGCATATAAGTATATTAACTAGCATATCGATGACATGAAGTCGGGAGCATGTGTTCTATCTAATCCGCTGCCAACGTACGGAGTACTTTACACCACACATAAATACGGAGTAGATATATAGTAAATACGAGGCACTCTTCATTATGATAGGATACCGGAACTATTTCGACAGGTAATAGTTCTACCTATCCTTTTTGATTGTGAGATCTATCCTACATTCTGGGTCATTCTAGTAGGAATCTAGTTACAGACATTCCACTCACAGAAGAAATCAAATGTTGCCCTGAATCCCCCAAATTCCCCGTGTCTTGCGAAAGAGGGCAAAGGTTTCAATAAACCAAACAGAACGCCCTGCCCAGCCCCGCCCGCGATGGGTACCATCTCGTCCACTTGCTCTCGAGAAAGGCGGGAGAGTTCCCGTGCCAGATACTCTTGAAATTCTGTCTTCTCCACTATATCAAGGGGAATCCGCACGCTTCTTCCAGGGAAATATCGGACCAAGCGGTCCTTTGCTTTTGAGGACATCTTCGCAGCTTGGGGATGCCTCGAACGCATCGACAATAACGCTTCGAGCCTGTGCGTCACTTTGCATGAGCCAGCCACAGTTTTGAGCGCGTATGAAGCACATCATGGCCCCTTAACCGGTTAGACAAACCGTGCTGTTGGACCTCAGGGATGTTTTCCACTTACTGGAACCATTTAGGTTTTCCAAGACTTGAACAAGATCAATCTCGGAGATCAGGTCCTGCTTGCTAATCGCCTTCAAGTTTTCAAGCATATCGGCAACGGAATGACACGCTGGCCGGGCCTCTTCGGGATCATTTTAAAGAAAGATTCGCGTAAACACTCAGCGCCAAAGAGATAAGAGCATCTTCGTGTTTCCACTCACCAGCGTCTCCAGATTGAGGTAGCTGTGGCGGGAAAATAACATTGTTGAAAATGAAATTCGAAATCTCCTTCCTCCTAGCTACCTGCCATAGTTGTGATTCTTTTAGATGGCAGACAGTCTAAGCACAAAATAATAGTATCCCTAACACTGCCACAGGGTATTTTAAAAAAAAAAAAAAAAAAAAAAAAAAAAAGCCGAGACTGCACCATCAAACTTCTGATAACATTCCTGTTGAAGCCGGGCATGCTAATCCCAGGCCACAATATTCCTGGTCATGTTGTCTTACTAGTCCAGTTGCTAGCGGCCACCAATGCAAAAGAGGCACATATTCATTGCCTCGGATTTTCTTGAATAGATACAGTAAGCTTCAATGAAGAAGTTGCGTTCAGCCGGCGTAGTCATGGTCCAAATATCACACAATGTTTGCTCCAGTGTCGTAGAAACAGCCAATAGCCACAATGGGCCAGGAGATGGTTGCTGGCCTGAAATATGGCTACGAAGCTCGAGGAGGGTATGTATATATTGGGCATATTGAGGAACCCGAAGGAAATACATACATAGGCAAGTCGGTAAAAGTTTTAATAAAGCCTTTTACTTGCCAAACCACATCCTGGCCACCCGTAACCGCGATGCCCAGGTTCATGACACGAACGATGGCGCCAACGTCCCATGGCCCTTACGCAAGGCTAGTCAGGCTCCATTAGAGCCTGGATAGGGACAATTCTGTCTCACGATCGCCCACGAAGCCTGATTTGAGACTATACGACCTGAATCCCTAACCAAGTTTGCAAGTGGCCGTGGGCAGGTACACCCTCCCGGCCTGCGTATAACGGGCCATTTCATATCAATTGACAAAGAAGGAACTGCAGTGTATTTAAAGGAATGACGTTAACAGGGAAAGGCTAAATCCATTGTTCTGTTTCGACCATCTGGGTTCTTACACTTTGTGGAATCGTGAATTTAGGCGCTAAACCCTGTTGGGAACCAAACTGGGAGCAGCCGGCTGCGGGTGTTGGCCCTTAGCCGATGAAGGGCTGCAACAAAGAATATACTGCTCGTCCCGGAGCATTTTCATTCTCCCTCTTCTTGGGTAACCTGGGGCTTTATCCTCTTCGAACTTCCATCGGCATTGGCGCTCTACGGAGTACTCGCAAATGCTTATTCTGAAAATAGGTCCGATGGCCCGACCCAGCATCACACAAAGGGGCTGTGGTTTAGTGGTATAATGTTCCCTTAGCATGGGAGAGGTCCTGGGTTCGATTCCCAGCAGCTCCAATTTTTTTTTGCATTGATTCTTGTGGTTCCCATTGACTTGTGAGATCGAACTGTAGCCAACATTTCTCCTTTTCAGTTTTTACGCAAGCGGGTTAATTATGCGCGGGATCAAAGTTGGTTCAAGAATTCTCGACCGTTCTTCTTCCGCAGTTCATTGAAAACATGCCGTTTCAACTTCATGACTTCCTCTACTTAGGGTGCAAAGCAGAAACCTCATTGTGATGGACAATTCCCGAGGTCAACGTGGAAAATCACATGTCCCCTCCGGAAATCAGGGTCAATGCGAATACGGCTAGATGCACGCCAAACCGTCGCTGGCAGGTTGGACGGCCCGGCAGAAACAAACAGCCCCCAACGCCACCGTCCCGCATCGTCCATTAGCGGGCTGGTCCCGACTTTTGGAGATGTGATCGAGGCACATGGTTTCTTGTGGCCATCTCCACAGATATGTCTCACTTTCGTCCAATATCTGGTCTCTGCACAGCTATGTCACCTTGGAATATGTGTAAATAGGTCTTGCTCGAGTGTTGGATCCGCGGCGGGAGAGCCATGTTGCTTTAGCTATTCTGGTCAAGTTTCGGGGAGGCGAGGCAGGATGGCCTGGGAAGGGTACCCTCGGCGGCTCAGACATGGGCACATATCCGCCTTCAATGACGACATTGGAATAATACCCCGTACGGAAATGATATCACCTGGAGATAGCTTTTCGGTTTCCAAACAAAGCCCTAACGAACCCCAGAATGATCGAGCTCCGGAATACCTGGCTCGAATAATGAGAGTGCTCATCTGGGATCACATCCACGTAAATAATTAACATCCGGCCTAGCCGTTTCTCGACGGGAGCTTGACCAGAAATCCATGCAAAAGAACCTTAGTAATTCTGCGCCACTCACATTGTTTTGTCGCTTGGAGCGTTAGTTCAAGCTTGGCTAGCGGGGATGCGACTGATCGCCAGTGGTAGCAAGCACGACATACATTAGCGTCCTCGTTCAAACCAATTGCTGCCGGTCCAATTATTGCGTTGCTATAAGTTCCTAGAGCAACTTGCCAGCAGCCGTTGGAAGCGCATCGACTATAGCCGTAGTGTCGAATTTTTATTTCCTAGGCATGGATACCAACCGGTCCCCCTAGTTACAAGCAGGCTAGACCTGATGCTGCTATTAGTTCCTACACCCAACAGTTTGGTACCCAGGAAGGGAACATTGATACCAGTGGTTGACCTTGAATGCACCCTTAAAACGGCCAATATATGAACCCTGCAATGCAAAATGCCAGGAGACTCGCCCCTTTCCTCCTTTCTGGAATGGGGAGATCGTGACATCCCTCGGTGGTCCCGGGTGCTTCCTGAAAGCAATGCCTTTGTGCTCGTGAATCTATGCCTCCGTCAGCGTTGCAACCAATGCTGAAACGCCCTCTGCTCTGCCTATTGGGAATCAGAATGTCAGCAGAGTAAGCGTACTAGGCAAGATTGATCCGTAATCGCGTGAATCTTGGGCCAAGATGCGGTCCGCCCAGGCTTTCGTTGTCGTTGCTGGCGCTACAGGTGTCGGTGCAGCCGTTGCTGTTGGTTTGCTAAAACGGGATACACCATCATGTGCAGTAAGGAAATTAAACTTCATCCCCAAATGCTCTAAAGACTACAATGTTGATATAGTGGAGGGTGTAGGAAAGCTGTTTTCAGAGCGCTGTCAACGACTACGCCTGCGATCAGTGGCTGACAGACACCGACTGCTGTGAAAACACGAGTTATCTTTTTGACATTGGGGAATGTCTCGACGATAACTGTTCGGCAGATGCTGGATCTGACGCTTGGAAAATTATCACAAACGAATGTTATTCAGCCTATGTCACAATTCAATGGGATTATGATATCTTAACAGACTTCCTCGCAACGAGATCCGCGACGGATATCACCACGTATAGCACATCCTATACAACAATCTCCTATACTTCTATAGAAACATCCGAAGAAGTTTCTGCAACTTCTACCCCAACGACGTCTTCGCCCGAATTTACAACCTCACCAATACTGACTCCATCGCCCACTCAGTCACATACTACCTCATTTACAGAAGACGATGAGGAAGAGAGCAGTAGCGGCATAGACGAGACGACTACCATAGCTATCGCCGTGCCGTTGGCCCTTTTTGGAGGGCTACTACTATTGCTACTCCTCTGGTTCGCGTTGCGAAGGACTGGCCATGTCCGTACGAAGCCAAAGGTTAAGGATATCTGGTTCGCATTTCGAAAGATTATCGGTCCCCTTACAAGGGCCAAAGTTAACGAACCGGAGGAGCCACCGGCCACAAAAGAAGAAGATCCACCGATAATATATGAGATTTGTGGCACAGAAGTCAGCAGAACGAACAGCAATCAGTTTCTTGAGTTAGAAGCGTCCCCTGCAATGCCTAGGTTCGACGGTGACTCGCTTATGACTCCGAGGGTGTCTCGGTCCGAAGCTGGCTCTTCACATTGGAATACTCAGCCGACCGGGGAAATAGACCTCGATAGAACCTCATTCGCAGGGTCTTCAAGACACCAACGAATTGATAGTGGCTCAAAGCTCTGTGCGCCGTTCCGGGCCTCAAATCCGGAGTCTGTGAGCCCCATGACTCCATCAACCCCTCCTCCAAGACCGGTACGCATGTCGGATCCTTCGTCGTCGCGGCGCCCATCATTAGTCGACCCCCCGACTAGTCCTGTATCCGATCAAGGTAGCGAGATAGACGGTCTGCTAGCAAATCTAGCGGCAGTGGAGCAGCGGAGAAAGGAGCGAGCATCACAGCTACAAATGCTACAAGCAGAAGAAATGGCAATAAGAGAGGAGGAAGCAGCGATATTGGAGCAACTTCGGAAGAGAGCTTCAATGATACCAGATGGCAGAGGGTCACCTCGGTCATCATAGGATCTAACCAGAATAATGCTCCTTTCACGGGGAATAAAAAACATACCTGTCGTTGAGGGAAGGGCAGTCGTGTCACAAATCAGACACAAGTACGCCCTCAAACCCTATTTGTTCAGATCCGCATAGGAGCCTATCCGCCACATCAAACCCAGTTCCCTCCCTATGTGAAAGATGTATCACCATGCCTATCAATCCATACGATCCCATTTCCTGTCAGTGCATGTATATACCCATCATGCTGACTTCATGTTTCTCGCATTGTGAATCTAGCTAGTAGCATCATTTTCCTTGCATTGCCTTCAGCTTTTCACATCTTAAGTAATCTTGGCGCACTCTACGCCTAATTCCTCCCTGCCAGATATTTGTCTATATGGTGATGACCTTTTTCCACGCATAATTCTGCTATGCCCAAATTTCAACGCAATTCATCCGAAAAGCACTCATACGAAGCGACCTAGTCTAATAACAGAGGGCAATTAGGCCAATTCTCTTGCCAATTCCTACGCTTCCCCTCCAAAAATGTCAAAACTTCCTCTCACGAGGACACAGTGATGCAGGGCCAACACTATAGTGAATCCCGGCCTCAATCATCGCAAAGTAGACTTTTCCTGCAGCTTAGTTTTGATAATGGTTTAGAGAGCAGCACCAGCGGGGCGTTCACCCGCGAAATTAACCAGAGCTTTTAGAGGATAATTAATATCAACAAATGACGGCCGGCGGAATTTGCTCAGAGACTCGAGAAGCAATGAGACCCGGTGAATCAACGCAGTGCATCCAGAGCCCAGCGCTGCGATAGTCAAGGTCAAATCCTGAAGACCTACGCACTGTTGTTCAATTTCATGAATCCACTTTGAGGTGAAGATGAACCGCTCGTCTAGCCCGCCTTGTGATAGCCAGAGCCGACACAAAAAAGGACCATAGTGCGTCAACGAATTGATGACGGACCACATCAAGCGTTTAGCGATGGAGCATTTTCAGGCGAAGAATTACCGCGATTTGAATGGATTGATAATGCATCGGCGAGAATAATATATGGCTCGACGGAACTGTAGGGTTGTCTGAAATGAATTCACGAAACAGGATTTAGCGTGAGTTGCAAGCGGAGGTAGGCGTTGGATTTAATTCCACGGCGGTATATCTGCATCAAAACCTCCCAAAGCATAAACTCAGGCTTTTGAGAGAGTCGAACTAGCCTGTCGATACGCATCTGATCTTTGGAATGGCTTCACGTATCAACTCAAGAAAAGCAGCTTACATACCATAAAATTACCAGGTCTCTATATCACCAAACTTGTCTCCGTTAAGTTCAGCTATATAAAATCAACCTCAAGGTGTCCAGGTTAATAAAGTCACACCCTATCCTAGGTAGAACTTCGCCATTGCGGCTGTTGTATCCCCAGTAGGGGTGATCGGCTAGTCATGTAATATTTAATAGATATATATGTATTTCGTCAACATTGACCCTAGGAGCCTAAACTCGGCCTCTCTGTCACTCGCATGATCCACCAGAGACTCGATCGGATCCGAATCGTCGGACACTCCCAAAACTAGCCTTATCTCCGAAAATATTACCCGTTTTCTCTGCTCAGCACGGTGGGACGAATGGCTTGCACCAAGCTAGTGAGAGGTAAGTGGTACACATCGAATAGGGTTTGGGAAGGTAAATAACCATATATGCTGGAAAATCTCCAGTAGCAGGGCTTCCATCTGGCCAGGTTCCACAGGAGAAATGCAAATGTTAACGTGCAAACGCTTGGGCAAGGATTGCCAATGCAGTTGAAGGTTAATGTAATGAAGTCTATTGGCATTGTACTGTACCTCGAAACGAACAGGTGCACCCGGAATAGAAATTCTAGAAGAAAAAGACAAAATTCAAAAGCTGAGTATAACTAACTATACCGAGCATCTCACCGAAGTACTCTGTAGCCCAAGTGGAATATCGACTCCACTTTTCAGTGCACTAGGCCAGCCCGTGCCTCGCCATAAAACGAACTCTCATTGCAGGCCCTGGTTCTCCCGCCTTTTCGGGAGCCTTCGCTTTGTCCACCTTGATGGCCAAATGTGGTGAATCCGGAAAGGTGTAAATCGAGGATATTTTCTTATCCCCAAGAGCGGCTCGATTGTTGCCCAGCAGGCCATAAACCCCTTTAACCTCCTGAGTTCCGCTTAAGGCTATGAATGCCTCCTTCATCTTGGGATTCGATTCGTCATATCGAAATTGCGCTCCCGCCTTGCCCGCCGGATAACCTGCCTTTGCGTGCGCCTGCGCCATAACCGCCTTCGTGTCCACATTGTCCACAAGATCCTTTATAACCCACTCTAGGCTCTTGGAATCTTTTGGGGAGTCTTGCTTCCATGACTTCATTGCGGCTTCACTCCACTCCATTCTATTTTCCTTTGCAGTAAGGTGGTCATTCTTGTTATTTGTTCTGATCGACATCATGACACCTTTTTCGTGGTTGACGCCATTCTCGTACACTCCCAATTCTGAAGATTTCGACTTGAAAGTGTGTCGGGTGAACTGCAGACTCTCCGGGAGTTTGGTCGCCGCCTGTATATCCTTGGAAAATTTGATATTCACAGGAGATGCATCTTTCGCGTAGAATTCCTGCCACGGCCGGGGTGGCGCATCGGGCTGCTTGCGTGCAATCACTTTATCTAGCCACTCTTTCGAATTTTTGCCGGACTGAGAAAAATAACTCCAGTCCCCTTTGCCAGACTGCGGTATAACAGGCTCAGCCGGTCCTTCGATTCGCGATCCTGCTCCCGCTCCCATCCCCGGGCTTGGTGGCCTCGGCGGACTGAGCGGAGGTGAATTAGCGCCCGCACCCCCCGACGTTCCCCTTCCACCCGGGGACGGGGGCCTTGGACGAAACGCTGGTGGAGCGCGCACATGTTTTAGGCCTCCAAAATACGCCGCACCGACGTTATGTTCGGGAGCATTTCCGAACTCATCAGCTTTACGGTACCGTAACTCTAACCAATTGTTAGCTACCTTGAGGGTGTATGCCAATAGCAGGGCAAAAAAGGGTCGTATACCGCGGCGTTGCTGGATATCAGTGGGCTGGCTAACAGATTCTAGAACAGGTAATAGCCCAGCATCAGGAGTAGAACTCCTCGCGGGTATAATCGAAGCTTTGAGGATAGGGGCGGCTATCAATAGAAATATTGCTTTCATTAGATTGAAACCCATCGTAAAGGGTAGCTCGGAGCGAAAGGGCCCAAGGAGCAAGGCGATCTGCAAACTATGATCAAGCTAAATTGTTTGGGGCGGTTCCGGCACTCAGGCTATATACGGCCTTGAACCCATGGAACCTCCTGTCACCCGGACTGTTTTGGCTGAGGGATAGCATCCCCTCCCAACAAGAATTGGATTTTCCTCCGGTGGCTTGTGTGATAGGAAAACTGGCGAGTTAGTCAGTCATCGAGCCTGATTGACAGAACTGACCGCCCAACCTCTGCCGGGGCCCGAGTTCAAATCTGGATCGCGCGACATTCCATCCCCCACATCTGTGTATTCCGAGTTGGAAATCCACACGTAGTCATCGAATTGAAATTTCTAGTAAAAAACTGCCCTTCAAGACGTCATTCCAGTGTAGTTGAGATGTAGCTTGCCAGATCCTTGGCTTAGGGCGATCAAAAGCCATGCAGAGAAATGCAACTCCAGGCCTCATCAGACCTATGCAGTTTAGCTAAACTTCACCCCGCCGGGTCCTTTTTGCTTCTAATGGTCGATGGTCAATCAATCCTCTGGACCAACTATGTGCTCTGTAGCCGCTGAAATGGGGAAATCCTATTGCCCTTGGTTTTTCATGGACTTTCATCATTATTGTGTCCTGGAGGATAGGCAGAACAGTGTAGCCGTAATACGTGAAGACAAGTTTGACACTGAGCTCGCTTGGATAGCAAAGGAGTAATTGGTATGTAACGACGTTGTGCACTGGACTCCTCCGAAAATGATAACAATGATGCTCAAACTCACCGCGACAGTGGAGGACGTTGTTGTGATGCCAAGATGCCGTTCCAAAACATCAAAAGCGCGACTGTCTGCGGGTTCTGTCTGTTTCGGTCCCTGCAGCATGCGAAAACAACACCCACCTAGCTCCTCGGGGGGAGGAGGAGATGACTTCTTCTTTTCCAAATGGCTCGACAAAAAGTCGCCTTATTAAACTGTCAGGGAGCCTAAGGTCCGGCTCCCTATGTGACACGGCGAGAAGGTGTCTTGCCTCCTTTCGAAGACATCTCCGATGAAACCCACAGGGCTTGAAATAATGAAGATTATCATAGGGCTCTGAGCTGTTTCAGATTGTTTTTGCAAGCGTTTTCATTAAACCGGCGAACAGTGGACAGACTTTATGGAAAATATGCACCTCAAAGCGATGCGCGATCCAACGCCCCGAAGAGGCTCTCGAGTCGGATCATCCGTGTCAGTATGGCCCTAACTCCGTCGTGCTTCTATAGCCCAGGAGTTTAGTTGTACCTCCATTCTCACTAAGAAGCATTCTCCGTGTGTCATCCGATTATGTTTGATGTTAGGAATTTTGATCTCACTCCCTGGCGACCAGTTCTTTTCTATCCGAGCATGAAAAGCCCGTCCGTCTGGACAATTTGTATCCAAATTCTATGCTTTTTTTTTTTTCTTTAAACTGGACTCTTCACCCGCATCCTCTTGGAATGTGGAAATTCATTTGACTGGTGATTTTACCTAATGCCTTTTCTTTGCCCAGATTGCTTAATTGCAGCATTCTCCCCCAGACTGCGCTTGATTAAGAATGACCGGACTATGGGCAAACTCCTCAATCGACCTTATGGAAATGTCGCGCTCCACGGAAGTGGCGGCCTCCATTGCCCGTCGCGATGTCCTCGGCATCGTGGGTTTATTGCTTGGTTTGGCTATGGTCGGTATGGCCATACCAGCGTTTATTCCTCAAAAAGAGCCGGTTGGCACACTCGTCAAGGTTGGGACCGGATCCCTTCGGGAGAAATATAGTTCCTCTGGAAATATCCCGGGAGTCTCTGTATGGAGCGTACACGGAAAAAGACTTGGTCACGCAGTCGGAAACCAAAAACGTGTTTACAACGGTAGCCCTGTTGATATATTGGTGAAACATTACCACGAACTCGGTCAACCACTAGCTGAATATATCTCAATAACTAATGGTGGAATCGATGCAATTTGCGTTGCGTATATTGGAATGAAATGGAACAATGACGTTTACGGCTGGATCGGCGACGTTGGAGGTATATGCGGGGCGGACTGGTATTATACCGATACAGTGCTCAAGAGCAAAGGAGGCACGCCCACAGCGCAATTCAACCCGAAATGTATCTGGATCGATCGGGACCGTAGCTCCGGATTTCGAACTCAAGGGATCTCAATGCATATTACGGACTTCGATGTTTCTGGGGAAGGCCGTAAGATGCAATATGCAAAATACCCGGAAACCATGTGCAGCAGGCCACGATTCCATGCGTATGAGTATATGAAAACGGAAGACGACATCTATATATTTGATCCACCCCTCGAGTATGGCCCTGGTCTTGTGGATAAGGACATCAGAAAGGTTCTTGTGGGCGGGAAACTCACTGAGGACGGAAGACGGCCGTACAGGGCTCGCAGAAATGACGACTACTACCGAATGCCCCGCTCTCGGCCTATTTCTCGGCGTCAACAGAAACTCCGCTCCCAGTTCAAGAGAGAAGTATTGGTTGTGAGCGGCTCGCCGTACCATAAGGCGGAGGAGCTGTGCCAGAGCCGAACCTCGGTTGGGCCTGACTTTGTCTCCCTGAGCGATAACCTGTTTTGCGACATGGAACATAGAGAGGTTTGGCCGTTATGTAGCAACGGGACGGCGACACATGGTTGCTTTGATGTTGAGGAAAGGACTATGAAAGGTGGAGCGATTGGAGCGAGAGACTCGATTTCTGGACGAGCTATCCCGCGAAAGTCGTATAGAACCGTGACAAACTGGTAACTCGTGGATATCCGTGATAGCAACACTTGTAGGTACGAGACCGCGACAGCTCTCTCAACTTTTATTCCCTTTCTCTTCTTTCTTCCTTTTTCTTTTCTGGCGTTCAGGCAGTGCTCCATGCTGTGTGCTAGAATGGCTCAATAGCTAAACTTAAAAAATAGAAATATCATAATATCTGCACGTCACAATCCACTTCCAGCTTATTGCACTTTCACCTTATATCTGAATAACTTGCATGATACCGAACGCCCTTTAGGGTAAGTATGCCTTAAGGGGCGATGCCGGTCGACCAGCCTTGATCAACGGTTCTCGAATCCAAGGTGCCGACCAAGTTGCTCCTATGATACCTCCATAGGCGGTTCCAGGCGACAGAGGCTAGACGTGCCAAGGCAATATCGGCTCGATGATCAAAGACGAGGTACGGCCCGCGGCACTCCCGTGTGGGGAAGCTCAGCGTAACTGTGATGATCGCTCTAGAGGTTCACTTCCGGAGGTGCCCCAAAAGTACCGGGTCAAATTGAGGACGAGCCCTGTACATCGACATCTATGCCAATGATAATAAAGCAAATGAACACTTGTAGTGCACCAGAGTATCTCTTTGTAGTTCTCCAATCAGATTCTTCGGAGAGACGCCCTTAGAAGATATCAACGCCGGTCTTTTTTGGATGAAAATTGGAGGTAATTGAACAAGAGGGAGAGCCCGGCATCCCAGCGGTTCACCGCAAACATATATCCTCAACACTTGCAAGAAGTCACCCTAGATCCACTGGCGTCTCGGATGGGATTACCTATCCTGGTTTTGGAGAAGAATAGCCTAATTGAATCCCGCCCAAGTCCTGAACAACGGCTAAAAGACTTGTTCCGCTCCCACACGTCCACACTTGTTGATAAGGCTTCCGAAGCCCCATAAGCACTGCGCCCCGCCGCGGGGTTAAAACGGGCCCGCGTCGGCCTCCCCGCCATCCCCGGGATTGATCATGATTGCGGATATCCTCCGATATGGCGTTTGGGGGCATCCAGGGCCCAGAATTTGTCCTAGAACTTGTCCCAACAAACCCCTCCCCCCCTCAAAACAAAAAACAAAAAAAAAAAAAAAAAAAAATTAAAAATTTTCTGGGAGCAGGACGATGATGGAATCCACTGTGGCATAGATTCCTCTTCGCTCCACTGCTTCTCATCCTTCTTTGGAGGTTAGTGCTTGCACTCGCAATGTTGTAAATGCTGCTATTAGCAGCGTTTTTCAATCCCATCAAAATACAATATTTGCCTGATGGTCAGATCTCTTGCTCTTTTGAGCTGTTTATATGAATTGTTCGCTGTCAGCCTTGGATTGCATCCAAATCCCTTGTTTAATGTGAGATGCAGCCGAACGGGAACAACTTTCCATTCGCCAGACCACAAAGTGTTTGAGGGAAAAAAGGAAAAAAGAAGAGAAAGGAAAAGTATCGTATACGGGTTCCTCGAATTTGAGAGACGAATCATGTATTTCGCCCTTCAGTGCTCAACCCACGTGGGTTAGAAGGGTCCGGCTTTATTCCAATCACCCACGATCGATTGAGATTCTCGTAGGCACTGGCCATATAGAGATATGGATCTGGGATTTGAAGGAACATAAGGAGAACAGAATCTGGTTGAACTCAAGTTTACATGTACGATACGGTTTAGGCAGTACGCTGCGATGTCCAAACATTGGGGGAGGCCATAGATTCCACTGCCAACGCAGTCATCCTGTCAAAAAGGCATCGATCTCGAACTCACCAACAAAAAGATAGCGCTCACTTTCTACACTTCTCAGTGGACTGGAACAAAGCAGCAAGTCTGCCTCGCGAGGTGAAACACCACCAAATATAGTTAGCGGTCACCAGCAGATGGGATCACGCTTGTACTTGCCATGACAAGCAGCTCGATGCGGGACACATCATTCATCTAGCAGCGGAGTCCTGCTGTAGGTCAGTTTTTTGGCCCGCGCTCGAGTGGAGCTCTGGTGGAATCGATGTGGAGGGTACCTGAAACTCAACGAAGATAGAGGGAGGTCGAGACCAAGAGGGCATGCCAAACTCTCCGCCCTCTGTGCGACGACTGCCCGGGGAGTCATGGCGGCCAATGATAATAATTGTTTAGGTGACCTCGAGGAGCCTGGGCGGCGCGCGCCTGAAGCCCGGAGCGCGACACACAGCCCAGCCGGTGAAACCTCCCTCGAGAGCCCCAGACTCCCAGCAGCGGCCCAGCGTGGTTTGAGCGCCCGCCGAAAGCCCGGGCGGCTGCAGCTCGGAGCGACTCGGCAATGGTAGCTGCGGAGAAGGCGCTGCGAGGCCGCCCGAAGCACCGCTGCGATTGGCCGCTCAGCCCAAGAACCGTCACCTGACTAATCTGCGCCGCCGCCCATCCGATTGGCCGAGGCCGGTCGCAGCGACGATGCTCGATGAGCAAGCCAGCGCCATCGAGGGACAGTGACTGCAGCATTATGCGCTTCTCCGCACCCATGTGAGCCGTCGTTGTGATCAGGAGGGGAAGGGAGATCAAGTGACAAATGGGATCCAAGAGCCAAGTCTCCGAAGCTGAAGGCGAACCGAACCGCTCACCACCTGTTGGGAGAGTCTACCGCGTCACTCTTTATTTCCTGAAGGTGGGAAAGCGAGAGCATGTCGAGAGCAACATTGCTTTTCCGTGCCTAAACCCAGTGGCCTGGAATATAAAAGGATCGCCATCCGCTCCTTAAAGTGATCGTTTTCCGGTAGCGCTGAGAATTTCAGTCTGTCTAGGAACGTTGACTTCGGAGATCTTCGCTGCGCGTTTGACATTGCAAGAATCTTGTCCGTCGTTTCACACATTACTTGTTCCATCGTGACGTCTGACAGAGCATACTGTCGATTCCACGTCCTCTCTCTTGAACCCTAGTACCCAATTCTTTAAGGATCTTCCTAGCACTATCAACGTTGATGTTGGATTGCAGGCTTTCTGCTCCTTGTGCTATTGCATTAGCTCTCTTCTTGAGACCTCCGAGTAATAGTAGTAGTATTTTATATTGCTACAAGCCGTTAGCCTCATCGCCGATAGACGACTCGTGATTGCTTTCTTTTGAGCCATTTCAATTTTAAAGGAAAAAAAAGAGAGAGAGAGAGAGAAGGAAAGGATTGCTGTATAAAACACAGTCCATTATGTCGATCGAAGTCAGACCATTGACCCTGGAGGATATCCCTGGCGCAATTGAGTGCGTTCAGAGGGCCTTTGAGGATGACCCATATTTCCGCTGGGTGTTTGACCCTGCCAAGGTATGTGTCACGGCTCCAATTAACGTCGAGGTTGCATATATTGGCGTCGAGTAGACTAGAGCATGCGGCTGTTGATCCCCATACACAAATCAGTATAAAAATAACACTGACATTTTCCACTTTGTTTCGCGGCCGAGGTCTTTCTTCGCCCGCGGCCAGATGACCTCTGGGTTGTTTTATTGAGAAACACTAGTTCTCCAAGGAAAGAAATACCGCATCCCTAAGGAACCGTTGCCTCTGGGGCATCAACAATGGCCTGTTCTATGTTGCCCGAGAGAGACTCCCACAAGGCAACGGCCAGAACGGGTCCGAAAAATCGCCATCGTACCGTGTGGTCGGCGTGTCTATGTGGCTCAAGCCACATGTCGCTGGACAGAGTGAGAGCTGGCCTTCACGCTTCCAAGATTGGCTCCTCAGCTTTCGTCAGTTGGTCACCAACGTCCAGTTTGGGGGTCGCGGCGGACTCCTGGTTCGTCGATACTGGATCTACAAAGATTCCCAGTTCAAAGCAGAACAGAAATTCTTGACTGATCCTCAGGGATATTATCACTGCAACATAGTCGCAGTCCTGCCAGGGATGCACGGGAAGGGAATAGGGAAGAAGTTGGTAGAAATCGTTACGGATCAAGCTGATAAAGAAGGCATGGGGTGTTACCTGGAGAGCTCGAAGGCCGAACCCAATGTCAAAATTTATGAACGCATGGGCTTCAAGGTTGTTGGAGATTTGGATTGCAATGATAATGGGGCGCAGTGCAAGGTGAGCATGTTTCCTCATCATAAGATTGAAGATATGATGTTAACGTGCATGGCTTTCCCTCCCCATAGTTGTTCTGCATGACCCGCGATCCAAAGCCGCTGATGACAAACGGCAAAGCGGAGTGAATATTAAGCCGAGAAGCACCGAGACCAAGGACAACAAGACATTAGTTATTGGAGAGATAAGTTAGCTGAACTCCCATTGATTCTCCCCGTAATTAGTTGTTTTTGTGGGCGTACATTTCGGTTGTGGGCGACATGTTCACGTTTCAACCTGCATGAGCATTTCGGTTGGAGGCTTTCCACCAGCATAGTGTTTGCCTTTGAGCATTTGAGCAACAGAACCGATGAATTTGAAATGAGAGAACTGAGCTTCTGGTTTTCCGGGACAGCCATTCTGTTATTCTCCACCAAAGAAGCTTTTTTTAGGGCGTAGTCAACCTGAGCCTCTGTAACTCGGGACTCCAGACTTTACATCGTATTAGCGGAGCCGAGGGCAAGATAGAATGCGGAGCACTCGGCCACCTAGTTAGCAAACTATCGAATAGTGAAGCAACGCGGTCATTCTCACCTCAAGAAGACAAACTCAATCGTAGGATCATCGTGTCTCAGAATCAGGAAGCCAACCTCGGAGTGCCCGTTGGCTCATGCGCAGCGAACTCGCTCTCCGTGTTGCTATTTTTCACGCAAGGTTTTTAGCGCAGAGCTGGTGAAACACGGCAAAAGACACCGTCCCATTCCTGACATGAGGATTCACCCTCTCTAGATTTCCCTAACCGCTTCTTCTCTCAGTCGTTGACGACGGTTATGACGAGATGATGGATCTCGCAGCGAGTCTATGCATCGTCGTCGTGGTACCTGAGCGTCTTATGTAAGAGCGCCGTCAGCAACCTCCTTACGTCGTTCGTCGCGCCAGCAGCAATCGAGACCGCCGCAGCGTGGTCGGGCGAAATGAACACGGGTGAGTTGCATCCACGAGATGAAGATTAGCGGCAGAGCTATCCCCCACAGCCAATCAGCGGACCCCAGCTTGCATTCTGCTAATGCACGATCGATGTCTCTCCGTTCGTTTTGGCAGCGTGATCGCGCGCTTGACCCTTGAGGTGTTGGCCAGATCCCCAGCTAATAGTTTCGTCACTGTGACACACGCTCAACACCGGCCAAAGGAAAGAGGAGCCAGGCGGTGTCTGGGCTAAGGGATCCAAGTTACACTTCCCAAAAAGCTGCTCGTTGAACAAGTCGACGCCTTGAACGAACAAAGAGAGAAGGGCAGCGCCATGCGAAGGCCTCGCGAGTTGGGGATGACAGCAACGATCTTATGAACTCATTAAAGAGACAAGGATACGGCCTTGTTCATCAGCAATCGTCGCAACGATTTAATTTTGCAATTCCCTGTCTGCATCTCGTACTGAGTTCCTGTTTTTCTGTTCCGAACCTCGGGTCCTTGCATTGTGTCAAAGCTCCTTTTCACAGACGCGAGGGCAGCTTCTTCCCTCTCCGAGAACCTCTGGTGAGTTATTCCGAATAAGCACGACCGATTTTGTTTGGGTTCACTCTGCGCGCGGTCGCGCATAGTTGCTAATGAGTTAAGCTGCAGTGGTGGCAGTATTAGCCTGTTCCTCCGAAACTCGACGGGGAAAAGGCGCACCGAGGACGTCGTATGGGATCATGCCCATCAATTACTAGATATAATTAATAAATCCTGTTTATATGGCGATCGAATTTGCCCAATTATTCAGTCAGCGCAATCAGGGATCATTCACGACTCTAGTTCATTTTAAATTGATGTTATCATCGTTATGAACACGAACATTTCTTGTATGACTCTTCAATTTGCAACATAACATGAGTGATGAACCAAAAAATGCCTCTGTTTTTGGATTGAGACCTGCTCCTCAAAAATCATGACCTAGAACTCATGAGCCCAATGCGTATGCTGTCATCCCGTGAAGGCTGAATAATGTCTGACAGCTGACAAAATTAGGTATCCCAGCCGCTTCGAACCCTGACCCTTGCTAACATCAAATCTTGTGCTTCATTCTGTTGTCTCCCCCTTTTCGAAAGCAACTAGCGAGTTGTTCGACTCCCGCAATCACTGAGGACGTGCATCGTAGAAAAAGTGCGGCCATTCCCTCTGCACGTCTATCGAAGGAATCCACTCTGCAGCGCCACAGTCCCGTCCAGGCCAGAGTCTCCATCAGACTTGGGGTAGAATGACGATCTCCCGAATTCCCCCACAAGACAGACACAAGAGTGCGGAATATGTATCTCCGACTTAAGCAGAAACATTCCCACTGACAGACTCTCATCTTAGCCTTGACTTCTCTCTGCTACAACCTCCCTCGTATTCTTTGTCCTTTCTTTTTTCATCAATTATTTTTTTTCCCCCTTGCACACGTTCCCTTTTAATTTGACCCTCGATTCTTGAAGAGGGTCTCCGTTCATTTCACAATTCGGCTGGCCTGGTAGCTAGCCCTCGGATACCTTGCTTTACGAACAACGCTCACTTCGGTCAACTCGGAAAGAGATAGGAAAAAGCAATGAGCCGCGCGCAGAGGAAATTCCGTATTGCTAGGAGCAATGAGGATGACGAGACGGCGCAATGCCTACTGGAGGAATTGAGTTCAAGACGTCGATCTCATAACAACCTTCTCACACGAAAAGAGGCCAGCGACAATCATTCGTGGGCTCAAAGAGCTTACTCATCTTTATCCTTCTTCCTCGGCGAACGGGACTTGAAGACCTTTGCTGAAAACCGCAAAGGACATCATGCCGATTTTGCGTCCCGAAAATCAATCCCATGTCGCTCATTCGTTCGATCTGTGGCTGACTTGGGTGTGACTAATCCCTCCTTGAAGATTGGTAAGAGGGAAAATAAAGGTCGCATGGGAAACGGGAACGGGAAGGGCGGGAATAATGGAGGCGGAAGGCCGGACAACGGGGCTCCTCCTGATAATCCGGGTGGAGGAAGCGGCAACAACAACTTCCCTGCTCCTCCCCTGTTTTTTCCACCGCCGCCACCATCGGAAGGACCACCTATAATATTTCCTCCCGATCAACCGGAATCCGTGCTCCCTACTTCCCAGATGCCGACTTCCACGGCCAAGTTCGAAACCGTCTCGACGACTGAACCCATAAGTTCCAATTTCGTTGAGCAGCCTACACCAACCATCGGCATCAAAACAGAAACTATCGTTTCCAAGATTACAGAAACAGCCCATTCGGATAGAAACCAACCCAGTTCGCCTAGCGTCGCTCCATCCTCGTCTTCGATCTCCGACAATGGACCAAAGTCCAACAACTTTCTCCATGACCCTGCTCGTGTTGCCTGTCTAGCGGTTGGTGTCACAAGTATGAAAATACCTTGAGCCAGGCCTCGCCAGGCATTGATTAACTGACGTGTACTAGTTGCTACGCTCCTTCTCCTAACCCTAATCGGCTGGTTAATATTGAGATGCGTAAGGCGGAGATGCGGGGCCGCAAGCACTAACTCCCGGCGCTCGAATCAAAGAGGTGCCCCAGATGAAGTGTGGATCAGCGAAAAGAACCAGCTGCCGAATGGACCTGGGGACCTTAATTGGGACCCTGAATCCACCTTTGCACCACCTTTCGCTGGGCCATTCCGCCATTCACGGACTGATTCGTCAGCCTCGTCAATATTTCGAAAATTTTTAATGCATGCCGGCAAGCAATCCCGAAGAGGCTCAGGTCTATCCAATATTCTTCTGCGAGAAAAGCCCTTGCCAAACCCTCCCGATACCAATTCCGAGTTATCCCTGACAGACCGAGATTCTATCATGGACGACCTTCCAAAAATGCCAGCAAAGACCCATGCCACCATCAGCACGAGATCATCAGAAGCATTCCGCCTAGACCTTCCATCTCCACGCCCGCGACCTTACTGCTCGCAAGAATTCCCGGGCAGTCCTCTCAAGGGTCGGGTTCGCGGGAGCATCTCCAAGTTTTCATGGTCCACCCCAACAACAAAGAGAACCTCGATGTCCTCAGCGGCCCCAACGTATCGATTGCCCTCATTAACAAGCAACTACGCCGGCACAGTATTCTCGGAAGACAGCGAACCACCACATTTCAGAACCACGTCGAGTTGGGTTTTGCATCAGCAAGCTCGAATTATGAGGCGGAAGTGGCCAGAGTCAGACTATCCGCCATCTCCAACGGCGGTCGCCAATTCCATCAGCACTAGGCAACACTCAGAGTGCATGTCCCCAAAAGGAAAATTGCAAGAGATGAAAAGACGCTCTACGAAATCTTTTGGCTAAGGTGGAATACTTTAAACCAAACCGCCGGCCCAGCACAGCCGATCACTTGGTCAGATTTCTTTCCCATGCAATATATACCCCCCCACCCTCTCCTATGATAGTACTCATCGCATCCCCATATACGGAGACCCATGGTTTATTTTTATTTTATTTTATTTTATTTTATTTTATTTTATTTTATTCCCCCCCCCCCCCCAACCCAACATAAAACACGTAGACGACAGAAATTTCTTATGATTAAGCCTCGACTATCTACTCAATCTTGACCGCTCCTTCGAACTCACTCCCTTCAGGGAGTTTTAAATTCTTACCGCTCACTCTAAATATTCCTTTACTGGGACGCATGTACATGAATATGTCGCTATATCTAGGCCAAGATGCCGGGGAATTGAAACATTCACTATTGATCTTTTTGCCACAGTTTACCCAGCCCTGCAAGGTGCTATTTAGCTTCCAGTCCTACGAGTGGAACAGTTCAGATCTCAACCTCTTTTTATTAGTATGGTACTAAAAATCAAGAAATTGTCAGGTCCAGGGACCCATTAAAGAGGAAAAGCTGAACAGGGAAAGGCAAAGACAATATAAACCAGAATCGATTAAAGGAAAAAAAAGAAAAGAAAAGAAAAGAACTGAGTGGTTACAATAGTAAATGTCCATGAAAGCGCTGCCTATTATTTTCTCAATATGCACTCGGGTGTACGAAGTAATCTCAATAACTCTGCCCCTGCTCACCGTTAATTTATCGCATTACAACCTTGGGAAGCAGAGTAACTCTCTTGGTAGTCTTTAGGGGTCTACATCCATGCTTCTCGCGGAACTATAGCATCTGTAAAGGAGAATATTCCAAAGTATATTCGCGATTTCCCTGACGATCTGTACCCTTCGTTTCAATATGCCGATCGCCCAGATGCGCCTCCAGGCTCCCACGAGTCGAGGGAGTATCCCGATCTTGGCAAACATAGTTATCCCGAGCACAACGGCATGCCGTGACCACGCGGGAGTATCCAATTGGCCTGAAACCAACCCTCGAGGGGAAAAAAAGGTGTTTCAGGATATCGTTGATACTTCCCACCAAATCTCGCCGTTGAGGGATTTTTCAAAGTTGTCCCTACATCAAGATTCAAGGAGCCTGGATTTCCTTCCAGTTCTTGCCGCCGCCGTTAGTATTCGCCTTTGCAACATCCCGTTGCATAACGAACATTGTCCTTTCTCCACAGAATCCTCCGGCCGAAGCCAGCCTCTCAAACTCTTGATATGAACCCTTTAGTGGTTTTTGGGCATCAGTTACCCAAACCTTTTGCTTGACAAGCTGTCCGGGCTCATGTAGTCGACGAGGGTTATACCTCGGATAGCCGTACGCACTTCCAATGCGCTGGAAATTGTTGAATATCCGTTCGTATCTCCGAACGAAAAGGAGCCATTCCCACGTCCTACGTGAATAAGCGGCACGAATATAAGGATTGATGAATACCCCTGAGGCCTTCTCGGGATCAGGGGTACCCAGGTGCTGTTCTATATCTGCAAATATCAAACAACATTCCGCAGCTTCCCAAAATGGCTCAGGATCGTGTCGGAACGGAAGTAAAAGCTCATGAGTCTCTGAACTCTGTGGCCGCTGAAACGTCTTAGCATCGAAGGCTGCCATTCCTCCCCAGCAGCTGCGAACAGGCACACTATCCTTTCCCGCAAGCACATCCTCTCGACTCTGACCTTCGCCTGCAGTGGAGAACCAAGGGAAGAATGGTGTTCCAATGCTATGCCCTTCAGCGTCTCTTACGACAAACGTGTCATAAAACTTGACTGGGGAGATAAAGTCGACGGCACATGCTGCACGATACCTAGCACGGCCCCCGGGGTCCGCGTTAGTCGAAAACAAGAGCTGAACGGCATCAATCGGGGAAAAGTAGACGTCGTTTAGAAAAAGAACTTTGTCGAATTTGGTCGAGGTACGCCGAAAACCATTGGCGCCATTTCCAGGATTATACGACGGGTCTAGCGGCCTAAGCACCCTATTGCGTACTTCTGCGAGATAAGCAATTCTCTTTGTTCTCTCTTCTCCATTTGGCAAAGTCACGGTAGGGAACTGTGATAAAGGAATATGGTCACCAGTCACAATAGAAGAATTGCCTAATAAGGGCCAGCTGGTCAGTCTTTCCATTGCTATATTCCCCTTGAAACTCTAGCTGAAGACACAAACATAGCAAAGCATCCCGCAGGCCGTTGAGCGCAGCGCTTGTGCCCTCCCCACTATCATTTTCATAAATGCTGATAAACACATTCTCTTCCCCCAAGATCTCCACTAATTCCATCAACGCCTGGCCCCACGGGCCTCGAATTAATTTTTCATTGATGATATTTGCCGCAATAAACACCTTTTCGTGATTCACATTGCCCCGACCAGACCAGGAAGCCTTGACAATCCTTTGGTGTAGTTCGGTGTAGTGCTTCGGCGGATTCTGATAAGATGGATACAGAATTGCTTCGATGGCCGAGACCAAGACGAATAAGATACCGAAAGAAAGCGTAATCTTTAGGGCCTTAAACAAGAGGCAGCAAACGCGCGATCGACGCGATATGGGGCTCTGCTTGATGTATAATACGTTCTGATATCGGAACCCCGCTTGACATCGGCGGCCAAATCGTGCAATCTGTAAACCGATGAAGGACCAGAGCGGCGTGGAGCTGCGCGAGCTCTGGAGATCTGTCCGATATGACGAAGACAAGTCTATGGAATGCTCATCCGATTCCGTTTCTTTAAGAAAATGCGAAAGTAATGGAACTGACTCGAACATGATTCGGGACAAAAGGGGCAAAAGCCAGGAGACTTGATATTGGGATATCTGCTTTCAAATTCAGAGTAGCATTTTCTAGAGATACTGAGACCAGTTCTCATAAATCCTGTAATGTTCCATTAGAAGTCCAGGTTGTTTGTCTCCACCGCACATATAAGTCAAATTAGCCCGGGGGGGAAAAAAAAAAAGAAAGAAAGAAAGGGCAGCTGTATCCCAAGAACCAGCAGCCCGCGCTGCTTCTTGAAGCCGTTCATCCCTGGAGCTCGAGAGACAAAGCTCTCCGGCAACACCGCAGTGCCACGCCTATCATGAGATCATTCCGCCAACTTAAGGGTGTTTGATATTTTGGACGCTGGTCCTAAATTTCCCCACTGCGAATGATTGGCTGGTCGATGCTGATCCAACGGCGACTCCAACACTGATGATGCATGCGCTGACGACTCAGCGCGCCTTGTGGGTACGGCTGTCGACAACCGCGCATATCGGGAGTAAAGGTTGGTATGTAGTGAACTCATGCGGCCCATGAGTTTGGAGGAGAAAGAAGGTGGTTTCGAGAAACTGCCATTTTGTGGCTGGGGAGCTTCTTTGTTCCTGATTCGGGTCCATTTATCCATCTTCCACAAGACTGCACAATGACCTCTGCCCCTGGCATCAGTTGAGATAACTGAAACCTATCTCCTCCTCACCTCCTCCTCACCGCAGCGGGCAGTCATCCTGACTGGAGTCAAGAGTCCATGGGCCCCCTACCCAAAGAACTGCGGCGACTGCAATCCATGCCTCTGAGGTGTTGCTTCGAGTAAGTTGACTGGTGAGGTACTCCGTAGTTAGCCAGTTAACTTAACTAATAAGATAATTGCTTTTCTTGACCACAAAAAGTTGCTGCGCCGAAAATTTGCTTTGAAGCCTCCATGGGTCAAATCCAACCCTTTGGCAGAAGCTTTTTAGCCAGTTGTTGAACCCTGGGACATGTACACCATAGCTCACCAACCAGCTGATGGGAGCTTAAGCAACCACTAATCGGTGCGAAACTATAAATTTTGATGCTTTTGGGATTTGATCTCGGTTTCCCCCGGCATTTCTGGAAGAATAAAACCCCTCTCCCCCACCCCCCTAACGATAATAGGATGGATTAATATCGCCCAACGGATGTGAGGGACACCCGTATCCAAAACGGGGGTACGTATAATATGTGCTGAAGCACGGAGGCAGCGGCTTCGCATTAAGTATCATTCAATCCCGGATGGAACGATCCCGATTTAGCTATGCGTGACAATGCGTGGGATGTGCCGAGATGCGAGAGAGCGGGATACCCAACCACTGACTAGAAGCTGGGCCGCTTCTTTCTTGCACAAAACCGTTTCTCCTTTGCTTTTTCGGCCTAATAGGGGAAGGACGAAATTTTTTCCCCCCCCCCTTCCTCTTGGCTTAACTAGAGTGAAGGCAGTTCTACTTCGTGCAAAGCAAACTGCTATTCTACCTTGGCGTCGTGGCCGACGAGGCCTGTGCAGCGGACAGTTTTGTGTGCCGGGACTGGCTTAATTGTCCGTGGTCCTTCCGGCGCCCGGAGGGCTTTCATGGAACCGGCCTGATGCATTCAATTGCATATAACGCCGATGCGTGTCCATCAGATCTTCATCGAGCGAGATCAACGGCATCATCACCCCTTTGACAAAACAACGAGGGAATTATCCCGTCCTTCTCTATGACTAGGCATCGACAAAAGGCTTGCCTCGAGTTGTCAGATTATCCCCCTCATTTTTTTGCACATTCGGAATTTGAGGCGTGCTATCCTTGCCGGTAAACACCCGAGACAGTCACCAAATTAAGAAGATAGTTTAGACTGAGCATAAGAAGGAACATTAACTGACCGCACCACGCATCCCCCCCCCACACCAATGATCCCTGTATGGCACGCCCGAGGGTTATGGCTGGGCGCGAAAATCAGAATGTGAAGGTTTCGTTACACCCTTGTCGGATCCTGGTCCCAAGCAAACCCAGGCCCCTCTTGAAAACGTCAAACTTCTATATCGCACAGAGGTTATTATTTTGTGCAAACGCGGTTGGCTGAGCAGCCGAGATCACTAAACGTCGGGTTGCCAAGAGTATCCCAAGGATGGAGTGTTGACCTGCCTCGAAAGCGTTGATATCGGGACTTTTCATTTCGATTTTATTTGGAAATATTTGCTTCCAAAATGGTGTCCCGGCTCCTTGGGTCCAAAGACCTTTAAACTACGGTCCCGTGCATTCGATCAGCGTTCGGCAATTTTGTTTTTCTCCAACACCATTCGGAGGACTCTGCATGATGTGGGATGCCCGTGCTCCTCTCGCATAAGAGGGTACTATTGGATGCTGGACTAGCTCGTGTACCCAGAAATCAAAGTAAGGAGACCGCCGAGCTGCACATCTACTTTCCAGGCTCTGAAATCTGAAGAGAAAATCGCCGTGAGTTCAACATGATTTGTCAAACGCACAATATACACATACTTGCAGACAGGAAATGCACGTGTACAGAGGAGTTGTAGCACCAATATCTCTAAAAGAAGTGAAAATTGGGGGCTTCCTTTTATGTCCCACCAAAAATATTTGACGTATCAACTTAATTCTAGGGGCATTCATGATTCATACATACGGATGAAATACAATCGATATATGACTCCGCGGCTGATAGGAAGTGACCGAGAACGTTCCAGCTCCAGTCACTTGGTATTTTAAAAAAATACCTCTGAAAGACTGACCAAAAGAGGATCTCCAAATACAACGCCACGATACTTTTAAAATCGACAGTCCATTGAAAAAAGATGATGAGGAGAAGAGCACCAAACAAAAGCAGGAAAAACCAAAGCGGGGTATTTGGCAGTGCGCAACACAGGAGTAGAAAATTTTATAGTTAAAAATGGAATTAGCAAAGGGGGAAAATTACAAAGATTCAATAGGGAAACTGCTCCAGAGCAAATGCAGCCGTTGTCTCCCCATGACTAGACACCAGAACTCCCCGTTTCAGCTAATCATGAGATGTCATCACGGCGTAGCAGACACAGCCCTAACCAGGGGACGTGTAGGATGTCATCAACCAGGATTGCCAGCAATACCTTGCGAGATCAGTTAGAATAATTATGCCAAAGTTCGGCGTCATACAGGGGATCTCACCACAGTGCTTGGATGTAGGGGAGTCCCAGCCTCGTCCCTTCTCCATCAATGCGCAGCTTTCTTTCGAAGCTGTATGAGGGCTGCGACATAGCTATCCTTGCTACACAACGGTTGCGATTCATGAAGGTGCCAATTAACGCTTGCAAACTCGGCATTGGCCCACAACCACAATAAACCGCTCGTGGGGGCTCCCGCTGCACCGGGATCCGCCATTCCCATCTGTTGAAATGCGGAAGAAATGGTTGGCAGGGTCTCGACAAGAGCTATAGACGTAGAAATTCTTGAAAAAGTTGCACATTGTTGCAAGGGTCTGAGTAGATAGCTTTTTCGGAGCCTCACTAAAACCCGTAAAATCTTGTAAACGCCGGAGCTCTGAGATGATATTACGTGTGTAAAACAGGCAACGATCTATAAATGGGTGGCGTCAGTGTCTGGAATGTCCCTTTGGAGAACTTAGCCCTTTCCATACCTTCAATTGTCAGTGTCGCGATAAGAAATGAAGTTTGAATGAACTATGGGTGTCCGGGCTACTTTTCGCTCAGAAGAAGCAGGCGGGAGGCCTCTTTTCAATGGCAGCCAGGCCACCAACATCCCTCTGATGGGAATCACACAGGACTAATCCGAAACCAGCCAAGCTACTCCGTACATACCGACCTAATGTGACGGGAAAATTTGGCTGTCAAAAGCACGAACCACCTCCCAAAGCTCACGCTCTTTTTGGGACGTCTAAACTTTGCAGCATTGTGGAGATTGCCTGATTCAACCACTGTAGATCGGAGCTAGGATGGATGAGGATCCAAGCTTCCAAGGCTGAAGTACCAATAATACACCAGTCGACAGGCATTATCGCTGTTGTCGCATGTGAAAATGACGAAACAAAGGGAATTCAAGGATGCCCACCAGGCCACAGCAAACGCTTCCATCGACGTGCCAGAGCTTGAGTACCCTTAGGGGACCCATGATGGCGGGGAATCTCGACTAGTTCCCGTTTGAAAAGATTGAAGAATTGCTGGGTTCCTAATCTTATTAGACAGTACGCTTTACATGAAACATCCCGATCGCAATATCGGCTGCTCGCTGAGCGGTTTTTATTTATTTACTTCTGTATTTTTTTAAAATTTCCTTTTTTTTTTTTTTTTTAATAAAAAAAAGGAAAATTTGTTGGAACCAGTAGACGCCGTAACTTTGAAGCTAGACAAGAACGGTGAGATTTGAGGAATATAAAGAGTCTGACAAAGTTCCCGTTGTGACTACTTCGGGAATCGGGTAGGTGCTTCTCAGAGCAATCAGCCATTGACGCATGTAGCAGTTGGCATGAACTTTGAGGGAAAAAGATTTAGCAGCCTGATTCCCTCGGTTTCTCAGCTCAGCCGAAATTGGCCACACGAAGATACGAGAAATGAGACGCGCACTTTGAATCAGCTTCTCTCCACAAGGAGTGCTCGGACGCACTTTGCTGGAGTGGCATTTGGGATGCAAGGATATCCGCCAATTCCCGATATCAGATGGCAGCATCGCTGTCTCAAAACTATTAGCTTGATAGGTCAGTCATATTCAGAATGGAGCTTAGGCCTGGATCTTGTTCGTCGCAATGGCGTGATTTCTAGAAGACTGAAAGGCATGACCGAATCAGAGACGTTAATCCCGGAACCCAAGACCCAGGGGGGAAAATCTGGAATGTTTCTGCATGCGCTTTGACGTATATCAGACTCGCAGAGAGATAATTGAAGTTGATACTTTGGCAGAGGAACCCGGTGATTGGATCGTGACCCACACCACCCTGTCACTCGGATATTTGGGTCATCAGTATTGAACTAAGGAGCGGTTAGATGAGTTAAGAATTAGTTCCAGAATTAGCTCCATAAGGTGTTCCATAAAGGAGGGAATCCGCCATGCATTACTCCACAGCCGTCGGAGCCATTCGGAAATGAACCAGAGCATCTTGATTAGATGTATGAAGGGGTACCCATGCAGCCTAATGAAAAGAGAAGTGTCAGAGAGAAAGTTCTTCGAAATACCAATTTGTCACCAATATTCAGGCAAAGGCTCTGCCCCAGGCAAAGCATGAAAAATTATCCATGATAGCTGTTTAGAGGCAATAATATAGCCGTCATATTAATGCTTTATCAAACTGCCAGAGCATCAATTGTTGAAAATGCCTGATCCGGTTTAGTGCCAAACAGGGGAGAATGTGTCAGCATAGCAAGGTTTGCTCTAGTCCTGGTCTGGAAAGCGGCAAGCCCCAACCCAGGATCGGCGCTAGTGCTTGTTGGGTCTAGAGTGTGGCTGGGATCCACGATCCTTGATTATCTAATCTAATCAAACCTCCCAACCCAAAACAGTAAAGCCGCAACTAGCCTCAAAGAGGAAGCCCCAATGTCAGTCCTCTCCGCCGAGACGACGAACGACGACAACATCCGCCGTCCTTCGCGCTGTTCATCCGCCAAATTTACCCTCCCTCCGCCTCTATCGTGCTGTCACTTTATTGTATTCACTCGTTTAGCTTCACTGCATTTTTTTTTTTTTTTTTTTTTTGACCTCCCTCGTCGACGCCCCTTATTCCTTTGCCTTCTGACCGAGTCTCTAACCAGCCACCGCGCAGCCTTTCTCTCTCACCATCGTCGACCTCGCGCTTTTCTTTCTCGACATCGGCACTCCCCGAAGAGGAGTTCTGTGACCAGGCACCATGAGCTTCGGCCAGTTTGACTCGCTATGCCGGAAGGCAGCGATTCCTTTATGTTCACTAGTCGGCTCGTCCTCGTTGTCCGGTACAAAGGGGATTTTGCCAAGTTGCTACGCAAGGAATATTGAGGTTGCCAACACCATTATCTTCCAGGGCGCCACAGATGTCATGCACATTGTAGCTCTGGCCATGACTGCGATTATGATCATTCATGTACGATCAAAGTTCACTGCTGTCGGTAAGTTTCCCGCATTCTTACAGTTGCCGACAATTATATGATGATCAATTGGCACTAAGTCCTCTCGTCTCATTGGTGTTACAGGACGCAAGGAGATAATTACATTTTTCTACATCTATATGGCATTGACGATATGCTCTCTGGTCTTGGATTCCGGTGTCGCACCCCCTGGGAACGCCGTCTTCCCGTTCTTCGCTGCAGTTCAGAATGGTTTTGCCTCCGCCCTCTGCACTTGTTTGCTGGTCAACGGATTCGTAGGGTTCCAGCTCTATGAGGATGGAACCGCCCTTTCGGTTTGGCTTCTACGACTCTCCTCTCTTGGGATGTTCTTAATTTCGGGCGCCGTTTCACTCCTAACCTTCAAGTCCTGGGCTGGACTCTCTCCATCAAACACCATCGGCCTTTTTGTTGTCGTCTACATTCTCAACGCCATATGCTTGTTTGTATATGTGGTCATGCAGATCATCTTGGTTGTGAATACACTCCAAGATCGTTGGCCGCTCTGGCACATTACCTTTGGTGTATTCTTTTTTATTATAGGCCAAGTCATACTCTACTCTTTCAGCGCTGTTATCTGTGAGAGTGTTCAGCATTATTTGGATGGCCTGTTTTTCGCAACTCTATGCAACCTTCTTGCCGTCATGATGATCTATAAGGTACGTCGCATTCCTTGAGTGAACGCTTTCGTCATTCTATGCGCAAAGAAAGTTAACAGTATTATAGTACTGGGATTCGATTACCAAAGAAGATCTCGAGTTCTCCGTCGGCCTAAAGCAGAACAACTGGGAGGTCAAAGAGCTCCTTCCTGAAGAGGAACGCAGGGCCACTGTATACCTCGATACCAATTCAGAATACGCGGGCAGTGTGTACCACCATCGCTCATCCACTTATGGCGGACAATCGAATTATTAGATCCACCACTTTCGTTCGACTTCCCCCCACCTTTCTTAGCGCGCCGGATGGATAGTGCTTACCGCACATAGAGCACCTATAATTTGGCTCACGCGACTTTTTCGTATAAGCTGATACCTCTCAAATCTCTTCCCCCCTCTTTACCCATGTCTTATTCTTCACCCTTATTATCCCGCTAAGATTTTGTGATGAATCTCCTTTGTGGCGTTTTGATGTTACATGGCTTCTTTCCCTGGCGCACATTGGTCTAGTCTTCAATCTTACTCCAAGCGTTGTTTTCTTGCACATAGTCTTCACGAATCGAGTGTCATATTTTCCCTTTTATATTAATTTTAATAGATAATTGCGCTCTAAATATTATATCCTTTGATCTATGGAAGATGCTTTTTCTCATATAATACGGGTAGATTTGATGACCTTTCATCCCTGTGGGCACCTTGTCAACGATCCTCACTCTCCTTCCCCGGAGCACTGCCTGCGGTTGAGTACCATCCTTTATCAACCCATCTGATCAACAAATCTCTCGTCTGGTGCGCCATCTCGTAAAATGCCGGGTTATCCGCAGGCGAAAACATACTCATATGCGCTTTGGTTTCATCTTGGGCATTATCATTTACTACCTCGATCCACTCCAGCCCCTCATTCGACTCAAGATCGCGAGAATTGCCCTCATCCCGCGCTTTCTTTTCCTCCACATCTTGTGGGAGATTGCAAAACGTGCGGATCTTCGAGCGTAATACATCCCTTATTGAGAACTGCTGCTGCTGCTGCTGTTGTTGCTGGGCAGAACCTGTTGACACCTCGGAGGGCACGGTGATTGCGCTGCGGCCAAGTCGTGTGTAGAAATTCGCGGCGCCTATTCCGCGGTCTACATGCAGCCGCGCAATGGCGGAGATGCGACGACGTAACTCCTCCGGACGAGCTAGACACCCGACGAATTCGAGATGCGAGGTCGCCCACGTCCAGCCCGCTGAGAACCGGTCGCGTTGGGTGTATAAAGCCGCTGCTCCGCCTGCTGCCACGGCACCCGCGGCGCCCGCGAACATGGCGTACCGTCCCCAGCGCTGCCATGATGGTGTGGCCGCAGCGTCATCAGTAGATTTGGTTGCGGGTGGAAGGGCGGCGGGTGGTTCCTTGCGATCCTTTTTCGAAGCCGAAGAGCCGCCACCGCCGCCACTGCCCCAGCCAAACGCGCTGGCGACTTCTGTGATTGCGCCGTAAGCCGCAGTGGCGGCTTTGTATTGGCTTTCAGCCGTGTAGGAGACCGTCCCCGGGGCGATCCCGAGAAAAGGGGTGTCGAAAGCCATGAGGCCCTGGATATGAGGAAACATAAACGCGTTGGGCTGGATACCTGCTGCGCGTTCGTCTGAGTGTCTGGCATCGTCCCATTTCGATGATGGATGCGCAGCGCCAGACGGAGGGAGTAACTGCTCAGATGCGATTAGACGTATGGCTTCTGCACCGACGACGCCGCCCATGGAGTGTCCAATGAGGATAACGTGGACAGATGGGTCGACGGTAGGCGAGGGGGCCTGGTTGGAGACTTCGATGTCTATCACAACGTTTTGAAGCCTGTTGCGCATGTTTTATTGCTTCCTGTGTTAGCCAGGTCATGTCCCTGATGTTGAACGCATGCAAAAGAGACGAGACGAGACGGACCATTCTCTCAACCTGGCGACACAGTCCTGCAAATCACCCCTTGTCTCGAACTTGGGGTATGTCACCGCAACAACATCGATGTTGGGCAGGGCGTGGCTGGTTATGGCACGTAGATGCGATGGAAAAGTGCCAAAGGTATCGTCTCCGCCCTGTACATTTCGTCATAGTCAAGAGTCAGACTTCCTGAGTACTAGCTAATGCGCTGCAGAGGAGCAAACCCCACCTTGAACCCATGAATGAAGACGAGAAGCAGAGTCTTCTTCATTCTACATTATCTGTTTTGTTCCCGCGCTCGATGGCTCGTAGCTTTTTGGCTTCCGAGAGAACCGAATCGCTTAAGCTGACGACAAACGCATCTGGCTCACCGTCTGCGCGACAGGGTGCGATATTACGTCATGCCTGAATAAGTGAAGGGCTAAGATATAGCACTTCGAGAACCGAACCCCTTGCCAAGAACAATATCTTGAGCCTTTTGAGGATACTGAGCATCATCCCGATTGCAAGGGTAATTGAACAGCTACGAAACAGTGGTAAGTTGGACCGAGCATGGCCCATCTCCCGCCAATGCAAAACTTGCGTGGCCAATTAACTAACGACAGCCCCAAGTACTCCTTAAGACGAAATCCAAACCAGGAAACCCATTTATGGATATCATATGAGGTAATAACCATTGGAGGAGTCAAAAGGCGAAGTTGTAAGGGATAAGGGAGGTTTACGAGGTTGTCGGGCGCAGTATGGATTGCTTTTTGGAAGCTAGAGGGAGTAAATGATAAGAGGAGGTAAAGGGAAGCCATACGAAAGACTAAGGGGAGCTACTCAGGGAGGATATGAACCGACTAGAGGAATGTGCAAGAAGATAATGCAGGGAAGCATTTAAGGTCAACGCATAGCTAGACACAAGGGAGCTTCTAAAGGTTGGTAAGGAGTAACTGACGGCGGGAATAGGAGAGATAATTAACCATGCTTATGTCTTCGAACCATCGCATCAGCCAAGTGCATCCCTGGGAAAAAGCAAAATGGCTGAGCGCATGCGTTACCTCCCAATTCAACCTGTCATGTGAGTATTAAGGCATCGAGTCTTCTCTCTTTTCGAAACCCACACGGTCATTATCCCGCCTTCGAGTCCTACAGTTGCCTTCTGAGGCTCGCCTAATGCTGTCAAGACGTTGAACCAGCCACCATCGACTTACCGCCCGCGATATCCGGAGATCCTTCAGCGCACTGCCCATTACATACCAATCAAGTTCATAGGACAACGGGGAATCGGCACTTGTCCAACGGAGTTCAAGACATAGTTGAGATAGTCGCTCAAATATCGCAATAGCTAAAACATCACACCACAACCACCTACCAGTCCCGGATCACAAAGAAAGCCAGAAAGGGCAGTACGTATTCTCCGTGACAGAGTCATCCAGAGTTGGCCAACATTTGAAGAGCCTCTGAGGTTCGTTCCAATCTCTGAGAGCGGCTCGGCTGAACTGTTGTACTGGCGAAAGGTGAGAAAAACAATGTTGGACATTCGCCGGATGCGACAGAATGAGTATGTCTGAGATGCTGGGAAAACTAAAAAAGAGCAACGCGTAAAACAAACAAGCTGTCTTCTAATAGCAATTGATATCATCCGTTCCATTGTAGACTGGTAATTTGAAATTGACCTTATACCTTTTTCTACCAGGGTGGGACAATGAATCGGTTGTCATTGTCAACAGCAGCGTGACACTGGAAAAGTGGTACAGAGACCACATCTCGGGAAGACAAATAACCGTTCCATTCTAACCCGGATGATGTAACCACATAGCGAACCTCAGTCGGTTTGTTTTCGAAGGTAGAGTGGACTTAAAGCTTTGTGTATCACCCGGACATTCCAGACAGCTCGAGCAAGAGGCGGGACACCGTCTACGAGGGATTGAACCACCTAAGATTCGGCAGTTTTAATCCTAAGTAGTCTCATAAGCAACTCCCTCTCCAGAAAGATAGAAATGGATCGCTTGGCTCGCGAAAAGCTTCAGCGCCAGGCGACAAAATTCGGGAAGAAAGCCGCATTGGTCTAGTAGCTATAGAAGGACAGTGTAACTGGATTTTCCTAATATCTTGGAGCAAGACGGAACAACGCAAGAGCTGGTACTGGGTAGCCTAAATGTAGCAAACAAGTGAGTTTAGAAACAGCTACCAATCTCATGGTGTCTTTGCAACGCAGGCCAGTTATGCGAACGGAACGCTAGGAAGCAGGAAACTTCGTTGATAATCACCAATAGCGAAACCAACTGGTTCAACACTCTATAACTTGTTAGAGGGAAGCCGCAGCAACAACTCTGCAACACCGTCTTTCCTTTGTTTTTCCTCTCCCTATACAGCGAACATCGATAGTGGCCACATATCAATCCGCAACAGCGCACTGCCAAGCCTTCGGTAACTATGGAGGTGTTGGGCTTGCGTTCTCCAGCGACGAGAAATGTTTCCAAAAAAAAAAAAAAAAGGATTGGTATCTTGCTTCTTTCTTTAAGGAGGAATGTAACTCCCGCAGAACCAGTCGCTACCGGTAATCCTCGGGTAACCAATAGAACAAGCATCCAGGGGCCTTCCATTGTCGAGTGTTTGTATGTTGTAGCCTGTGAGAGGATAGGGGTAATTCCATCACCGCCCGTGAGATGGTGTGAAAGATGGACCTATTCCGGTAGCAGGCAAGTGATCAAGGGTCGAATCGACTCGTAGGCAGCGATCGGTTCTTAAAACGGAGACGAGGGTACGGAGTAAACTAAGGCAGCTGATTGCCCCGTCAACTCAACCCCGAGGTCCCGCCATGCCTTGGTGTCAAAAAATGGTGAGGCCGGAAATACCAACACATAATGTTGGGTTAAGCGCTCCTCTTTCTTTCTTGAAGCTAGCAAGATGTATCTGATTGATAATCCGCCATGTATGATCCAGGAGAACGGAATGAGAATTTGGGAAATGATAGATGGGGGGCTAGGTTGTGGAGAGGGTCGGTTCAGGCACAGCCCACTGAAAACATGTGAACTTGAGGTCGTCCCTCTCTTCTTGACCGGGGGGGGGGGGGGAGGGGGGGGGAAATAATAAGGATCAGGGATAGCAGTGATAGCTTCAACGGCGCCAGCGAGAGGGGAAGACGCGGACATCAGCTGTAACTAATGGTCACTCAGGAGAAATGAATGAGCTTCGATCCCACCCAATCTATCGTTACATTCCCATCTTGGGGAAAAGACGGGCTTCACCCGATGGCTTCGCGGCGGTATCGAATATCTGCTCACGACAATAATCAAAAGCCGGATGCACGTTGAGCTGCGAACTCATTTGGTGTTCGCCATCCCCTGTCGCCGATGCCAGGGTTAAATACAAACTCACCAACTTAAGCCGCCCCCATCTCTCGCGAGGTAAGATTGGATCTTTAGCCATCGCTCAAAGGCGCCGCATACATGCTAGGTGCATGTTTCTGGTCACATCCCAGAAACAAAGCGTGTTTGATTTCGCGACTCCATACAGACCATTTCGAGTCTCAGTCCATTGCAGCCGTAACATTCTAAAAATAGGCGCCAACTTGCCCAAGAATATCTGCTGACTTGCTAGATTCTTGTCGCCAATAACTAACACGAAGAGATCTGCTCTCCATTAGTTACAGAGTCCCAGCCGGGGAAGAGCGTCCATACATTTCGCCCTTGTGCATCCTCTTTGGTCGAACCCGTGATATCCCCAAAATCGCGCGGTGATTTGATGCTTACTCTATCGCTCCGCCAATAATGCATCAGTTAATTGTTCAATCCGATTTGGAATGAGTGTGGCAAGAGTCGCTGCATTACCCATTTCCCGGAACCCCTAATCGACTAACTCAGGAGGCGGGTTGACGCACGAAGTACAGCCGTTCTCAGTCAACTCGCATAATCCTGACGTTTCAAGACTGGCATCCAAATACGGAACTCCTCCGCGTTTCTTTCTGCCCAGACCAGCTTTGGGGGGTGTTTGAAGCTAGACTTTCCATGTCCTAATAGTCCATGTTCCGCAGCATTCTTGCACTTTCAACAGTCGCGAGCGCACACTCAACTGGGAATGCCATTTAGACGAGAAACATCACCAAGTCTGCTCGTGTCTTCAAATTCACTTCTTTTGAGTGTCTAGATCCTCTAGATCTTTTCGACATGTCTCAGGTCGGATTTGGCCTCGTGGCTGACAGACACGAAAACCCATCACCGTTTCCCACCCTTCAAGTTCATTTGAACGATCACCTCTCCTCAAAACACTCGCTCTCAACTCGCCCGAACCCAAGCATACATAGCCAGGACACGCATACAACGGACAGGCTCTCTGAAAGGTCAGGGTGCGATACCGGGAAGGAAACAACGGCGAAAGACCGCCAATCCGCGGTATATACTAGGGGATAAAGCCGGGCGAGCTTCGGGATATTGTAGAAAAAAGCTGGATCTGGGAATCTGAGAGCTCTGGGTTTCGTTCGTTCCCCTGTGCATGACCGACGCCCAAATCTTAGAAAATATAATATGTACCTGCACGTTATTCGCTAGTCCCGGCGGCGACAAAGGCCGGAGTTATCGTAAAGGAGGTCGACCTGAACGAAAACGACGTCGCAACGGGCAATGATTGCATGATCATGATAAATGATGGGCGGGTGTGCGCATCCTATCCCCCTTCAGGCATTGAATAATATGCCCCAAAGTAAAAAATCACTTGCTTGGAATGTAGGCGGTGACCCTCTAGCAGGCCGCGGTCTAGGATTTCCTTGGCGATGTTGCACCGTTGCTGGCACATCCTTGCCTGTCGTCCAGGCTTTGCTGGAATCTTTGACCCAAACGACAACGGCTTTATGTCGGTTGTCATGCTGATCCGGGCTCAGCCCATAAAACAATGTCCTCTCCTCGATCAAATGAAAATAGGTTTAAGTTCAAAATTTCAATACCGTATAGCTTTCATTCAATCAATCAATCAATCAAGAATGAATGTCTCGGAACCCCGCGAAGATCACTCAGGTCTCATGCATCATACCATCCTGTGCCTTTCGCCAAATCGCTGTCGCCGTCGTGCAGCATCAGAGTGTGACAAGACGCCGGAGCAATCCCTTGGATCGTCAGAAACCAAAGAAAGGAGTAGCCATTTCTGGATCACTTACCCGTATTCCGTACGGAGCACCCCATAGAACATATTATCCTTGACACATAGAGGGAGATTTATCCAGGCCTGCCCACGACCTGCAGCTCAGCTGAACGGGAACACTTTGAGTAATCTGCTGCCTTATTGCGTGAGCTATGTCAGATGACTCCACGAATACGCCTCAGGTATT